GAAAGAAACGAAAATGGTGAGAGATTTGCAAATCTATGTGCCTTCAATAAACTGGTCATAGGCGGCACTATATTCCCACATAAACACATACACAAAACCACATGGACTTCACTGGATCACAGCACACAGAACCAAATCGACCATATCTGCATCAACAAAAAGTTCAGGAGGACGATGGAGGACGTGAGAACAAAGAGAGGAGCTGATATAGCATCAGATCATCACTTGCTGGTCGCCAAGATGAAATTGAAACTCAAGAGGCACTGGACAACGGGGAGGACAATATCCCAAAAGTTTAATACGGCTCTTCTTCGGGATACTGACAAACTCAATAAATTCAAGATAACCCTCAGCAATAAGTTCCAAGCCTTTCATGATCTACTCAATGGAGAAGGAACTACTATGGAGTGCAACTGGAAAGAGATAAAAGAGGCAATCACTTCAACACGTCATGAGGTTCTGGGCCAAAAGAAGCACCATCACAAGGATTGGATCACGATCGATACACTGGATAAGATTCAAGAAAGGAGGAACAAGAAAGCAGCAATCAATACCAGTCGAACAAGAGCAGAAAAAGTCAAGGCACAGGCTGAATGCACAGAAGTAAACAAGCAAGTGAAAAGGAGCATCAGAACTGACAAACGTAAATATGTGGAGGATTTGGCATTGACGGCGGAAAAGGCTGCCAGAGAAGGAAACATGAGACAACTGTATGAAACAACAAAGAAACTCTCTGGAAATCACCGTAAACCAGAACGACCAGTGAAAAGCAAGGAAGGCAAGATAATCACCAACATTGAAGAACAACGAAACAGGTGGGTAGAACACTTCAAAGAACTCTTGAATCGACCAGCCCCACTGAACCCACCCAACATCGAAGCAGCACTCACGGACCTCCCAATTGATGTTGGCGCACCGACAATTGAAGAAATCAGCATGGCTATCAGACAAATCAAGAGTGGCAAAGCAGCAGGACTAGACAGCATTCCAGCAGAGGCACTGAAAGCAGACGTAGCGGCAACTGCAAGGATACTCCAAACTCTCTTCAGAAAGATCTGGGATGAGGAACAGGTACCAAAAGACTGGAAAGAAGGACTTCTAGTCAAAATACCAAAGAAAGGCGATCTCAGAAACTGTGACAACTACAGGGGAATCACTCTTCTCTCAATACCAGGAAAAGTCTTCAACAGGGTATTGTTAAACAGGATGAAGGACTCCGTAGACGCCCAACTTCGAGACCAACAGGCAGGATTCCGTAAGGATAGATCGTGCACAGACCAAATCGCAACACCACGGATCATTGTGGAACAATCAATTGAATGGAATTCATCACTCTATATCAACTTCATTGACTACGAGAAAGAATTTGATAGCGTGGACAGAACAACCCTATGAAAGCTTCTTCGACACTACGGCGTGCTCAGAAGATAGTCAATATCATACAGAATTTCTATGATGGATTAAACTGCAAAATCGTGCATGGAGGACAGTTGACAAAGTCGTTCGAAGTAAAGACAGGTGTCAGGCAAGGTTGCTTACTCTCACCCTTTCTCTTTCTCCTGGTGATCGACTGGATCATGAAGACGTCAACATCTGAAGGGAAGCACGGGATACAGTGGACAACTAGGATGCAATTGGATGATCTAGACTTCGCAGATGATCTGGCTCTTCTATCGCATACGCAACAACAAATGCAGGAGAAGACGACCAGTGTAGCTGCAGCCTCAGCAGCAATAGGTCTCAATATACACAAAGGGAAAAGCAAGATTCTCCGATACAACACAGCATGCACCAATCCAATCACAATTAACGGAGAAGATTTGGAAGATGTACAAACCTTTACATATTTGGGCAGTATCATCGATGAACACGGTGGATCTGATGCAGATGTGAAGGCACGGATTGGCAAAGCAAGAGCAGCATATTTACAACTGAAGAATATCTGGAACTCAAAACAATTAGCAACCAACACCAAAGTCAGAATTTTCAATACAAATGTCAAAACAGTTCTACTGTATGAGGAGGAAACCTGGAGAACTACGAAATCCATCGTCCAAAAGATACAGGTGTTTATTAACAGTTGTCTACGCAAAATACTTCAGATCCGCTGGCCGGACACTATAAGCAACAACCTACTGTGGGAGAGAACAAATCAGATCCCAGTGGAGGAAGAAATCAGGAAGAAACGCTGGAAGTGGATAGGACACACATTGAGGAAAGCACCGAACTGCGTCACAAGACAAGCCCTCATATGGAATCCTCAAGGTCGAAGGAGGAGAGGAAGAACAAAGAATACATTACGCCGGGAAATGGAGATAGATATGAGAAAAATGAACAAGAATTGGATGGAACTAGAAAAGAAGGCGCAGGACAGAGTGGGTTGGAGAATGCTGGTCGGCGGCCTATGCTCCATTGGGAGTAACAGGCGTAAGTAAGTAAGTAAGTAAGTAAGTAATATGGAATCAAAGGATTAATTTAGTGTATTAAAACTAATGTCTACTGATATGTCTTTGAATAAGATAGGTATTAAATAGTTTACGTGTCGTTCGATGTTCCTACTAGCTATATGTTTTCACAAAGTAATCCTATGTGCATTTGGTAGAAAATTGTTAGGTCACGAGCTCAAGTCTAAGTAAGCTAACAACATTGAACAGTCTGTTCTGAAAAAGAGGTTCCACGTATTGACATAAAATTTAAGTCATATGTTATGTTAATCCTCCAACTGATGAAGCGACTGAGAACTTCACACTATTTGCTTAAAAATTGATTTCAATATTATCTAAAACGTGAGATCTGTGTGTAGGGCCAGCGAAATTCCACTGGGCCCTTGCCAAATCATCCGGTAGTTGGGTCATTGAATATCGAACAAATCATCAATCCTCGTCGAGGTCAAGGACAGCCAACGCGCATCAGTTAATCGTACGCCATGGACTGGTCCATGCGGCAGTGGTCTCACCTTCGCCTGTATCTACTTTAACTAATATATTTCTGTAATAACGTCCTTCGTGTTGTACAGACTTCAAAGCATCTATAGTACCTTGATACATCAATGGGGTAATCCACGTAAGGTGCTGACCGCGAAGTGTGGCTTCGACGTTAGCTAGTTTGTCACACCACTCACCTCTAACTCGAGTAAGTCTTCAATCATTTCGACATAGATCATCTACGTTGGTGATCTACAAGTGGAATTAGTTTGGGAAGCGATCAACCTGATACTATTACAATGTAATTGGATGGATATAAATAATAATTTACGTGTATTTACAGAAAAGGTACTACCCAGGTGATGTTGTTGAAGAGAACATAAAACTCAATATTCATGTAGGTAAACCAACTGGTTAATAGATAGGTTCGTGTGGCGTTACTGTTATAATTTGTTCAAAACATGACATCTCATTTAAATTGTAGCTTTATCAAACGCATATCTGATCCAAGCTCCATATCAAACTTGTATAAAACTGAGACTTTACCAAACTGTTTCAGAGAAGTCTACTACACGGGTGTTATTAACAACACTTCTCATGAACACACTACTGGAATATCAACTGCAGGATATGCACATATGGTTGAAGAAGCTGTTCTTTAATTGTTCATTGACGTTAGATCTAGTAAGTCTCAGGTCCTAATGGGTTACATTCACGATTGCTTCCACCCCTCGCGAACATTATTTCAGGGCTACTGATGATGTTACTAAGCATATCCACTTACCGAGTTTAACTACACAGGAATTGCACGGGTATTATTACTGATTCCATATCTAAGTGCAAAAAGAGATAAGTCGTACCTGACGACCGATCAATCATTCTAACCAACATGGTAGTTAAAATAATTAGGGAAACAATTTGGCTACTTACTAGGTCACGTAGAATCCTACAATGTGTTAACTTCTAAACAACATGGGTTTCAAAATAAACACTCGTGCTTAGCCAACCTAGTAATTACGAGAAGTAGTTGGATAGCTACTCAAGATAATAGTCTGTCTGTCAGCTTAAGGTTATTAGACTTTAACAAGTCTTTTATTTAGGGCTTATACATTTACAAATGTACAACGTACAGGAAAAATTTCCCACTATCAGAGGCAGAAAGTGAGAGTATTTGAGACGCTATATAAATGAAAACCAGTTAACACTGGCGTGTCTCAAAGAGCTATCCTAAGTTCCTTATGTTTTTTCCTTACATCATATCGAAGAACCACAGTAGACTTCAACACAGATTCAAATTACTTAGTGGTAAATTTGCACCTGAAATGTCCTCACTTTTCTTATCTTCCAAAGCAGAGAATTTACGAGGACTCTACGCAAAAGTCCACAAGGACAGGACAAATTACTTGTCATCGAAGTATCAACTTCCTCATTGAATTATAGAGGGGTGTAGTTAATTACCTCAACAAATGACTGAACCTTCATATGTCGATGCTTTCAAAGGAAAGTTGGTTTAACTGTGAGACAACCATTTCCAGGACTAAAACATGGCACCTAGCCTCCTTTAATTTCCAAACTCAAACTGGACAACTACTAGCTCATTCAAAGACAGATTTGCAGGGGCAGAGAAAAATCGCTGAGTCCTAGCCTAATCATCTGACAGTTGGTTCACTGAATGTCGAACAGCCGAACAAGTGTTACTGGTTAACGCGTTATCAAACTCCAAATACCTGTGGCTTCTTCAAGTTCATCGATCTCTGTCAAGTTCAAAAACAACCAACGCTCATCAGTTGATCGTATTTCATGGACTGGCGCATGCAATGATGGTCTTGCTATATTCTCTGTATTCATTCTTCTTAATACATTTCCATGATAACGTTAGTGATCTACAACTTTTAAAGAGAAGCTAGATCCCTACTGCAAAACAAGCTGAAACAACAAAAACAGGTCAAATAACGTAGCATTCTTGTTAATGAACAGCGAAGACAGAAGGCTATAATAAGATACTGTGGGTTCTTGATTTTCTAATTTCTTGTTTTCCTGTATTAATAATTCTTGTCTCATGGTCATTAGCAGTATGCGGGCTTTATGAGTGTGTCTGTTAATGTAGGACAGCCTTCGGATGTCTTTAGTACTTCAATGTCAAATATATGTCCGCGCTTGATAGACTATTTTGTGCTGGTCGGTTCGCGATTACCTGGGAACGCAAACTCAGTGCAGTCTCCTGAGATTCTTTGTCGATTTCCTCCGACGAACCACAAGGATTTCCCTCTTCCTACTGATGTGTCTTTCTTTTGTCAGCCAGAAGGATGTATTAATACTTCCAGCAACACATTCCCTATAAAACCTTTGGATAATAACCGTGATGGCATAAAATCAATGACATTTTTATTCTCGCTAACTGATAAGGATTCCAGTAAAACACGGTATGGTATTTGCACCAACTTCTTCAGACCAGTCAACTTTGAAAGTGTGAATAAAACTACATATCCAAATAGCAAGGAAGGCACGCATCTTGGTGGTGTATCTGGCAATGGACCAGTTTCATGTTCGGATGAAAGTATGCAGGATAAATCGTTACCATTTGGAAAACTAAAAAATGCAAATAGTGTCTATAGCTTAACGTCAATCTGTTTAATCACCCACTACCCTTTTGCTACAACGTTTGCACGGCTTGTGCAGTGTGTACATGCAATTTTAAAGAAGCTACACAAGTTATCAAAACCCAGCTGTGTGGAAAGGTGAGACCGTTGTATTTGCAATTTTATGTTGCGGTATTTCTACTACATTTTCGGGTGGGACTATAATTTATGAACGACCTCTAAGCAACGCTAGAGTGGCCTTGAGGATGTCTACCCACTGATTGGGTCCAAATGAGGGTTTTAAACGTGTGTGGAGGATAAGGATTGTAAATTACGGTTAATGGTTAGGGATAAGGATTAGATTTACGGTTTACATCATGAACCGACATAAGCTAAAATACCAAGACTCTGTTTAGCTAAATGGATAAAGAGTTTTGCGCCGAAATCTAAGGCCTGTCGTTCTAGATCTGATCGGTTCGTTCATAGGTTATAGTTTCGTTAATTTTCGAGTTGAGGTCTTTCTATTTGTAGTGAAGTTCAAGACTTAAAGTTTGCCGCCAAATGTTAGCTGCTTAAATAGGTTTCTTTATTCTCCTCACTTCTTGGGTGATGTTCAGCCAACTATTCTAGCAGCTGATTGTACGATATAATGAAAGCAAATTTCACCATTTTATATCAAAAATCCGTTTAACCTATCGATCTAACCAGAATTTCTACCTTCATTTCACTATCACTTCATAACCAAGGACATCTTATGATATGTTGATGTGGGCGAAGAATTCGTTGAATGGCTGAGGATTTACTCGTCCCTCAGCATAAATTTTTTTCGATCCTTATATTCAGTTTGCCATTGAATCACTGTTATGAATAATATTATGTGAAGATTTTAACACGGGGATCTACTGTCAATAGTTATTTCAATTCAGTTGTCCTGATGGTTCAGCATCCACTTTGTGACCTGAAGGTCATAGTTTCGATCCTTGGAGGGGTCGTAGGTATACACTATGCGGAAAAGAGGTTCATTGATTAAGGTGTTTAGTTCAGCTACTAAGCTAGATGTTCTGACCCCATCTGAATTCATTCTAGAAAACCAGTTATCATAAACAGCCCTCACACTCACTGTCTAGAAAACAAGTGCACAATTTTGTGTCTGGTAAACAAGTTATATAAATAAATTAACTAGCAGCGTTTCTCTTCCACTACTTGAAGATTAGGGTTCTTTTAAATTTTTTTATAATTCGTTTTCTGCGACCTTTATGTTTCACCATCGTCTGTAAAACATGCCGATATCAGCTTTCATCTTCCCCTTCAAGTTCTTTTTTACTCATCTTGTTTCACGATTGGTTACATCTAAGATCTTTTCATAAAGATTTTAACCCTCACTATAAATTATTCATGAATAAAACGTGTATTAATTGATGTCTGTTAGTGGAACTGTTATCTTTTGTAGCATTTGCACTGTTATCAGTTAGTTGCTACATTGACAGATATGTAGTTATGTCTGTTTCATTTTTTCCATGTTATCATTAATTGTTATGTCATCTGTTATTGTCGAGAGTTTATGTCGAGAACTCTTAGTTTTCCACGTTAATCGTTAAGTCAAACAGCCGAGAATAGAGCTGCAATTATGCACAGAATATTTAGTACTAATTATCTGATTTCTTTTTGATCCCATGCCGTTGTGTATTTTATGTTTCCAACTGTTGATTCGCACTCAGTACTGGTGCTAGGTGTCCTGACTTTTACTGACTGATGTACTTGTTTTCAAAATACGACGTTTATATGTTCGTGTGTGCTCATGTTTCAATGACTCATGTTGTTTTGTTGATGAGTTTATGGAAGAAGGTTGGAAAAAATAAATATATTGATTTCGAAGATACTTTAAGGCTATGATTTTAGTTCATAGTTATTTTCAATTAAGACATCTCAAGTCCTCCATTCGTTTGTCGGACTGAAGTTAGAAAAGTTGTCGATTTAAGTTCAACTAGGATGTCGCTCATAGGTTTGCCATCGTAATTAGCCATTCGGTTGAGTTTCAACCACTTATCACCTCTAAGGGTTTGCGCAGTCATGTAGTTGTCAAAACATCCTAATGCTTAAAACTACAGTGGTTTATTGAGTCATATTCTCATTTACTTTTGCCGATGCTAGTTACACATTTTAGTTAAGATATCGCCTTTTCAACTTATGGTTTATTTGATCAAGCTGTTAACATTTGTTTCATAAACGATCAGAATTTGTTATAGCTGTTCTGTTAAAAAAGATCATTGATTTTCTTTTCTAGTCCAGATATATGGGATGTATTGACAAGTAATGTTACACTATCATGCTCTAATCCTGTTGTGGAAAGTACGCTCCAGTTCCAATCTTGGATTCTTCGGCTTCTCAGTGCACCAGCACCAATTCCTGGCTGCACATGTGTATATGTAAGTATTTGTTTGTATTCCTTAGTTTCCATTCCTAGGTTGTTGGAAGCATATTTTTTCATATTTTCTTTTCATTTATGCACATACAAACGCTACTAGATGTAAATAATTAATTAAAAGTCTTAAAAGTGAAAGCTTTCCGGATGAAAAACTTCAGTCTTAATGTAGGTATTGCAAGAACTTCGTATCTCATTTAATTAATGCATGAATTGCCCCTGAAGTACTCTGAAAAGTGTTCCATCACTATCAAAGTACATCATTGGAAGACATGGTTTGACATAATTTGGTCAGTAGTTCCAACTTATAAAACATAAAATTCCCATACAATATTTAAAAAGCAAGAGCATTATAATGAACGGTCGTTTTCCGTAATTTCGTCAGATTCTACAGTTACAAAATTCAAACTTACTATTTTCCTGTTACGGTAGATAGAATATTAAAGTTGAAATAATTCATGTTTTAAATTGAAAAAGCCAAAATTTCACGTCGATTGAGTCATAGCCCCCAAATGCCCTGGTATGGCTAAAAGTGGGGAGGGCCTGTCCTCTCTTTCGAAATGCTCTCACACGGCCACGCGTATACAGCCTCTGCCAGGGAAGTTCTACTCGCTGCCTTTTCGCGCCGCAGGTGTTGTTTACGAAATTGAGGGGACGAAAAGCGAATATCCGGCGCTTTGACGGGGCCAGTGAAGACGCTGAGTTCACCTAGGGGAGTTGGAAAACCGCGATTCCAAACCGATGGTGCATATGGGCTTTATTATCCGGAGGGAACAAATGGCGTATGAACCAATCGTTGTTCACCGGCTACCATGGGACTGCATCTCCTTGCGATGCCCTACTGCCTTGTAGATCAGACCTTTAGATTAAAGGATCGGGATGTGGCCCCCTAAGAAAACCACCTGATTCGGTCTGGGCACCCGAGCAGTATCATAGCCCACACATAAATTTAATGTAATGACGACAAATAAATAAATAAATAGTACAAATTACCAGTGAAACAAAATGATGTAATTGGTTATTTTGAGAAAAGTTCGTAGATAAAATGTCAACTTACAAGAACTTAAAAACATTTAATAATACTTATCCATCGATCAGTTGCTTACTTGAAAAAGAATATGACAATAAAACTGAGTTTCTGAATGTCCTCTCTAAAAGATCGGATTGTTCAGCCGATAAATGTACTTAGAAAAGAATATTCGGCGGGGCAATATATCCACAGCTTCACATCACTCCAACATAAAATCAATCTATTTAAGTGTCTGATTCATAGAATCTGACATGTATGTTCTAAGGATAGTATAAAAAGAGAGCTAAGAAAACCATGGATAATGCTACTATAAAATGAATATCATGGTAATTTCGTAAAGAAATACATAATCTGAAAGTAAGATATGGATTTCCACAGTTGTGAAGAAAACTGTATCTAAGACTATTTCAAGAGTGATGTAGTGAGCTCATTATGCATAAGTTTATCAATATGAACTGGTTCAACGTTATATCAATTAGTCAGCTATATTCAGTGGTTTGTGATTAACTCTTATGTTATATAATTTATTTCTTTGTTAAATTAACAAAAAATCCTCTTAGTCCCTTATTGTACTGATTGATTTACAAACATTAGTGTTAAATTATCTAAATTTTGTTTCATTCTTTAATAATTCAGCTTTCAGTTCAACCGCAAATCTTGGGTTCACCTTTGTGTTTTGCTCTTCCTGATCAATCACGTCTTCCTTTGGTTGATTTTCCTGTGAATCTGCCTTTTGAAATTATGGGTATCAGGAAAACTTTTCGTTTAATTATGTGTCTTCTATTGGAACAAAAAGTAAGTTTATTTGACTTCAGATAATCAGGATCCTTTTTATGTTTTTTAATAGTCGGTCAGCTACAACGTAAGACCAGGCATATATATACGTCGGTCCAAATTGCCATACCTCATTAGCACAACAAGATGAACACCGGATTCATAGAAGTAGTTAAGTCAGTGGTGGTAATATATAAAAGAAAGATTGCATATAAGAACATAGTACAGGAGGAAAGAATTATTTCGTAGAAATAAAGATATGAAGCGCTTTTAATTTCATAGTTTAAAGCAAGACAAAGAGTGTATACACCGAAGCCATTGTGATCCATTGTGAGCCATGTCACCCAGAGTCTCCAACCATTGGTTACGATAGTCACGCGGACCCCAATCAAATAGTCTGCATCTACTAACATGGCTCAAACTAGAAGTTAGTAACTTAAAGCACTGTGAATAGAGATTATTTTATAATTATTTAATTAAATTACACATTCCTGTCGTCGATGTTTGACTGGATAACAAGTATAATAATGGCTAGTGATAACCGGGTTGATCAAACAGATATATAGGTGTTGGGATTTAACCCTGCTCCCTATTGATTGATTTTACATTTAAGTCCAACTTGTTTCTTGTTTAGCTCTCACCTTCATATTTATCGATTGTCAATAGATTGTTTTCATCGATATATTTTTGTTTACTGTATTGATTTTGTCTCCATTGGACCTTATTTAAGACCATAATTTGACAAAGTATAGTGACGTAATTGTTTGTTAAAACCGTTTTGTTGATAGGATATTATGCATATTAACTGGACTTGAACTGATGGGCATTCGTGTCAGCCACTATGTTGATGATACATATATGTTCTTTCTGTTCAATATTTTTCGTTTATATAGAGTACCGGTAAAATGGAGAACTATTTTATCATCATTAAGATGATATATTTGCATTACCATTGAGACACAAACCCAGCATGCATTGCTTCAAATACTAGCCGTCCCCGTTATGTGACCTGCGACCAACAAGTCCCCATCGGCCACTTAAACGACTCTTTTCTGTGCCTAGACGTCTGACCTAAGCATTCAAGTCTCCGGCTAGTTCTAAAATATCTGTCGGACTCATTTTCTGAAGAACAGTTAACTGGTTGTAAAATTCATCCTTGATCGCATCTGGGCTGCAATCTGTCGGGTCATAGGCGGAGATAACGAAAAGATATCGTTTCTCACATCGATGTCTTCTTAATTTGATGGAACTTTCTAATCTAATAGCACATAACCGACTGTTAATGGGGATTCGATCGATTAGTGCTGTCTCAGCTCTAGCGATTAGTGCGACACCAACGGCAGCAAAACCAGACAAAGATGCCACAGGATCCCCGAATAAAATGTACGTAAAACAAGCCTATTGAAGCGACAGATTGAGAGCGTTTGAAGCGAACGGTACTGGGTTTGAGTCCCAAAGTGAACATCAACTCTGAGATGCAGGTACATCCAGCTGACGAGTCCCAAATAGGACGAAGCGCGTCCTGCATTCCATTACTAGTTACTATCCATCTTTGCTTATAAATTATTTGCGTGTTTTAATCCAACTGTGGCATAAAAACATGATTTATTCAACCGATTCTATGTTATCACTAGCTATTCAGCTATATAATTTCGTCTTGACTTAATTGTGTAACCTAAACTCCATAAAATGATTAAATGTTTGATCAAATTTTCTTATTATTTAAAATAATCTTATTTATTACTGTGTTAATAACATATCTGAACGAATCAAATATTTTACTCAACTAATGTCACTATACAGTAAGTAGATAATCGTATAAGTAGTAGTGTGGTGTATGCTACTTATGTTGGCAGATATAAGTAGTATGTGATACCAATTAGCAGTGGAATGCTTATCAAAAGAGGGTTGGAAAGATCGTACTAAGAAAAATTGAAGGGAAACAGAAAGGAATTGGAATAAAAACAGAATTAGAAAGAACATGATCAATGTAAATGATAACTGATGGAAGATATGCAAATGAAGTATATAATGTATGGTTTTTATAATTTACAGGGGCACTGTAATTTTGGACTGAATAATAAATTAATCGATATAACCAAATCTTTCTTTACTACAATAGTGTTTCTTGTTGTAGTTTTTCCTGTTCCAATGATGATTTTCTTTACGGAATGAAACGAATTGAAGCCAGGGAAGAAGCAGAGATTCTTCTATGATCTTATGTTACATCTAAATTGATATCATAAAATCTTGCTCGCAATATAACTAAGCCGATGTTTGGTTAACATTTAGTGATCCGAATGAAATCAATTTTAGTTGATTTTACAACATAGGATGATGATCATTCAATATCATCAGTGAATAACTTCTGTCATTTCTGAAATCGTTGATCCTCCACAAAAATCTTGACTTTCCACTGGAAAGTCATTATCTATTAGGATACCATTATTCTTTTATTAGATATTTTGTGGGTAATTTCTAATATGGATTAACATAAAGTGATTTTCAACGTACGAATCCTAAGTGTACATCATCAAATGGCTTCAATCTATGACAAACAGCTATTCGATACTTCTTAGTTTTCTATGTTGGTTTTTTATTTTGGATGACATCAATTCCTAAATGTGCAAGTTAAATGATTTTTATATTATTAGAAAAAGTAATTTTTCTAATTTATAGATAGAAAGCGATGAAAATCTTAGTGAAAACACTCGACCTTCAACTATTAGGCCCCAGGTCCAAACCCTTCGTCATTTATTTTTGGCCTCGATATACGAATAGTAACACTATTTTGTATGAAAAAAATTGTATCTCTCAGTTAACCTTTCATAAACAATACATAAGGTCTGGCACAAATGTTCATCACTTCAATCCTCATTACCATAAAACAAAACTTTATTAAAATTAATATCAAAGTAGTAGAATTAGTACTATTACTATTGTCAATGTTAATATAGTAGGTTAGTCATGATATAATAACTTTATACTTTGCAAATAAATAAAAAATAACACACGGACATATAAACCACGATAAAATCATATTCTTACGTAGACTAGTCAGTTCAATTCTGTCAAATGTCTGATCAGCCCTAATGAGTTGGTGTCTGATGAAATCTCAGCACGAATTCGAAAAGCTCGCTTGGCTTTTGCCAACCTACGTCACCTATAGCGAAGGCGAGATATTCGTCTATCAATTAAGGGACTAGTATACTGCGCGGCAGTTCGTTCTGTTCTACTTTACGGCTGCGAAACGTGGCCATTAAGAAAGGGTAGAAGATACTCGTGAGCTACTAGTATTTGACCACTGCTGTCTTAAAAATATTGCTCACATCTGATGGGATCACCGGGTAAGTAATAGTGAGGTTAGACACAGGGTATTAGAGAATGATGATAAATCAGTTGATGAGGTTGTAAATCTTCATCGACTGAGATGGTTGGTCCACGTGTTACGTATGCCTGAACACCGATTACCACGACACACAATGCTAATTGGTGTTGGGGATAGTTGGAAGAAAGTTAGGGGCGGCCAAACCAAAACGTGGCATCAGTGCTTGAAGTCACTAACTTCTGGTCTGAGCTATGTTAGTAGATGCAGACTACATGGTTGGGGTCTGCGTGACTATCGTAACCAATGGTTGGAGACTCTTGGTGACATGGCTCAGAATCGATCGCAATGGCTTCGGTGTATACACTCTCTGTTTTCCTTTAAACTATAAGATTAAAAGCGCTTCATATCTTTAATTCTACGAACTAATTCTTTCTTCTTGTACTATATCCGTATATGCAATCTTCTATATATTATCACCATTGAATTAACTACTTCCATAAATTCGGTGTTCATCTTGTTGTGTTAATGCGGTATGTCAACTTGGACTGATGCAAATATGTGCCTGGTCTTACGTTGTAGCTGAATGACTGCTGACTGAAATCATAATGTAGAAGCTTGGATATAAATAAATAGTGACTGTCATAATTCAATAAATACATGCATAGAACTCATGTATTTTAAGCTGTCAACACTTCGTTTTTTTAATGTATGACATAAGAGTACACTCGTTTAATAAGTAGTTTTAATGTTTATAGCTATATGACTATCATTTTTACTGTTATAATCTAAATGTTTTCTTTCATCTTGGGTTTTTCATCTTTGCATAATTAATCTATATCATCTTATGCATCTCCTCACGATGCTCCACTGCCTTGTGGGTCAGACGTTCAGGTCGAAGGCTCCGGGTGTGGCCCCCTAAGAAAATCACCTGCTTCGGTTTGAGCACCTGGGCAGTATCACAGCCCTCACACAAATCAATTGAGATTCGTGTGGCGCATATTTATTTGGTGCCTCCTTGTACCAATATCTATGTGTTAAAATAAATAAATAAATATATCATCTTATGCAATAAGTCATATTTCACCTAATGATTAAATGTTCTAATACTTTTTGTCTTTTCTCATCTAGGTGGTTTTACAATCAGCTGATTATAACAAGTTATCCTTAACAATTTTATCATTGGTTGCATTACTCTATCCACTTCAATATATGTTCCCAGTTATTCCTCTTCTACCTGCATGTATGCCTGATGCAGAACAGGTAAGTGTGTATTGGATTGAAGTGGTATGTTGATTTATAGAATTTTATTATTTCAATAGTTAAAATCATAAGTCACTTGAAGCTAGACCATCATGGAAAACCTAGAAGCACTGGACTGCCGTTTCGTCCTAGTATGGGACTCTTCAGCAGTGCGCATCCACGATCCCGCCCCCCGCGAGTTGAAGTTAGACATTAACACCATTGGATGTCGGCTCGGTGGTCTGGTGGTTAAGAGCTCGCGCGCGGGACTGATAGGTCCTGGGTCTGAATCTCTCGGGATCGTGAATGCCCACTGTTTAGGAGTCCCACAATAGGACGAAACGGCCGTCCAGTGCTTCCAGCTTTTCCATGGTGGTCTAGCTTCAATTGACTCATGATTCTAACTATTGAAATTACTAAAACCTCCATAAAACCCCTTCTGATAATTTTATTATTATTAAATTAAAAGTCCCTATTCGGTACATAATCCCACTCATATTCTCTTAAACTATAAAGAACACAAAGTCTGGTAAGAATGTGTATCAGCCGAAGTTGTTCTACACTTCATATCAACATATCAAGTGAGAAAAAATAGAGTGATGTATAGTTGGTAAAGTAGAAGGTGATCAATATTTTCAAAGAACTTAATTAAATATTTCGATAAAGATAATAGATAGATTTTACCGCATTAGTATAATGGAATGTAAACTATGTAATCAGAAAAAGAAACCATATTAGAGGCATATTGAAATCACATCGTTGTGTGTGTTACTTATACGGATGGACATGGTAAGAATTGGAAGTGAAATGCTTACTTGCAGGTGATTGAAATGAAGAGAAGAGAAATGAATACCGAGAGCGATTGGGACAACAATAGGATTGGAAGAATGATGGAACATATAATGGACAACTTAAGGAAGATATACAAATGATGTATTCAATATGTGATTTTCATATCTTACAAATGTACTGCATAATTTTGCATAACACAATAAATTGGTTTATCATACCTGAGTTTTTGCAATCCCTTTTGTAGGACTTTGAGGTCCAAACAAACCCCTGAACAACTAAGTATCTCTCAGATTGTCATTGAGTGACACAACTATGCTTAGTCTCCTATTTCAATACCTTAAAAAATGTGGGAAGACTAAAATGTGTTCATTGTGTACCCATTCATAGCAATATGGAAGTTACATGTAATTACATTTAATCCTTTGAATGATTTTATCGTAATTTAGTCCCATCATTATTTTTATGAAAAAAGAACCAAGATATATCAGTGGCGACGGGAATGGAAAAAGGACTAAGGTCAGCCAGTCAATCAGTGTAATTATTTCAGACAATCAGCATACAGAATTGCCGTCGATATCTTTGAATGACATTGGTTGTTAATTTTCTATACAGTATTTTTCATTACTGTGCTGATTCATACAGAAACAGAAAATAGCTCTCCTTTCCGATCAATTTCGGTTGCTATTTTAGCGACAACAGCAGCATTTTAAAAAGCATCAGTTTGAATTTGTAGACAACTTACACACACGTCTGCTGAATCATCCATGTTTTGTAGATATGACGGGAGTTAATGAACTGATTTCTAAATTGCGTACAGAGCTAAAAAATGATTGCAGAACGTATGAATATGTCGATGAAAGCCTCTATGAATCCTTGACAAGCAGTAATGTAAACAAAGCAGTAGCAGTCATTCATGATCCACTCAGTGGTCCAGAAACGTCCTGTAGTGTGTTCAAATCGCATTCTCCCCGAAACACACAATGTGCAAACACTGAGTTGTCCAGCTCACAGAACCACGATGTCTTGTTAAATCCACATGAAATTGTTGCAGTACCCGCTCACGAAGAAACTTATCAGGGTTCTCTAATTGTTTTACCAGATATGAGTTATCTTAATGACTCACATGTTTTGATCAAATCTCTTGCAAAAGTCAGAAAAATATGTCAGATGTATCAAATAATGATCAAGAACCTAATAAAATTCTGATAGATGTTGATTATCCTAGTAACCCATTATCTATTAATGTGATTTTCAAGGGATTATTATTATTTGAACACATAGATATTGGTACAAGGAGGCACCAAATACATGTGCGCCACACAAATCTCATTTGATTTGTGTGAGGGCTGTGGTACTGCCTCGGTGCCCAAACCGAATTAAGTGGTTGTCTTAGGGGGGCACATCCCGAGCCTTTGACCTAAAAGTCTAATCCACAAGGCAGTGGAGCATCGTGAGGAGATGCAGTTCAGTCGCATGGTAGCCGGTGACCAACGATTGGTTCATACTTCATTTGTTCCTTCAGGTTACTGGAGCCCATGTGCATCATTGGTTTGAAATGAGGGTTTTCCAACTCCCTAGGTGGACTCTCCGCGTCCATCGACCTGGTGAAAGCGTCGGAAATTCGCTTTTCGTCCTCTTAGTTTCGTAAACAACACCTGTGGCGCGAGAAGGCAGTGAGTATGACTTCCCTGGCAGAGACTATATACGCGTGGCCATGTGAGGGCAATTCGAGAGGGTGAGCGGACTCTTCCCATCTTTCTCACCATTATTGTAACCTGAATCTTTTCCATGCAGCTCAAAAATACCAACCTGATAATAGGTGGGAGTTAGTGAAAACAAGAATAATTGTTCTGAGTGAATGAAACACAATCACTGTTCAATATTATTGGCAGGCAACATCAAGGTCAGGATTTTCAATATAAATATCAACACAGTTCTACTGTATGGGGTGAAAACCTGGAGAACTACAAAACCATCATCCAGAAGATACAAGTGTTTATTAACAGCTATCTACACAAAATACTTCGGATCCGTTGAGCAGACACTATCTGTAACAACCTACTGTGGGGGAGAACGAACCAGATCCCAGTGGAGGAAGAAATCAGGAAGAAGCGCTGAAAGTGGATAGGACACACATTGAGGAAAGCACACAGCTGTGTCACAAGACAAGCCCTCACATGGAATCCTGAAGGCCAAAGGAGGGGAGGAAGACCAAAGAACACATTACTCTGAGAAATGGAGACAGCTGTGTAAAGAATGAACAACAGATGGATAGAAGTAGAAAGGAAGGCTCAGGACAGAATGTGTTGGAGAATGCTGGTAGGCGGCCTATACTCTATTAGGAGTAACAGGCGTAAGTAAGTAAGTAAGTAAGCTTTTGAAACCACATGATTTAATTTGGGATACTATTAAAACCTAGGATCATTTAACATATGTGCTCACCTACGACCCTACCCGAGATCGAGTAAAGACCTTCAGGGTAGTCATTGAAACCGACGAGTCAGCATCCAACAATATGATTCCGAACATCAATCAGTTTGAGATGATGCAATAGTTTGTAACATATTTGAACTATCATACTAAATTATCTATTACTTAGTGACTACCTATTCCTATATTAAAATGTATTTATCATTTATGTAGATATATTTCAGTCAATTAATCATTTCTCCCCTTATTTTTCATCTGTTTTCCTTTTCAATATGAAAATAATTTAGCTTTTATTAGCGCCTACACCCTATTTAATCGGTGTTCCAACAGCATTTTATACTGCACGGAAAATTTTTCGTATGCCTAAAGATGTTTGGTTAGCTGATTTGGATACTTGTGAAGTATGTTTAATTCAATTTAATCTCTTTTTTTTGTTCTTGGATTGTTATTTGGGAAAAGTGTTTCTCTACATTGATTTTCTTTTAGTTTTCTTGTTAAAGTGAGCGGTCTATGCTCCTTCACAAGGAGTAACAGGCTTAAGTAAGTAAATAAGTTTCTTGTTACTAGTTTGATTTTCTCTCTGATCCTGTAGTCAGCTTTTAGTGTTTACTTTGCTATGGTTAACCGTGCAATAAAATTTTTTATTATTCGTTTTAATTAATAGTAACAACAAGGACTTGGAATTAGTCTACAACCGGTTAAAACTGGAAGCATTGGATGGCCGTTTCGTCCTATTGTGGTACTCTTCAGCAGTGCTCATCCGCGACCCCGCCTCGCGAGATTCAAACCCAGGACCTATCGACACTAACCAACATTTTCTCGCTAGTGACTGGCTTCAAGATGTATATCCTGGAGTTCTAGTGAGAAACAACGACCAGTGGAGTTCAACCGGGTCACTTGTGAGATAGTAACTCACTGAAGATAATGGTGGATGTGTCGCTCAATTTCGTGGATTAGTTAGAGTTAGACGTTAACACCATTGGATGCCGGCTCAGAGGTCTAGTTCATTAAGCGCCTGGAGGGAGACTGATAGATCCTGGGTTCGAATTTCGCGAGGCGGTATCGTGGATGAGTACTGCTGAAGAGTCCCAAAATAGGACGAAACGGCTGTCCAGTGCTTTTAGGTTTTCCATAGTGGTCTAGCTTCAATTGACTTATGATCTCAACTACTGAAATTACTAAAAAATCTCCACAAGACCCCTTTTGATACTAACCGGTCAAACCTTTAGTCATAATCGATATTTTCTGCTTGAAAAAATGTTTCTTTTAATCTATTGTTGTCCACTTGTCATATAAGAATTTCAAATTGAAGTAAAACAACTTGGATGAGTATTATAAGGCGTTTATAGGGATTTTTGAATTTTGTAGTTGACTGGGCTTAGCTTAAAATCAATCAAAGCTAGGAAGCACTAAACAGCTGTTTTGTCTTAGTTTAGGATACCTCACCAGTGCGCAGTTATACCCTCATTCTCGGGTATCAAGTCCAGAACCTACTGTCCTGTGTATTAGCGCTGAATTTCTGGAGACCACTGGGTATCGGCACAGTGGTTTAAATTTTTAACTTCAATTACATCCTTATTAGTGACTAGGATCAGGAGGTGATCTCGGAGTTTTAGTGGGAACCGGTGACCAGTGGAATTTAGTCATGTTGAGTTTTATGCAATTACGTACCAATTATATCGGAAGTCGATTGAACAATATATCAATGGGATTGGAATGCTTACATACCAACTGGGTGCTTGGTAATAATACTGGATGTTATTTCGAAATCTTTCACTAACTATAATGAAAACGTTATAAACAAAGATGGATAGTGGCTAGCAGTGGAATCCAGGACACGCGTTTCGTCCTATTTGGGACTCGTCAGCTGGATGTACCTGCATCTCAGAGTTGATGTTCACTTTGGGACTCGAACCCAGTACCGTCCGCTCCAAACGCCATCGCGTTATCCACTTAGCTACTGAGTCCTAATAGCCACTTGCTTATGCAATAGGGTGAAGTTTAATTCATTTGATGTTGTTTCATTTGAATCTTCCCATTGATGTTTAGGACTGAAATTGTTCAGTCCTGGATTCGGCTGCTGGCCACTATCCATCTTTGCTTATAATGCTTGTAAATTAAGGCAATATCGAGGCATACGCACAGTATGCACATATGCCAATAAGAGACTGAACAATTTTAGTCCTAAACATCAATGTGAAGATTCAAATAAAACAATATCAAATGAATTATAATGAAAACGTTTTTGATTATATCTATCTTGGATCCATTCGGTTTCGTGTGGTTTCGTTTTTCTGAAAAACAGTGACTGGTTCGTTTGAGTCACACATAAGATTCCTATTATTTGGTCTTTATAGAATAAGTGGTTTGTAGCTAGTGGTGTAATCAAAGATGTGGATTTTCTTCTATTTCAGGCTCATAATCCGAATATACTTCTTCCCCTATAGTATTGATGTTAAAACTGAGACTCGAACCCAATGTCTTTCACTTCAGCTTTATAGTTTACTATCTGTGGTTTTCAAAGCCTTAAAAACCACATTAAGGCTAACCATTGGAAAGCTAATACTTTGTCACTGTTTTTCAGATTTTAATCTTTTCAAGTCTTTGACCTTGTCACCGGATGAATAGTTCCACAAAAGTAGGGTGATGAGTTTACTGAAAACAGTACAGAAAATGCCAATTGTTAGTATCTCATTAATTAAAATTAACGATAACTTCGGCGTTCCACTCGGGAGTCTGATGTAAGATCTTCCAGAGAACTAATCAAATATCAAAATTACGAAACATGATTAAGGATTCATTATAATAGCTGTATCAAATGAAATAGTTTTTCATATATTCGACATAAATTTGGTACTACTAACTAGTTGATAAAACTAGATTGAATTAATAAACTAAAATAAGTCAGTTAGTCAGTAACAACGTAGAACTTCGTACGTACGTACATCACTTCGAGTTGCCATACCACATTAGCAAAAAGATACAATTGTCGATTCAAATCCCATGGTGGTAGAGGTTGTGAAAGTATAAGTAGTGACAGGGAACATTAGGGTTTGATGATCTTATTTAAGGTGTATAATCCAGTGGAATAGATTTGGAAAGAGAAAAAAGAAAGAGACATGAATAATTTAGAAGATTAGAATTTGAGAGAACACAAAGAGTGGATGCACCTGCTCCATTGCAAACGATTTTGAGCCATGTCATACAAGATCTAACCATCGATTGCTATCATCTCGTGGATCCCCGAAACCAGGTAGTCTACACCTACCGACATGGCTCAGTCCACTTGTCAGTGACTTCATAGATTTGTGCCATGTTTTTGTTTGGCCGCCTCTACCTTTCTTCCAACCTACCCCTACACCTAAAACATCGCACGTCGGGGCAGTCGGTGGTTGGGTATACCGACTGCCCCATCAGCATATGCAATGAGACTCATTCAGATCTACTTAATGAATAATACATAGGTTCAAATGCCTATTCTGAATTTTATTGTCACTGTGACATATTATTTATAACTCTTGAAATGTACATAATTAATTGAATTTTATTATTAAACCAATCGATGATAAAACACAATTGATAAGCTTCAATCATAATGGTTAATGAGAATTGTCAATATGTTTTTTTTGTTCATATTCCATTTCAGTTATCTTATCCTATGGTGGTTGATGAAATACCAGAGTTACCTGAAATAGAAAGTAACATTCTTATTAATCATTTAAGAAAAGTACGTGCATATTATAGTAATTTCAATGGTTGAAATCATGAGTCAGTTGAAACTAGACCACCATTGAAAACTTGGATTCCGGCTGTCTCAGTAGTCTAGTGGTTAAGTGCTCACGCGCAAGACTGATAGGTTCTGGGTTCGAATCTCACGTGGTGGGGTCGTCGATATGCACTGCTGAAGAGTCCCACAATGAGACGAAACGGCCGTCCAGTGCTTCCAGGTTTTCCATGATGGTCTAACTTCAATTGACTCATGATCACATTCATGAAAAGTATGTGCATTCGATTTCTTTTCATTCATTTACTGTGAATGTATTTATTTTCTATGTGTAAATAGCTTTCACGAACAATCATTGACAAATGTGTTATTTCAACTATGATAGCTTTTCAATCAACAATTTGTTTCTTTTTTTAGCCATCAATGCTTACAGTTAACATGTATTGCGACTGACTAATTTACTTAGCTTTTTCAAAAAAAGACGTAATACATCAGTGTGATCTGTTATTCGACCCTCTTTTATATAGTCTTCTCACGAATGATCAAAGTTTGGGATCCAAATTGAATAAAACTATTATTCGTAAGAGACTAAAGACTCAATTCACTTTTAGTTTCCAATAAAAGCTAGAAGTTGAGACATTTATGTTCTTCCCTAACCCGATTGATCAAGCGCTTATAGTTGTGATCGATTTCACCTTTTCTTCGGAAGCATACATCACATCAAAGTTACTGATAAGAGACATCAATACCTTTTGATTTTTCTTCATTGAATTCACATTGGAGGTAGTAAACCTCCTGTTGTATTTCTACCTTCTACTTTTACTCTGAGTTAAAGCATCAAAAGTTTATATGAGCTTAAAAGCCTTTTAGGAAGTGCGCATCTCAAATGTTGTAATGTACTAGATGTAGCAATAGTATTATTATTACTTTTGTTCGTTTGTTGATTTTTTCTAGTTTATGAACTGTTTTGTTAGGTTGTTTTTTTTTTTTTTTGATGTTTCTGTTGTGTGTCACAAAAGATTCAATTCTTGATTAGTCGGAGATAACTGTAGATGTATTGAGGAGTAGTTCTGAAGATATTGATACATAATTTATAAAGAGTGAGTTATTGCTAACCTTATTGCAGAAATACGTTAAATTACACAGAAATGAAGTTGAAGATCGTCATTTATCTGCTTCAACAAACACATCGTTGACTGAATTGTAGGGGAAAAAAGGGTGTATGTCAGCTATCGATTTCCTAATTGACTTCATCCAAATATTCTTGACTGGTTAGAAAACTGGAATTAAAAAAAAACGCCAATCGATTGTGTAATATTAATTTAAAAGTTTGTATTTTTTCCGTTGTTGATATTTAGTATCGAATGGATTAATCTCTCAGTTGGTGGAACATCAACAATCAGGTTCAGTTACGAACAGTTAACGAGTTGTCAGTCAGTCAGTCAGCTGCAACGTAGGACCAGGCATATATATGCATCAGTCCAAGTTGCCATACCTCATTAGCACAACAAGATGAACACCGGATTCATAGAAGTGATTAATTCAATGATGGTAATATATAAAAGGAAGATTGTGTATAAGGATATAATACAGGAAGAATTATTTTGTAGAAAGAAAGACATGAAGCGATTTTAATGTCTTAGCTTAAAGGAAGACAGAGAGTGTATACACCGAAGCCATTGTGATCGATTCTGAGCCATGTCACCAAGAGTCTCCAACCATTGGTTACGATAGTGATACGGACCCTAACCATGTAGTCTGCATCTACTAACATGGCTCAAACCAGAAGTTAGTGACTTCAAGTACCCATATTCATTACTTCTCATTAAAACTATCTTAAATGTAAATTTGATGATAAGTTTCCAACTATTCATATTGTAATCTTATCTTCAAATTCTTTTCTTTTTTCTAACAATGGACATATCAGTTACTTCATGAATTTTCAAGTTCATCTCATATTGATTTGGATTTGGATGATTCTTCAAAACATTGGCCTGTTTCTGTAGCACGTACAACTGCATATGAGTTATCGAAATTTGATCCTTTATTGTATACACTCACAAAAGATTCTGTTGATGTCGGTATACGTGTATCTATGGTAAGCGGAACTTATAATAGCACCAACGATAATAATATGTGTAGGTTTTCCATTAGTATGGCTTTATAAAGATCTTTTTTTTGGCATCCTCCGATAAGTTCCTCGATAAATTCTTCAATATTCAGGAAAAGGGTGAAAACACTTACCCCAATATGCATCCATTTTTAATTTCCCAAAATTTATGGGTCATGTACCATACTCTGATTAGATAGTTACTTTGGTTATTAGGTTATGCATAAACCTTTAAATACTCTTGATCTTTTTCATATCAAATAACTGTGAAGTTAAGCATTTGTTCTTACTTCGAACTTCTCATCCAATTTAAGGGGCTGCAATGTAGGGAAACTGAGGATTTAGGAAGCGGCTAAGAAGTCATTATTAAGCTTTTGAATACAAAAAGTATTGGTCTAATACAATTTGAATGGTAATGTTGTTGTAGACTGTAGTAAGAGTAGATTGAAACCAAAATGTTGAGTCAATCTATGAAATTACCGATTGTTAATCTGAGGGATGTCGATAGGTGCAGATATGGTGCCCTTATATAGTCGAGGGGGGAGGAGTCAGCTCTCCCTCTCGAAATGCTCTCGCATGGCCACACGTATACAGACACTGACAGGGAAGTCCTACTCACTTCTTTTTCTCACTGAGGGTGTTGTTCACGAAACTGAGAGAACGTAAAGCAAATGTCCGACACTTTAACCTGGTTGGTGGATATTGTGAATCCGCAGAGAGTTATTGGAAAACCCTGATTTCAAACTAATGGTGCACATGGACTCCAGGATCCTGAAGGAACAAAAAGCGTATGAACTTATTGTTGGTCGCCGGTTACCATAGGATTGCATCTCCTTACGTTGCCCCAACGTCTTGTGGATTATTCCTTCGGGTCAAATGCTCGGTTAGTGGCTCTCTAAGAAAACCACCTACTTCGGTTTGGGCACCCGGGAAATAACACAGCCCTCACACAAATCAGGTGATTTGTGAAGCACATATATATTTGGTGCTTCCTTTTACCAATGTTTATATGTTTAAATGAATAAATACTTTTACGTTCTTTTTCGAACATGGTTTGCCTATCATATCTACTATAGTTATTTCGACTCTTTCAATATTCTGCTTATTTATTTCATATCATTTTGCTGGCATAATTATAAGAACTTAGGTTGACGTATGTTTATCTTATGGTGATCTGCTTTGATTATAACCTGACTGACTTATGACAAATTGATATCGTTAGATCGACCTCTTTTTTAATTTAACTTTATTGATCTCATATTTTGCTTTTTTTGTGAATCGTAACAAATGAGCCTTGTTGTACAAATTTCTTAATAGATCCTGTTTTGTAGACAATTAATTGATTGACTTATTTATTTGAACACATAGATATTGGTACAAGGAGGCACCAAATATATATGCGCCACACAAATCAAATGAGATTTGTATGAGGCCTGTGATACTGCTCGGGTGCCCAAACCGAAGTAGGTGGTTTTCTTAAGGGGCCACACCCAGAGACTTTGACCTAAGGGTCTGATCCTCAAGGCAGTGGAGCATCGTGAGGAGATGCAGTTCAGTCCCATGGTAGTCGGTGACCAACAGTTGGTTCATACTTCATTTGTTCCCTCAGGATACTGGAGCCCATGTGCACCATCGGTTTGTAATCAGGGTTTCCCAACTCCCCTAGGTGAACTCACCGTGTACACAGACCTGATTAAAGTATCGGACCTTCGCTTTTCGTCCTCTTAGTTTCGTAAACAACACCTGTGGCGCGAGAAGTCAGAGAGTAGAACTTTCCTGGTAGAGGTTATATGCGTGTGGCCATGTGAGAGTATTTCGAGATGGTGAGCGATCTCTTCCCACTCTCGGCCGTACCAGGGCATTTGTGGGAAATTGATTGGCTAATATCATCATTCATTGTTTCCCTCTGTTTTATAGATTCTCTTCTTCAATACAAACAACATTCTAGGTGGATTTACCAATCATATACGTACTTTACGATTGTTTCCTCGTCCAGTCGTTGCATTTCAGTATGAAAGTTTTATGAAGTCTCGTCCAAAGCCATGTTTGTTTACTAGCATGCTTGCGAAAACTCAGGTATGTATCATTATACTAATCTATATACATATATATTTTTTTCGGAGTGTATTTAAACGGCAGATACGTAACTGTTTCATACATCATACTATCGCTCCGTATGTTTCAGACATAGACCATGTTTCAAAGACTTGAGCATGCATGATCAGTCGATCAAACTGTAAAAACTTTCGTCAATATGTTATTACTTAAATGACTCCGTTTGTTGTTTCAGATCCTTTGTACCCTACCCTCCTCGTAACATGACTCGCTACACTGTGTATCAACATAAGTAGTATATAACACCAATAGGAAGTGGAAATCCTGGAAGCATAAGGCTATGATAGTCGACTTGAAGAAAACATAAACAGAAATAGAAAGGGATAGTGAATTGGAAGAATCATACAGAATGTGGAGCACAAATGATGGAAATTTGCAAGCGAACTATTTAATATATCGTTCTCATATTTTACCAAAAGATTCTGTAAGTTTGTATTAAATAGTGAATTGGTTGTCTGTCAGCCAGTCAGTCAGTAACAACGTAGAACTTCGTACATACGTACATCAGTTCGTGTTGTCATACCACATTAGCACAGAGATGCAGTTGTCGATTCAAATCCCATAGTGGTAGATGTAGTAAGAGTATAAGCAGTAATCGAAAAGATCACGGGACGTGAAGAATTCAGAAGATTAGAATTTGGGAGAACATAATGAGTAGATGCACCTGCGCCATTGGTTGTCCCCTCCTGAGTGTTTTTTTATTGTGATATTATTCAGTTCCGGAAACCTAAATAGATGAGAGTGTATGATCTAATTGACTAGAAGCTAATTGTTAAACGTTACGTTTATTTTGGCGCTTTTAACAACCCAACATTTATTCTGATTTGATTCCGTTTTTTATGTATTTGCTTGTTGTTTAATACATTATTTTTAACTTTTCACGATGAAATGTATCTAGGTCATTTTATCATTTGATCTCATATATTTGTATTAAGATGGGAGGTTTCTAGAGTTTGTTCAGTGTTGAAGATATATTGTTGTTATAACCCTGGAGAACTGATACTTGTTATAAGAACACCGTGAAATTCGCTCCACTCAAAGAAGAAGCTGAAACTAATGACAGAAGCATATTTTATTCACTTTCCAAAAGACACAACTATCATTTAATAGACTGATTTCGGCTTGGGAACCGTATAAAATTACTAAAAATCAGATAATTGTTTCTTTTTAACATAATAATGTTCAATACGTAACTCATTTACCTGATAATTGTTTATGAGCCACACTCAAAGTGTAAGAAGTACTGTTATTACTCGGTTACTGAAATCGAAGCAGGCAGCTTGGAGTTCGAACCTAAAATCTGCTGGCTGAAACCCGGATGCCCAAAATACTGAAATACAGCTCTAATCCTTAGAATAGAATTTAATGGTACTCACAAACAACCTCGTCAGGGATTAGACCAAGTACCGCTTACATGTCTCATAATAAACGTGTTACCTTTTAAAGACTACAAAATTAGTATCTAGTAATAGTTCACATCTAATTTCATCTAAATTGTTCATCCTTTTTCACATATTATTGTAGGCTGTAGAATATTTTGCTGAATCTTCAATTTGTGCACTAAATGAAGCCTATCAACGTATCTGTTCAGGTGTTTATTCCACAGAATTAATTGGTGATAAGTTATACTGGTATAAAAATCAATTACAACCCGTTGATTTTGATTGTTGGGACAAATTAATCGATTATACCAATGTTACAGCTACTAATACACCCATATCAAATCAATCATCTCCCAAGTTCAAGCTATCCTTATCAAATTCCAACCAGTCAATATTATTTCAAGCTTTTGAATTAGCAAAACATATTATAAATAGACGATGTTCTGGTGATATAAGTACAGAGATTGATACAGATAGCATAAATAATGATACGAATAATTTATCAATTGATGCTCAAACCAATGATCTTATTGGTTAGTATTACTGTTTTCGACCTTTTTTTAATGTTATGCTTCTTCAGTAAATTTAAAAATATCTAGTTTATACTTTATTTAATTCTAATGCAACTAGTTATCACCAAACAATGTATAGGCTATACAAAACAAAGGGATAACTTTGTGAAGATATAAAAGAGGCAAGTAGAGTGCCAACAACAACAACAAAAAAGATAAGTGAGCATGAATAGTATACAATAAGAGAATAGAGTTCAGTTGAAAGTATAACCTAGATAGGATTTATTTTGTCTGGCGTGTTGTCACTGTTATGTACATATAAACTCTGTTGAGTCCGCAATCTTACTGCTTATTTTTGACAATGGGGAACCACTTCAATTCCTGGATCGTACTGTTTACACTTTGATTTGCCACGACGCTAAGGGAGAATACGAAATTTGTGCAATGAATGTACATTGACTCTCAAAAAATACGTCCCCAAAAATTCCGAATATCACATCGTTATTAGACCAAAATATGATCATTTATATACTCACTCTTACATTCAATAATATCGCATGTAGGAGAAAATACATAGAGCTACTGTACAAAGCACACTAAATTTAGTTCACCCGAATCGTTATAGGGAATATATCAAGCTAAACGAAAGTTCACACCTGTCATCTTTGCTGAAGTTCATAATGAGTTGATACTTAAAACATTAGCCTAAATACTGTAATTATATTATCCCATAATATCAAATTCTTTCGGTGAACCAAGTTGCTTTCATTTATATGAAAAATGTTAATGAAAAGTATATTAGAATCTCCATGAACTTCTATTTTGATCTATGTCTGAAGTTATTGTGTTACATCATTTATAGTATCCTAACCAAGGAGTTGTGATGAATTGGCAGACGCTAGTTCTATACTTCTTTCTTTCTTACGGCAATACTTACTTATGTCTGTTATACCTCGTGGGGGAGGATAAACCACCCACAATTTTTCTTCATCCAACTCTGTCCTGTACAATCCTTTCCAGTTGCTATTCATCCTTTATGACCTCTATAAAACTAGAATGTATAATCCTTATGAGGAGATTTGTAATTCAGGTGGATGATTTTGATTAAGTTGTGTTCTCTGAGGTGGCGGATGGTTTGGTCGTAGAGCTTTCATCGTTTTTCTGAATGACATCATTAGCACAAACTTCAAGTAGAAGTAGTGTTCGAATATCTGCACATATGATTTACAACTTGTCCTATAGACATGTTATGACCTTGTTGTAGATATCTTAGACGGATCTACTCTACTGTTAGATAATCAACATAACGATAGATTCTAAATAAGTAGATACTTTATGTCCAGAATGATTTCCTATTACATTGATCTTAAATAAACAGAATGAAATGATGAAATCAGTGATAAACTGTAATTCATCTTATTAATTATTTATATTATTTTGTTTTATTTGAACACATAAATATTGATACACCGGGGCACCACATGTATATGCGCCACACAAAACAATTCGAATTCGAAGAGAAGAAAAAAAGAACAATAACGAACAGATTAGCGTAAGGTAGTGTAATAATAATAATAATGGCGGAAACGGAAAGGTATAATCAGAATAAATCTTCCAGTTAAGGAAGATACAACTTTTTATGATGAAAGTAAAAGAAGGTTACAGCAGGATCTCCACTGGCATCTATTTTGAGCCATATCTGATGACGTCTCTAGCCACTGTGTTGCACCATCTCTCGAACCCCAACCAGGAAGTCGTGAAGGACCAACAGAAGCTAGCCCTTTGCAGCTTTCTTTCATACCACGACACCATGTCTCCGCTTTTTCCAACCAGTCCCAGAGTCGGCAAATAATGCACGACGTGGAATTCTCCGGGACGACATTCGTAGAACATGTCCAAGCAACCGAAGTCGGTGTTTCAAGATGCTGACACCGACTGGATTGTCATCTCTGTGCCCGAACACACGATGCCGAACCTCTGCATTACTAACATGGTATTGCCACTGGATCTTGATGTTTATGGAAGATACTTTTCTTGCTTATTAATTAAACAATGCTTCATTAAGAAACATGACTTGTCACAATGATAATCATTAGTAAACAACTAAAATGTTGATGAATAAGATTGAATTGCTTTTTATTAAAAAAAACAATATGGAAAATCATGTTAAGCTGATGATGTAATCATTGTCTTGATTCATTTTGATTACAATTTGCTTATTGAATTAACAAATCATGTAGAAGTATATAGGCAAAGGAAAAGGGCCGACATTAGTTTATCATTTTATTGATTGTTGTACTGAACAAACCGCCTTGTTGACATTTATTATTTTTTTATTTATTTTAACACATAGGTATTGGTACAAGGAGGCACCAAATACATATGCACCACACGAATCTCAATTGATTTGTGTGAGGTCTGTGATACTGCCCAGGTGCCCAAACCGAAGCAGGAGGTTTTCTTAGGGGACCACACCCCGAGCCTTCGACCTGAACGTCTGACCCACAAGGCAGTGGAGCATCGTAAGGAGATTCAGTCCCATGGTAGCCGGTGACCAACGATTGGTTCATACGCCATTTGTTCCGTCAGGATACTGGTGCCCATGTACACCATTGGTTTGGGATCCAGTTAAAGCGCCGGACATTCGCTTTTCGTCCTCTCATTTTCGTAAACATCACCTGTGGCACGAGAAGGCAGTGAGTAGGACTTCTGTGGCAGAGGCTATTTACGCTACAGCCTAGTCCGGTCTAGGTGACTTGATTGAGATGCTGCGGTGGGTTGTGCTCGAGTCGTGTTGACATTTAGATGATAATTGCAGTTGAAGTTTTAAAATGGTTTAGAATTGCTTAAGTTTATGTCTATGTATAGATTATAAATTGAATAAATACATTAAATAACAATAGAAAGTTGTTACGATCTACTTAGAAATAAACTAGTAACTATTTAAAAAAAATAAATTTTATTGACTTTCTTAGTATGTAAGAAGTACTACTATTGGTTACTAAAATAGTCGTTTTCTGATGACCTCTGACATATAAAGAAACCGCTGAGTGAACAATGATCTTACGCGTAAACCTTTCGCTAGTCATTCTTATTACCTGTTTGTGATCTGTTTCTCACTTGATAATATCTTTCTCTTTTTTTCTTTTTTTTAGGGATATTCACTTCTTCCATTTCTATTTGATTTCGGTATAGTTTTTCTATTAGCGAAAATAATAATCACAGTTATGTCCTGACGTTTTTCAGACTGTCTGCCTTAAAACACTCCGGTATCTACGGAATTCATTTTTTTCAGTCATATAAGGAAATGAGAAACATAAAATGATAATTATATTGTGGAAAAATATGTCATACGCGTTTTTTCTGTCGCGTTTACTACGTGGCTTTCGTTCTGTGGAATGATGCTATATAATAGATTTGGTGTAATTCATTTTCCATGTACAGAGTTTATTGAAATTAACCTTAAGCCACACCCTCTATATGTATGTGTGTGTGTTATTGATGTTGTATGATACAATCCATTTAGATGGTGGTTGGAGGTAGTCGACAGGAAACCCTGGACCCGGGTTTCGTGCTACTTGGCACTCATCAGCAAGATGTACCTCTAATCTTTGAGGGAACTGGTGTTTCCTGGCGGATTCGATCCCGTGTCACCCAGCTTCACAGTCAGAGATGTTACCACTGAGCTATCCGGCCCGCAGTGTCGAGTCACCTAGATTGGTGGCCGTATTGCAACATGGTCGATAGCATTCGATGTGCACTAATAATAAGGACTAGACACGCATGATATTGGTCACCACCCAGTGATCAATCAATTGTGATACAATCCATTTGCTTGAATCGAAAGGGATCTAACGAGATAAAATTCTTACTATGATTTACTACTCATATTTTCCAGTTAAGATCTTTGAAGCGACCTGATTGAGAGTAATTTTTGTCAAAGTCATACTGAAGTTCACCCTGAATCTTTTTTTAAAAATCATATCTTGTGTTTGTTCGTTTTTTGTCTCTCAGGTATGTTTAAAACCTATTCCGATGACTCTGATTCAAATCATTCTTATGAAAGTGTTGTGTCAAATCGTAAAATATCAAACAAGATGGAAGATTGTATTTTAGTTCAAGCAAATAAACCATTGCCTGATTGTCTAACTGAATTTTACACTCCACCAACAGAGTTAGTTTATAGCAAAGAACCTAGTACTACTCGTTGTAGTCTATCATTGGGAAATGCCGTAAGTTGGTCAATGTATATAAACTTAACAACATAAACGATTGTTTCTAATATTTTTTGTTTTTACGAAAAGATATTTGGATCTATCAGTGGTTTATTGGTTACCGTACTCATATTCTTTCTAACCATTAAATCTCAATTTTAAACTCCATACTTCATGTATTTGACTTTGGGCAGTCGCATAGTAACTATTTGGTCCACGGTTGAAAAAGAAATTGGCTTGTAAAAATAAATAAATCTTGGCAACCCTATAATGAACTCCATTTTATAAATAAGTGATTTGGCTATTCTGTTGTTAGATCTTTTTTATTTGACATCAATTACAGTTTGTGTTCTCTTTCTCATCATACTGTTCATTGACAGATATATTTCAGCGCTGATTATTGCCCATAAGTGAAAGATTTAATACTGATTAGGCGCTTAATACAAAGGAGATATATTTCTTAAATGTTCGTCCTCTGAGCTTTTCGTCTTAAGGTTTAGTCCTCATAAATGTAGAATAAAGTTAGGTGATTCATTCCCTTGATACCTTTTTGACAAACAGGCTCTCAATATGGATCCATTCAACCGCATGACATTGGTCTCTACTCAATAACCAATCAGTTTTTGCATTGTTTAAAGTTTAGCACTGTTTACTGATTATCAATTTCCTATCGGATTATATTTTCGTTATTCATTCTGAATTGAGTGTTTATGAAGTTGGAAAATGTTTTAAATATGAATATGAGTTTTATTAATCATTCCCGCGTTTTATTTTTTAGGATATTACATTGTCGAACTTCTGGAGGTGAGTTTATGTGTATCTTATTCTATATCATTTTAAATGAAAAATGTATCATGAAACGTATTTTGGATATTATGGTTGTTCGTCTTTCGTGAATATGTTTTCCTCAGATACAGTTTTTGGTATTATTGCACATATGATGATGTCTCGGTAATACGCTTCAAATGAGAACACAAATAAGATCAGTTTCGTTCAGTCATTAAAATGTTTCTACAGAAAGTACAAGAATAAAGAGCATCAATGTCAGGGATCGTCTAGGATCACTGATTTACCATTTAGTCTCAGTTTCTTCAATTAATGCTAAGTATTTAAGGTGTTAGGGCTATGTTCATGAGGCTTACTATAGTTAATAAACCTGTTTTTAATAAATACTTTATTTCCATACATATTCCTTTTTCATATCATTGATGGTGTTTCAATTAAATGGTTCAAGTACAACAGTTTTACTGGATGATATTTATCTTTGAGTTGAAAGCTATCTTTGACAATATAGTTTGTGGTTAGCTTCGCTTTAAAACTATCCAACAGTACAAACAGAGTCTAATCCAATGATGGTAACTGTTAATTTGTATATTAATCACACCTAAATGGAACTCCATACATAACGAAACTTTGCTGTTTGACGGCTGTTCCTAGAGCTCACAAACGATATTAATTGCACTCTCAATCATGGATCATAATTTTCTCGATCGTTTGGTTGGTTGGAAAAGAAAATAGTTATATACATCGATTAAGAATTCCATAATATCAGTAGTTGAGTTCATGAGTCAATTGAAGCTAGAACACCATGGAAAATATGAAAACACTTGATGGCTGTTTCGTCCAATTGTAGGACTCCTTAGCAGTACACATCCACGATCCTGCCTCGCGAGATTTGAACCCAAGACCTATCACTCTCGATTGAGGACACTTAACATCTAGACCACTGAGCCGTCACCCAACAGTGTCAATGTCTAACTTCAACCAATCCACGAAATTGAGCGGCACATCCACCACTGTCTTCATTTATTTAGTATCTCAAAACAAACCCGGTTGAACTCCACTGGTCACTGCCTCTCACTAGAACTCCAGAAAATATCTCTTGAAGCCAGTCACTAAAGAATATATGCTGATACTAATTTCACCACAGTTCGTCGAATATTTACTGTGATAATTGTAGTCATTGTTTGAAAGAAGCTCTGGATTTTCTATTATTAAGTTTACTGAATTTTTTTAACGGAAGAATTTTGATATTGTCAAATAAATAACATCAGTCAGTCAACGACAACGTAGGACCAGGTACATATATGCATCGGTCCAAGTTGCCATACCGCATTAGCACAACAAGATGAACACCGGATTCATAAGAGTAGTTAATTCAGTGGTGGTAATATATAAAAGAAAGATTGCATATAAGGATATAATACAGGAGGAAAGAATTATTTTGTAGAAAGAAAGATATGAAGCGCTTTTAATCTCATAGTTTAAGGGAAGATAGAGGGTGCATACATCGACACCATTTTGATCGATTGTGAGCCATGTCACCCATAGTCTCCAATCCTTGGTTACGATAGTCGCGCGAATTCCAACCAAGTAGTCTGCATCTACCAACATACTACTTATTTCGTTTTAGTTATCTGCGATGTTAGTTGATGGTATACAATAAAAAATAATTGCATGTTGAAACATGATTAGTTTGTCGTATTTTTTGTGTTCATTTATTTGATTTTGTTTCTGGCATACAGATAAACAGTTTTTTTTCTCTAAGTCATTTACTTTACGTAAATATAAAGGTATTTACGTGTGATGTTTGACAAGCTTATAATGTATTATGTTAATTGTGTTTATAGTTTATAAACTTGTTGTTAATAAATATGAATACTGATTTCCAATGTCATATTAGTATGGATTCATAATAATAATTATTATTTGAACACATAGATATTGTTACAAGGTGGCACCAAATACATATGCGCCACACAAATCTCATTTCATTTGTGTGAAGGCTGTGATACTGCTTGAGTGCCAAAACCGAATAAGGTGGTTTTATTAGGGGGCCACACCCGGATTCTTTGACCTAAAGGTCTAATCCACAAGGCAGTGGAGCATCGTAAGGAGATGCAGTCCAGTCCCATGGTAGCCGATGACCAACAATTGGTTCATACTCCATTTGTTCCCTCAGGATACTGGCGCCCATGTGCACTATTGGTTTGGAATGAGGGTTTTCCAACTCCCCTAGGTGGACTCTCCTTGTCCACCAACCCGGTTAAAGCGCCGGACATTCTCTCTTCGTCCTCTCAATTTCGCAAACAACACCCGTGACATGAGAAGGCAGTAATTAGGACTTCGCTGGTAGAGGCTATATACATGTGGCGATGTGAGAGCATTTCGAGTGGGAGAACGAACTCTCGCCACTCTCGGCCTTACCAGGGCATTTGGGGGTATGGATTCATAAATGGTTGATCTTATCGTTCAGTAGTCGTATATCATTATCATCATCATCATTTAAACTTGAGATAACATTGATAAAGTCAATAGATTTAAGTCGTATTAGAAATTAGCATGTTTATAATTTTGAAGTTGGTTGTAATCATTTTATTCTTCTTTTTGTAATGAAATTGATGAAACACGGAAATCTTCGTAAAGTAAGTCAATTGGTAGAAATAGTTGTCTGAGTTGGTTGATTATACAATCAATTGAGGATATTGATTATTAAAAGGCCCCATATTGCCTGACATTATCCTCTCTAAACTAGAAAATAACCCACTGGCACAACAAATCGACAATTTTCATTTTACTACCAATATATCGATGATAAATTTATCCTTTGCAACAACCATACGGACTTCATAGAAACACTCGAGCGTTTCAATACAGTTCACCCGTTCATAAAAGTGGGGGGATAGAATAGCCTTTCTAGACGTTCTACTTACAAGGAGAAAAGACGGATCTTTAAGAACGAATATAAACAAGAAAACTACTTGGACGGGACAATATACAAACTTTCTTAGTTTTGTTCCTCTGAAATACAAAAGGAACCTTATTAAGACAATGCATCATAGAACCAATACCATGTGCTCTCTAGATACGGTTGAAGATGAAACATAGGCATTATACACAACCTTGAAAGAAAATGAATATCCCGAGTAATTTATAAATAAAAATAGCCAATAAAAGATAGCATAGACAATACCTAACTGCGAATAAAAAGCCTCTGTATATACAATTACAATTCAGAGGCGATGCACCGAGTGAAATGCTAATACTGAAGTTAAGCAGATCAATTCAGTGTACCTTTAATGCAGGTAAACTACAACTAATGTTTTCCACACGCCCAATGATCACTCCGAGGTTGAAAGATAAATTACCTAAACTAGCCACCTCTTTCTGTATCTATCAATTCAACTGCTCCTGTGGAGTAAGTTATATTGGCAGATGTTCTAGGAATTTGTACATACGGGCTCGTGAGCACCTCCCAGTGTGGTTAAGCAAAGGTTTAGTCAAGACTGTTAACAGCTCCATTTTAAACCATTTAATTCAGACGGGACATACAGCCAACAAGGAGCAATCTTTTGCAATAATCTATCGCATTAACAGCAATCTACCTAATTCCATCAAACTGAGAATCTTTTAGACGAGTGAAGCAATTGCTATTCAGATCAAATAGCCAGAGCTTTGCATATCAAAGAAATGTGTTTAGCCCGCTCCTTTTACCCCTGGTCAACTTCTGGCCCAACTAGTTAATAATCGATTTCACAACATGGTGACGTAATTTGACTAGTGTTCATTTTATTTCCCAAACTTGTTATTATTATTATTACACTTGATAACCTTTTTGAGAAATTTATTGAACATCCACCTCTAAATCTACTATATCTGATCTAATTCATATTATTCTACATATTACGTAATTTCAGATTTTTATTCCATTATTTTCCTTCTCATCCCATGTCAACCATATTTAGTCTAATGATTATCTATCTCACAATTTCATTTCACTTATAAACTGATACAAGTTCCACAATAGGATGAAATGGCCGTCCAATGCATCCATGTTTTCCATCATAGTCTAGCTTTAATTGACTCGTGATCTGAACTATTGAAAGTTCATATTAGTTAACACCAACATTAACTATTTGATTTGATTTTATATGACAAACAATAGTCTTAAATTCACATATTACAATTTCCAAATAATGTACTCTGCTTTAAATCTGGCCTATTTTATGGATTATTAATTTGGATATAAGATAATTGTAGAGTACCTAATGAGAATGAATTGGCCCTCAAATGCCCTGGTACGGCCGAGAGTGGATAGAGTCCGCTCTTCCTCTCGAAATGCTCTCACATGTCCACACGTATATAGTCTCTGCCAGGGAAGTCATAATCACTGCCTTCTCGCTCCACAGGTGTTGTTTACGAAATTGAGAGGACGAAAAGCGAATGTCCGGCGCTTTAACCGGACCCCAAACCAATGGTGCACATGGACTCCAGTATCCTGAGGGAACAAATGAAGTATGAACCAATTGTTGGTCACCGACTACCATGGGACTGGACTGCATCTCCTTACGATGCTCCACTGCCTTGTGGATTAGACCTTTAGGTCAAAGAATCCGGGTGTGGCCCCCTAATAGAACCACTTGCTTCGGTTTGGGCACCCGAGCATTATCACAGCCCTCACACAAATGAAATGAGATTTGTGTGGCGCATATGTATTTGGTGTCTCTTTGTACCAATATCTATGTGTTAAAATAAAATAAAAAATAACCTGATGAGAAATTCATTGAAAAGAATACTCTTCGTTCACATAATTGTGTTTTAAGAAAAGATGTTCCGTGTTTTTTGAGGAAATAGTTTTTTTAAAAATTGTGGTATTACTACATAGTCATTGGCTGTTTTTCTGAGCCTTATCAGTTGATACATGGGACATGTGTTGTTTATGTCCAAACACCGCCTATATCAACGGGAGATGTCTTCTGTGTTAGAGTGACTTGGAATATAACTGTCAGGGGCCAAAACGAACATGGCATCAGTTCATGAATTCACTGACAATTGGAATTAATCATGGAAATAGATACAGACTACTTGGTTGGGGTCCGCGTAGTTATCGTAACCAATGATTAGAGACTTTAGATGACATAGCTCAAAATCGTTTAGAATGGTGCAGGTGCATTCATCCTTTGTCTCCCCACAAATCATGATACTTCTATGAATCCGGTGTTCATCTTGTTGTGCTAATGCGGTATGGCAACTTGGACCGATGCATATACGTGCCTGGTCCTACGTTGCAGCTGACTGACAAATCATGAGATTCTTAATTCCCCATATTTTTTTCTCTTTTTATTTCGTTAATTTATATTTTCTTGATAATGTTACTAACTCTACTATTCTAAGATCTGGCCTGGCAACTCCATCTTTCGATGATAATGTGGTATGGCAACTTGAATCGATGTACATACCTACCAGGTTCCACGTTGTCACTGACTATTAGTTAATACAAACTACCTGGTTAACGTGTGGAAACATTCACTCTTTGTTTTTTTTTTTTGCGAATCCGGAGTTATGATATTCCTTCATACATACCTTTTCATTCCTTCTCGAACCATATTTTCAATGGTTAGACTCTCTCTCTTACTATCATTGGTGCTACAATTATTTAGAAATCTTTGTTATTCATCTTGTTTTGCTAACATCCTTTGATAACTCTGAATAAAGTATATTTTTGTCAGACTCTATATTTATTATGATTGTTAGATTAACTGAATAGTCGATTTAATTGAATATTATTTAATTATATTGTATCAATTTGTAAATAAATGTGTCAATTTCAGTTATTACCTTTAATTTTCAATGTTCAATACTTACTTACGCCTGTTACTCCTCGTGGAGGAACATTGGCCAACCATCAGCACTCGACATCGAACCCTGTCTTGGGCAATCCTTTCCAGTTCTTTCCTATTGTTATTCATTCTTTTCATATCTGCTTCTATTTCCCGACGTAATGTGTTCTTTGGCCTTTCTGTTTTACTCTTCCCTTCAGGATTCCAAGTGAGGGCTTGTCTCGTGATGCAGTTTGATGATTTCCGTAATGTATATCCTATCCATTTCCATCGTCTTTTCCTTAATTTCCTCTTCAGCCGGAAACTGGTTTGTTCTCTCCCACAGTAGGTTGTTGCTCATGGTATCTGGCCGATGAATGTTAAGTATATTGTGTAAACAACTATTTATAAATACTTTTACATTCTTGATGATGGTTATAGTAGATCTCCAAGTTTCAGCTCCGTACAGTAAAACTGTCTTGAAATTCATATTGAAGATTGTGATTTTGACATTGGTTGACAGATATTTGTTTTGAGTTCCATAAGTTCTTTAACTGTAGGAATGCAGCCATTGCTTTACCAATCCTCACCTTTACGTCTGCATCCTATCCTTGTTGTTCATCAATGAATGTTCAATATGTTCTTTAATTCTGATTTGTTTATTCTTAACTGTTTTTTTTTATATTTAGTCAATCTTCTGTGATAACATCCGATTCCAGTGGAAAAATTAAACGGAATATTAATGAACAACTGATAAATACGGTAAGATATAAGTTTTTTTTAAAAAGAAAAGTACTCAGATAATTTTTTAATAGTTGTGTATAGTAATATATTATATGTTCAACTGTTTATTTTTTCTATGTTTGAATAGGGGTAGGTTATGTAAAAGAATAATAAATGAATTAATGAACTCATCCAACAGATACTTGGATATATGCAACATTCTAATTGTAAAGGATTAATATTACTATTTGGTTGCTAAGATTGAAGTGGCTGGAGCCTGACTCGAGTCTGTGACTTAGTAACTGCTAGTGGAACACCTTAACCACTAAGTCACCGCTCCAAAAATACTCCAAATAGTTCATCGATATGAGATTATATTATAAAGAAATAGTTTCTTTGTATATAGTTGTTTAAAGTACAATATTAGATTATCAGTGATACATATAATAATTATTATTAATGACTTTATTCAGTAGTATATTTTTGGTACATTATAGTATTGTTGACACAAAGTATTTCAACAAATCTCCGTTTCTTAATTCTTGATCGATCCTTGCAATAAATATAAGTAGTTGGCAATTAGATGTTAGCTGTTTAAGAATAAACATCTGATTAATGTTTGTTCTTTTCGATGCACACTGCCAGCAACCACGATATCTCTGATTGGACCCTTTTGCAACTTGTACAACGAAAGGTTGTACACTTTTCAGAAACACCTCTGAATAGGTTATGCAATTAATAGATATAATGATGTGTTAAAACAAACAAGGAAACAGATAACTTGTTAAAATATGTAGATTGCAGAAACAAGTAGCCTAGATGTTAAACTAGGCACGACAAGTTTTACTGAATTCTTAAAATTAATGGGAATAAACCTTCAAATAGTTAATGATCTGTTAAATGTAACTATAAATAATGAATTGTACATTTTTCGATTGAGGTCATGAACCGATTGGTGTTTGACCACCATTGAAAACCTGGAAGCACTGGACGGCCGTTTCGTCCGATTATGGGACTCCTCAGCAGTGCACATCCATGATCCCGCCACGTGAGCTTCGAACCCAGGGCCTTCAGTCTCGCGCGCGAACGCTTAACCTACTGGACCACTGAACGGCATCCAACGGTGTTAATGTCTAACCTCAACCAATCCACGAATTGTACATTAATAAAATTTTAATTTATGTGTGTTTTTGTTCCGGTGTTGAATTTTGTTTCAATGGATTTAACACTTAATCGGCGTTAAATCCTTCATTTTTGTGTAACTTATTTCAATACTTCAAATTTATATAGTTTTAAAGCTACGTTTGCTTCTAAAGACATCGTACACCGATTGTATGATAGGTGGTTTTGAAACATAATGTTTTATCTTCTAATTAATGGTCATAACTTTGGTTTTACAGCTAAATGATAACTGTTCAGGTTGATAAATATAGAATAGATGGAATATGACTGGTAGTGAAATCCGAAGCGCACGTTTTGTCTTGTTTGGTAATTGTCAGTTAATTGTATTTATATCCTAGAGTTAACGTTCACTTCGGGTCTTAAACTTAACACTATTCGCACTGAGCTCTAATGACATATGGAAACTTGGACCGATGGACATATGTGCTTGGTCCTACGTTGTATCTGACTGACTGACTGATTGCAAATCAGCGAAATTAATTTGAATCTGAATCTATTCACTAACTTTCGTTAATTGTATTTAAAAAGGCATTAATATTTTGTACTCTTATTTATATAGTTCCATAAACCAGGACGATTTGTTACTTCTCCTTTCTAGTCATTGTTTTAATATGATATCTTCTACCAAAGTTTCTATTCCCTTTTTTTTATTTATAGAACACTGGAATACAATCTTTAGGAGTGCCCAATTCAGAAAGTGGTACTTTAACTAGATCATCATCAATTTCATCGAAACGTTCAACAAACGATACTTTACATCTTGTATCTCGTTTATCCTCCTCTATATTTGTAGGCAATGGTAATGATTCGAAAAAAAACTCTACCGTAACATCAAATAGTTTTGGAGATGATAATTTAAGTTGGGATACATCTGTTACTTTATTATTTGGTGATTTGTTAAAATCAAGTTAGTTATGTTATTTATTTTTCTTTTATAGGATTTTCATTGGTTTATTTGTTTTAATAAGCTAAAACTTATGGGGGTAATTTCATTGAACCAAGATGTTGATAAGAACAAACAAATATGGAAACTCTTAAATCGATATTAGTTATGTAATTGAGTATTTTTAAGGGTTCGTAACACTTTATGAATAATAGGTATAGTGGTGTTAATAAAGACGAATCACCATTCAATAGTTTGGTGTAGTGTGATAGCTGTTAAGTTTAAGTTTCAGTGTGAATATTAGCATAGGAATCCAGTAATATCTATCGAATGAACTGTAGACTGATGGGAACGCGCATTCCGGATCTCATTGTTAGTTACAATCCAGGTATACTTAAAATCTTAATGTAGTATTTGAGCTGATTATATATTTTTCAAGTGTCTGAAGTACATGGTTCACTACATGATTGTGTTAGAATAATAATAATATCCTACCGTATCTACTTGTACAAAATATTTCTTTATATATTAATTGAAGCAATTATAACCATTGAGAATTTCCACGAAGTATTTCTATTTCATACAGGCGAGACTATAATCTATAGACGAACCAATCACGTATAAGATAACAGGTCTCAGATTTTGGCGCGAAATTCACTCATCCATTTGGTTTAATGGAGTTTTGGCATTATAGCTTATGTCAGTTCGTGATGAAAACCCGAAATCTAATCCCTAACTTTAATCATCAATTGTAAATTATAATTCTAATTTCTCACACAAGTTTATAATCCTCACTTGGTCTTAGTTATTAAGTGGACACTCTCAAGGTTAGTCTAATGTCAACATTAGTTGTGAAGTTTTTGTTCCTTATAGACGGATCTTATATATATCTATTGATAGATTGGGCGGTTTATATAGATGTGTACTTATGATCCTCATACTAGTTGATGAATTTTCAGCTGAATAATTAAATCAGTCATAAATTTTTTGATAGTCTCGGATATAGTTAGTTCATTTATCTTTTTTTTGTATTCAATCTCTATAGGTCGTCTCCGAAGTGTAGCATTCAAAGATGTTCCACTTTCTGCTTTACAAATGCATAAAAGACGGTCAGTATCTTCCTAATTTTGTGTGTGTATATTAGGTGACATTTCTTTATTTTTAAATCAGAGAATTTGACATATTGCTCCCCAAATATTTAAGCTCATTTTGAAATACTTCAGTCCTAGTTGGATAGACATTAGAACCACTAAAATTTTGTATATTTCCGTCACAAAACTCTGTGGGATGAGAAATGGCGCAAAACAATGTAGGACCTTTTACGATTCTATTTAAATCACGGACGAAAATCATATGGTCGTCTCTCGGTTTCGGAATTGTGAATGTGGACTGCTGAGGAGGTTGTTTAACTAATCGGACAACCCATCATTATCATTCTCACCCACACATCAGTATTTCACTGGTGCAGACTTCAGTGCAATAATTTTGAGCTCAAAGATGATTCTTTTAAATGATTCCGAGTTGGCAGCAATGACCTTTGAAGCGGAAGGTTGAGTTCGAGTCCCGGAGAAAATATTAACTCTGGGATGTAGAAGCATCCAGCTAACGAGTCAGAAATAGCATTCCACTGTTAGCTACCATCCATAAATGCTCAAAATGTAATTAGGGTTCTTTTAGTCCTAGGCAAGTGAACTGAATCTACAAGGTAAGTAAATGTACATCATTACATCATGATTGTTATTTGTGCTTGATTGAATTTGAACAGGTTGAAAGAATAAAATAAAATTTCTCTAAAGACGAATAACATTACATAAAACTCCTTATTATTTGATAAAAATATATTTAGCGCTCCGAAATACTCCGGCACGACCAATGGTGGGGAGAGTCAGTTCTCCCTCTCGAAATGTTCTCATATGGTCACACATATACATCCACCAACATGGAAGTCCTACTCATTTCATTCTCGTGGTGAATGTGTTGTTTACGAAATTGAGAGGATGAGTACCGAATGTCCGACGCTTTGAGTATGAAGGATCCACATGGGGGGGGAAGTGGAAAACCCTGATTCCAAGCTAATAGTGTACATGAACTCCAGGATCCTGAGGGAACAAAAGGCATATGAAACTATTGTTGGTCACTGGCTACCATGTGACTGCACCCTATGACGTTGCTCCAATACCTTATGGATCCGACATTTAGGACTAAGGCTCCCAGTGTGGCCTCTTAAGAAAACCACCTGCTTCAGTTTCGGCATCCTCGCAGTATCACAGCTCACACACGAATCAAGTGACTTGTGTAGCGCATATGTATTCGGTACCATTATTCATGTGTTCAAATAACTAATAAATTACACTGAATCATCATTCGCTCATTTTTACTTGTTTGTTCAGATTGGAAAATGAACGTACAATCATTGATCTGTCAAAATCCATTAAACAAGGTCGAATACCAAATATATTTTCACGTAATCAAATTAACACATTATTACACGATGAAAATTATCGAAATTTATTAATAGCTCGTATCAATGATAATCTCTCAAAAGATGTCCTACCAAATCAATTGCATATTGATGATGTGGTAAGTATGATGACTTTCTTTCATGTTAATCTTTATTAGATTGTGATAACGCGATGGCATTTGAAGCCAACGGTACTGGTTTCAGGTCCCAGAGTGAACATCAGCTCTAAGATGCAAACACATCCAGCTGACGAGTCCTAAATAGGACGAAACGCGCGTCCTGCATTCCACTTCTAACCACTATCCGTCATTGCATATAAAGATACAAGTATTTAGAAAGTCTAGTTCCATTAGTGATGATAAATTAATTAGTGTATTGAATAAGTTATTTACAAACATTTAAAACGGCTAAATCTTACAGTAGCACTTTTACTGGAAAAAGAAATTATTTACCTATTTCTACAACTCGATCAAAATATCCCATGAAAATCGTCTTAAATCAACAAAGTCTTTTACGAACCATTCTAATCAGCATATTTACAAACTAACAACACAATCCCCTCACTCAATTGTATTCAGATAGAAGGATAAAACAATGATATAATTTACTTAGTAAATTGTACGAGAAACCATATAGTACAATATGGGACACCCTTCTTCATAGGTGCACACAAACATAGATTATTCTATAAATGAAACAATACATCGTCAACTATATCAATGAATGCATACAACTATGGATGTAAGACTGAAGGCCCGTTGATGCGCGCTGCTGAGGAGTCCCACAATAGGACGAAACGGCCGTCCAGTGCTTCCAGGTTGTCAATGGTGATCTAACATCAATCGATTCACGATCTCAATCAAAAACTTGACAATTTCCACAACACCTAAATTAATAACTATGGATGTGAATTTGACAGAAAAAGTGTTACGATAATGAATTGAAAAAATCTGAAAACTGTAAAAGTCTCTCAAGAATACTCAATCAATAGTAATGCTGAAACAGATTGGGTGTAACAATCAACTCATCAAACTATCAGAAGCCAAACTCAAAAAAGTAGTTAACTGAATTGGAAAGGTGCATGTTGTCTAAAAAGATAACCAACCATGAATATAATTATCATAACGAACTGAATTGACCTTCGTAGGACAACTCCAAATTATCACTCGCAAGGTGCCCATCATGTTGTATAAGATAATAATAATAAATGGTTCCAGCTTATAGAATTCACTATCACTGAAAACTTTGGTTTTGCATAGTAACTTGTGACCAATCTGTTCAACTTATCGTTTTTTTTTAAAGTCTTATTTATTAGCCTTGTTTCTTTTAAATTCTGTGTTCTATTAGCCTATTCAACAATGGGATCAATATAAAGCACTTTTATGGACACTTAAACAAATGATCAATGGTTTAGAATATAGTTTTCGACCGGATATTGTATTTCCAACTACAAATCAATATGATCGCATTACTAGAGATAAATCACCATCGTCAAATATTTCAAATCCATTGAATAATAGTAGTTGGTTATCCTATTCTACTGGTATTTTGAAAAGTGGTGGTTTAGCGTCAGCGTTTATGCTTATGGAAGTTGCACATACACATTTCTATCGGTTGCCTAATCGAACAGGGCACACAGATAATAATCATGATGAAAAATTTGTTTGGAATAGCATGCCAACTACACCCACAACGGAATCGAGGTCACCTATATCAGCAAGAAGATTAGTTGGTAATGATTTTTCTTCATTTCGATATCAAGTAAGCCGATTGATCATTTTTTTTTTATAATGGAATGTATTTGTTCATAGTTATCTAGTAAAATTAACGGCGATACTATAATTTATGAACGACCTGTGAACTAATCGTAAGTAACCTTGAGGAATTTCAGCCGGTCAGAGTACAGTCGGTATAGAGTAAAAATTATATTATTACAAAAACCAAAAGAAACTAGAGTGAATACACTTCGTTAACATGGTTTAAAAACTTTTCAACGTTAGAAAAAGACTCGGAGTTGTTAGATCGTAATGCATGAAATACAGGAATTCATTCATGGGACTCCATAATAATCGAAATCTGGAGTCATGATAAGGTCGCCAAAATTCTTTTAGTCTCGACCGCATTGCTTCTATTTTATTGATGTGTACTCCCGTGATGGGTTCACAAAATGTCTCTTGTGAATGACGATATGATCCACGTAACCAAGTCTAGATAGTCATTAGTATGCTCTCCAGTCATTTGTGTGTATTGTGGTACCAGGTTGCACATAATCTCGTATAATTGGTGTTATAGTTGTAGCTTATCGGTTTCTCTTGCGCTCGAAGTGTCCTTTTTGAAATGGTCTATCATATATATCAAGGACCTGCTAAGTATATTTGAGGAACTGCTACCTACCCAATCTTATCACTTATTCCTCTATTGAATTTACGTTTTTTAAAGGCTGCTTCGTCGATTTCCACGACTCCTCTGATTCCTCCAAACGACTGGTGCAAGCTTGTCATTTTCATTGCACATATATCTCTACAGTGTTCATACTATTGAAGTGCCGAAGCTTTAGTAGCATTTGCAAAGGTTACAGCATTTATTATCCAGTTTACGACAGTTATCATAGTCTGTCTTAGTGTCAATCGGGATTGTGCAAAAAAACTTCCTGATCTAGGAGACTTTTTCCTCCAACATACAGTACATCAAAATACAACATCACCACGATAGTCTGCACTAGGTCCAGCAGTTGTTGAAATCACAAATAAAGCAACTTCTTAATAATCCAATTTGTTTTACCTGCTCAATTATAACTTTAAAATCCATTGTAGACCGATCATACAGGAGCATTGAGTACCGAACTCGATATCGTTCAAACGCTTCTGATTGGCTCGTTCATAAATTGTACTCTCGTTTTTTTTAGATGAATCATTAGATTTCGATTTTTCGAAGTAGCTCGAATCAAGTTGGGACTGATGTTAAATCTAGTAAACGATTTAAATAAGCTATTCTGAAGTTAAACAAATCCCCCCCCTATACACACTGTTTTCAATCTTATGAAGTAACAGTCAATTTTGCTTACATCTTTGTGTAGTATTGTCATCAGTGTGTGTTGCATTACAAAGATTTACTATTAAGATCGTAATTGTCTTCTTCGAATATCCATTTCATCATAATATATACCATTATTATTTAATTTTATTAAACTGTGCTATTAGCTGTTAACAATATTGTATATTGTAGTTTGAGCGCTTCAATGTTGAGAGTCGAAGAGAAATTTATAAATTACCTGGAAAAGTACATCCTCATTCTAGACAAAGAAAAAGAATACTACTGTAGTGTTTGAAATGAGTATGTTAGTGAATAAGATCAGACATTGTGATGTATTACATTAACTCAAAATAGAATGACATATTCGATGCTTTAAAGTATCGTGGATTCGAATCTCGTTGGGGGGGGCGGGATCGTGGATGCGCACTGCTGAGGAGTTCCACAATAGGACGAAATGATCCTCTAGTGCTTCCAGGTTTTTCATGGTGTTCTAGCTTCAATTGACTCATGATCTGAACTATTAAAAATTACTATAATATCCACAAAACCCCCGTCTGATATTAATAAAAACAGTATATTTTTCTCTCAACTAATGAACAGGTAGTATTGTAAGTCACTTTGACAATGTAATATATATTTAATGATTAATAATGAAACACATGATTATTTATTGAATATATATATATGAAATACAACACATGACTTAATGAAAAATCACGTTGTTTTTTCGTTATATATGAAACATCAAATGGTGGGTAAATATGAATTGAAAAATCTAGTTCGTTACTTGTGATATAATTTAAGTTAATGACCATTGAATTATTATTATTATATTTCAATGGTTAAGATCATGAGTCAGTTGAAGCTAGACCACCATGGAAAACCTGGAAGCACTGGACGGCCGTTTCGTCCTATTGTGAAACTCCTCAGCAATTCGAACCTAGGACCTATAGGTTTCGCGCGCGAGCACTTAACCACTAGACCACTGTGTCGCCTTTCGACGGTGTTAATGTCTTACTCCAAATAATCCACGAAATTGAGCGACACATCCACAATTGTCTTCAGTGAGTTACTATCTCACAACAGACCTGGTTGAACTCCACTGGTCACTACTTCTCACTAGAACTCTAGGATTATACATCTTGAAGCCAGTCACTAGTGAACGTATGTTGATACTGATTCCATAATAGGTCACCGAATAGCGCTAAAAGCACTCAATTTCACTTTCATGTTGTATTTCTCACTTGGGAGGATCTTAAACACTTTTGGTTTGTTGTATCTTTTAGTATGCTATTTTGTGCTTGTCGTGGTTATTTGTGCTTCTGCCTGCTTGAGAAATATATTTCCCTCTTCCGAACTTGAAGTTCTCTCTCTAGTTAGCTGAGCTGGGACGCGTTGGAGTAGCTAGCGTATCAGTCGTTGTGTCACAGAGTCTTTGTTCCGTTCTCAGATTAGGTGAACTCATAATCACTTCAAACATAGCAAATGTATATGTATGTTAAGATCTTAGCAACTGAACTCATAGCTCTATAGTATGATTCCAGCTTCTTCAGTGAGATAATCCTATATTTTGTTTGTAAACTGTTCGAATTGAAGTAAACACTTCATTAAACAATCTTTTTACACGTTCTATTTGAGATACTTACACTGGTAATATGATTTATAAACCGCTGACATATGAAACCTAAAGTTTCTATTAGTCTGATATCAGTTTATGATTCTCATTATCGCTAGGTACACAATTTTTAAACTGAGAGTGACAACTTTGTGTAATTTATCAAATGGCAACTAAAGTAAACATCCATATACTAAACTTTTAACCAGACTTCATAGTTGTTAATTATTGATTCTACTGGACTGTTAAAACTGAAATAGATGCAGTGGAATTCCAACTTGTTCCCTAATAGTGGGTAACAGTGCATGTTAATCTATAATTCAATACCATCTCAACGGCACAGTGAAATACCAACCATTGAAAATTATGGGGCATGAAACAGCTATTTCGTTCTAGTCTGAGGATCTTTAGTAGTTCTTACTCATGATCTTGCATTACATTAAACCTATGACTATGACAATCAGTAGTTTGTCAGCTGATGTCAGTTCATGAACACTTTAACCAACAAACTGCATAAAACTATTTAACTCATATTGGAATCATTAATATATACAGCATATTGTCACTTGCTACAAGCGGTATAGTTTCTACAGTCATATTTGCAATTTCACGAGACTAATCAGCATTACTATTTCTTTTCCTATTAACTAGACAAGAAATATTCTTCCACATTGTTGGTAGACAGGAATTGTTAATCGCTCACACAGGCGATACATCATTTCAGTTTATGAAATAGAGTTCTGTGATCTATTGAAATCATTGAAATGCCCATTCCTAATCTCATACAACATTAAACTTAAAACTCTTAGGTTTCCTTACAGATATAAAACTTGATTTACTTTAACAGAATAAGAGATATGTGCTTTCAATAAATGCGACAGACCGCTTATTTTTGTTTAGTTACAGTTCTTTTGGAAGTATATTGTATGATATCATTGTTTAACTATATATTCAAGGGCGAGACTATAATTTATGAACTAATCAATCACATATCAGATATAGGGTCTCAGATTTTGGCGCGAAATTCACTCATCCATTTGGGTAAATAGAGTTTTGGGATTATAGCTGATGTCAATACGTGATGAAAAACCCGAAATATAATTCCTAACCTTAATCATCAACTGGAAATAATAATTCCAATTTCTCACATTCGTTTATGACCCTTATTTGCTCCTGGTGGACAGTCTCAAAGGTCGTCCATAGATTATAGTCTTACCGATTTAAGTATGTTAATGATATTTATAAAACTAATTCACTTATTATTGTGTCAGTAATAATATTATGTTACTACTTAACAATTAGTTCATTCTCTTCCCTTTTCTGATATCTTATTATTAGAATAATCGATTAGATTTATCGGACTGTGAATCATACAGTGAAAATGGTTCAAAACTAGGTAAGACTATTGTTGTTCTTGTTCTTGTTGTTATTTTCCTCCAATTCCATTCGTTTTTTACGTTGTTTTAAGACGAATGATATTAAACTATGTATGCGTATGAAGATTAGATGACGAATTTTCTTCCTATAGTTGAGATCATGAGTCATTTAAAGCTAGACCACTATGGAGAACCTAGAAGCACTGAACAGCCGTTTCATCCTATTGTGAGACCCCTCATCAGTGCGCATCCACGACCCCGCCTATCGGGATTCGAACCCAGGACCTATCAGTCTCCCTTCAGGCGCTTAACCAACTAGACCACTGAGCCGGCATCCAATGGTGTTAATGTCTAACTTCAACTAATCCACGAAATTGAGCGACACATCCACCATTGTCTATAGTGAGTTACTATTTCACAACAGACCTGGTTGAACTTCACTGGTCACTACTTCTCACTAGAACTCCATGATATACCTCTTTAAGCCAGTCACTCGTGGGTGAGCACTGCTGAAGAGTCCCAAAATAGGACGAAGCGGTCGTCCAGTTCTTCTAGGTTTTCCATGTTGGTCTAGCTTCAATTGACTCTTGATCTCAACTATTGAAATTTTCTTTCTATTTGTTAGTTGTTATCTTGGCACTTTTCGACTATTTACACTTTTCCCCAAGCATCCACATACACCAACTGACACAAAACATAGATCTAGGGTCTTCTGCTAATTGCCTCAAGACGTCATACTATATCAAGATATCGAGTTATTATTTTTAGTTGGTCTATCAAGGACTAGATAAGACATGACATTGATCATCACTTATCAATCCATTACCTCGTATCGAAGTGACTGTCACATAATTTTGTTTTAATAAGTTGTTAGGTCATTGTATGAACAGTATTTTTATTGAGGCAATTATCCATCATTGTTCTTTTGCCTTTCAGTGAACTGAAATAAAACTATTGACTTTTTAAAAAAATATAGAATCAAATATTCTTTTGGTCCGTACAGTCTGTTTTCTTTCTAACGTTTGAATTAAGAAAGTGGAATTGAGGTTTCATCTTATTATCTCTGAAGTCACAATCTTGAGTGTATTTAAAGTATTCTTACTCAGATGAAATAGACGTGTATATGATATTGGTTGGTAATAATGACATGTTTGAAAATTCACTTAAATACACCTGTTACTCACAATGGAGCATAGGCCGACGACCAGAATTCTCTAACCCAATCTGCCTGGGCCTTTCTAGTTCTATCCAACTATTGTTCATTCTTCACATATCTATCTCCGTTTCTCGGCGTAGTGTGTTCTTTGGTCTTCTTCCTCTTTTTTGACCTTGAGGATTCCATGTGAGGGCTTGCCATGTGACGCAGTCCAGTGCTGTCCTCAATGTGTGTCCGATCCAATTCCAGTGCTTCTGCGCCATTTCTTCCTCCACTGGGATCTGCTTTGTTCTCTCCCACAGTACGTTGTTGCTGATAGTGTCCGGCCAACGGATCCGATTTATTTTGTGTAGACAGTTGTTAATAAACACTTGTATCTTCTGGATGATGGCTTTCGTAGTTCTCCAGGTTTCGGCCCCATACAGTAGAACTGTCTTGACATTTGCATTGAAAATTCTGACCTTGGTGTTGGTTGACAGTTGTTTTGAGTTCCAGATGTTCGTCAATTGTAAATATGCTGCTCTTGCTTTTCCGATCCGTGCCTTCACATCTGCATCAGATCCCCTGTGTTCATCAATCATGCTGTCCAGATATGTTAAGGTTTTTACATCTTCGAAATCTTCTCCATCAAGTATGATTCGATTGTTGAAAATTCACTAACCCTTTTTTATTATCACTGCCGATAGTGTATGGATCTCTAAATTAATGATCAGTAATCGATTCACACTATCATCTTTTATACAATTTGTGTAATTTCGATTTCCGAGTAACTTATCAAATATAAATTTATGTACTAAAACTTTGAGTCATACATTTTATGTATGACAACCATTGACACTACTTCACAAAGCAAAGCAAAGTAATGCTTTTAGGTGGTCTTTGGATAAAAGCTTGGATTGTGGTTTGGGGAGACGAGGTATTGATTTGCGTTATCGACTAGTTTAGACTTAAACCAGCCTTTCTTTTCTTCGCTAACTGGATGGAACTTTGTCAAAGATTCTGTCAAAGGAACAACTTTACTTTGGCTTCCCAGAAAATCCTGAAAATACAAAGCAAAGTAGTTGAATTCAGATTCGAATATGTAACCTGGTCTCCGGAAATCAAATATGTATGAAATATCTTAATAATTAATTATAATAACTTGTAAACATTGTCTATTCACGTTTTCTTCTTATTTCTTCTCCTTCTTCTTTAAATGAATTAAGATTAATTATATCGACGTATAATTTACCTTATGCATTATCAGCTGATCTTAAAATACTGATCGTCTTCAATTCCTTTCATTTGTTTTATCCATTTGTATCATATGAATAAAGGACACATATGATTGACTGATTATATTTGTCCGATTAAATCTTATATTCTTTTGTCGCTCCATTTCGACCGTGTAATAGTCACTTGTTTCTAATTCACAAGATTATGGACTTATAATGAATTGATATGTTAAGGTCACATGCAAGAGATATATATATTTATATTCGTTTGTATGTATATATGTATACGTTCAGGTCACGTTTCTAAATAATGAAAGTAGCAATGTTTATTCATCATCTCAATTTTATTATATACTCATCTAGTTGTAACATTCGATTTATGTGAGGGTTGTGATACTACACGGGTTCCCAAACCGAAACAAGTGGTTTTCTTAGGGGGCCACACTCCGAACCTTTGACCTAAAGGCATGATCCACAAGGCAGTGGAGTAACGTCACAAGATGCAGTCCCATGGTAACCGGTGACCAACAATAGGTTGATAAGCCATTTATTTTCTTACGATCCTGGAGTCCATGTACATCATTTGTTTAGAATGAGGGTTTTCAACTCCTCTAAACGGATTCTCCGTATCCACTAACCCGGTTAAGACGCCGTACATTTGCTTTTCCTCCTCTCAATTTCGTAAACAACACTAGTGGTGCGACAAGAAAGTGAGTCGGACTTCCTTGGCAGTGGTTTTATGCACATGGCCATGTGAGAACATTTCGAGAGGGAGAGCGAACTCTCCCCACTCTCGACCGTACCAGAGAATTTGGGGGATATTGTACATAATAGTGATTTTATTATTATTATTATTATTATTATTATTAATTATTATTAATTATTGTTAGCTTTATTCAATATTATATTTTTAGTACAATATAGAATTCTTAGCTCAAATGATTTCAAAAGGTTTCCGTTTCTTGATAAATCTTGACGATAAATATTGAGTGATCATCAGTTAGTTGTTAGCGGTTTAGGAATCGACATTTGAATAATTTACATTCTTCTCTAAGCATATTGTCAGCAACGATGATATCTTTGACTGAGCTTTTTTATAACTGGTACAGCGAAAGGTCCTAAAAGTTTTTACAAACGCAATTGAATAGGTTATGCAATTAATTGACATAATGATTTGTTAAAACAAACAAAAAGCAGATATTTCTGGTTAGTGTTTTTTTAGCGAGTTAGTTTTCTACGGGATAGGGTTGGAAACCCCATGCCCAACCCTCCTCCATTATACGAGCTTGGGACCAGCAGTAGCCTCCGAGGGTCTCCGAGCGGAGTTAAACTGATACTTTGTTGAAATATCCAGATGGCAGAAACAGGTAAACTAGACATTCAAGTAGGCCACCTAATTACTTTCTACTCGTTTTTGTTTGACGAATTTTACATCTGCTTACTTTACTTTGTTTCTATTCTCGCAGTTTAAAATTGTTTGTAGGTTACACTATGGATCGACTTCAACTAGACAACTGTTGAAAGTCAAGAGGGAGTGTTATTGAGTTATTTCATCCTAGTGTGGAACCTGATTACAAACTCTTCAGGGATCGAATCTATTACCTAGTCTTTGCCTTGCATAATGAGCATTAACGTTTAGTCATTTAATTACTATTTAAAAGCAGTATCCCTCATTTCTTCAGTCGACTCGTTACACTTGATCACCAGGAGTGAAATGACTAGCCCAACACATGAGTGAATTCCCACTAGTGTTGTCAAACTGCTAAAACGTCTTATGCTAGGATAAAAACAGCTATCCACTCCCCTTCTTGTTTTGTAGTTAATATGATATAAACTTCAAATTGAATGTTTTACACAAATCTTTGGCGCTAATACTAAGATTGTTTCTTTGAATTTTTCATAAAACCTAATTTATAATCGACTTTTTAATTTGCATTCTCGTCGACCATCATTATTCTTTGTTATTCACCTTTTGAAGAAATCAGCTAGATCTTATTAAATGATGTTTCTTTATTATGTCATCAACTTATTTATTTTATTTATTTTAACACATAGGTATAGGTACAGGGAGGCACCAAGTACATATGCGCCACACAAATCTCAATTGATTTGTGTGAGGGATGTGATACTGCCCGGGTGCCCAAACCGAAGCAGGTGGTTTTCTTAGGGGGCCACATCCCGAGCCTTCGACCTGAACGTCTGACCCACAAGGCACTGGAGCATCGTGAGGAGATGCAGTTCAGTCCCATGGTAGCCGGTGACGATTGGTTCATACGCCATTTGTTCCTTCAGGATACTGGTGCCCATGTACACCATTGGTTTGGGATCCGGTTAAAGCGCCGGACATTCGCTTTTCGTCCTCTCATTTTCGTAAACAACACCTGTGGTACGAGAAGGCAGTGAGTATGACTTCCCTGGCAGAGACTGTATGCGCGTTGTCATGTCAGAGCATTTGGAGAGGGAGAGCGGACTCTCCCCACTCTCGGTCGTACCAGGGCATTTGGGGGCAATAAGAGGAATTTAAATAGTTTAGTTATTTAACAATAATACGATAAAAATACACGTTTAGTATTGGTCCAGAAATAGATCCCAACAGTTACCGTTCATTATCCTCATCGGGATATAACAGGAAGTAAAGAACTCTTCACTAGATATAGTGTATTCCATTTGACTTATGGATATGCACAGTTTCAGGAAGTGTATGTATATGTCTCTGTGTTCCAAGCTAGATCGAAATAACCCATTCGTATTTCTTCCTGTGAACCATTTATTCTAAGCCAAAACAAAATGTATTTCATATGAGTTTTCCAATGTTTTGCTGATGTAAATTTATTACATTATTTCTTCCATTTATATTGGATTATAGTTTCAAATTCTAATTCAATACCTTCTTATGGATATTTTATAGATTCATCTGTATTACAACAATCATATTGCATAACTTCACCCACAAAATATCATCATCATCATCAAAGACAGAAGAAACTGTCATCTTTTAATCATTCACAATCACCTGATATCAGTAACACTACTACTACTACTACCACTACTAATACTACTGATATACCCAATAGTCAATTATTGAAATCATTACATTTATTAGAGAATACATTTGAATTAACTAATATTTCAAATAAATTAATTTTATTCAAAACAAAACTGAATTATTCTAATCAACAATTAAGTAGTATATATAGTAGTATATCATCAAAATTAATAAAAAATTTTCAAAATTCAACTCTTTCTTCATTATTATTAACAGATACAATGGAAAATCATATCAATGATCAATTTGAGAAGAATGTTGATCATGATTCTAATAATCTATTATTAAAACATCATACTAATGTTAAAGATTTATATACACCTCATATTATACCTTCTATGAATTCACCTTTTATTATCAGGGGTATACATATCATGCATCATAGTAATACACTTGATCATAGTGAGCATTTAAAATATAGAAAAAATTTAATGTGTTCATGTTTAGTTTGTCTAGTAGTCTAGTCTAATATACCATGTATGGTTATGTTGTATAGAATGGAGTATTTGCTCACTTATTTGTATGTTTGCATTGTTGTTGTTGGTGTTGTTGTTGTTGTTGTTGTTGTGGCAATTGCTCATTCACCAGTATTCTTGTTTGTCGATTTCATCACATTTGTAATGTAGTGAGATCATTTGCACCGATTTTTTTTTTAATCTGTAAACTCATAAATGTTGCAATCATAGACTATAATTTTTCCATTTTCTTAGTATCTGATCGCTTTTTTTTGTTTGTTCTTTTTTGTGAAAAAAAAAATCTCTATTCATATCAGAGCTATTTCGTGGTCGTGGTCGTCATCAATTTACCAATGTTATTGTAACAATGAGTGAACCATCATCGGATAGAGAAGATAATGAACAAATTCAATTAAAACCTATATTTAAATCAGATAGTACTGATATTATTAAACATAATATTCAACCATTAAATAATACAAAACACAATACTATCAATATTGGTCATACTGGGAGTTGTATTACAATGAATCAACATAATAATGATTGTGAAAAATTCGATAAATTATTTGCTTCTGATGCTAAACTCCATGAATCAATGAGTAAATTAAAACTACATCATGATCATGTGAATGACACCAACGATGATAATATACCATCAGATTATGTACCAGAATTGCCTAATCGTAAAAGTCAACGAAGTTTTGGCTATAGGTAAATGTTTAACTAAAATGTAGTAATTGATACAAATGTGAATGTTTTTGATTAATTTGTTTCACATTCTTTATGTTATGAAATGATTGAGAAAAGAGAGGTAAATGGAACTAGTAATACAGGTAATTCAGATCTCAATAGTAAAGTTAAATAGTAGCTAGCAATGAAATCTATGAAGTGTGCTTCGTCTTAGTTGAGATAATAGATAATGCACTGAGCCTTTGAAACTGAAGTTACTAGATTTAAATACTGATATGAGCATCCACATGGAGATCCAGGTACATGCAATTAGAGAGTGTCAAACATAATGAAACTCGTATTTTTTATTCAGCTACTTACTAATATCCAATTTAATCAAAACTTGTGAATATGTGACACTGTCGAAGAAATTCACATCATATTCAATATCTGATGTCATATCCGATATGCCAAAGGAGGTAGATCGATCATAGTCCTTTATATGAATAACAGAATGACATGAACCGTTACAAATACTGATCTGAATAGTTTAAACTATATTAGTTTCTTTAAAAAAGTTTATCATCAACATTACTAACATGTAATAAATAATGAGCATGAAATTTGAGTTAAATGGAAAATTCTATAAAGATGCCCTCATTGTCGTGTAGCTTAATGGTGATATGAGTATGATAATCTATGGAATGCAAGTCAGTAATGAAAATTAAACAGGTAAGTTTTTTTGTTGTTTTTTTTAGTAGGAACATTATTTCTACCGTAAACTGAATTCAGCTACTGAATCATTAGAAATTAGGAAAATATTGGCCCCCAAATGCCCTGGTACGGCCGAGAGTGGGGAGAGTCCGCTCTCCCTCTCCAAATGCTCTCACATGGCCATGCGTATATAGCCTCTGCCACAGAATTCCTACTCACTGCCTTCTCGTGCCACAGGTGCTGTTTACAAAAATGAGAGGACGAAAAGCGAATGTCTGGCGCTTTAACCGGACCCCAAATCAATGGTGCACATGGGCTCCAGTGTCCTGCGGGAACAAATGGCGTATGAACCAATCGTTGGTCACCGGCTACCATGGGACTGCATCTCCTCACGATGCTCCACTGCCTTGTGGGTCAGACGTTCAGGTCAAAGGCTCGGGGTGTGACCCCCTAAGAAAACCACCTGCTTCGGTTTGGGCACCCGGGCAGTATCACATCCCTCACACAAATCGATTGAGATTTGTGTGGCGCATATGTATTTGGTACCTCCCTGTACCTATACTTATGTGTTAAAATAAAATAAATAATAAATAAAATAAAATAAAGGAAAATATTGGGAAGTACAGGTGAGATTAGTTTTACGACATTTGCTGAAGTTCTAAATAGTGAATTAAATTTGATGGAAAATCCGTATTGTACAATCATACAAAATCTACACCATTGTATTCAAGATCATACCTATAAATGTTTTATAATAGATCTATTTGATTTAGTTTATAGCTTCTTACCTAACTCTAGTTTTAATTTTCCTACATAGATATTATCAATCTCATTTAATTTTAACGGATTCATCAATCATATCCAATTCATCTGATAATACAAACAATCATACTCCATGTACAATATTTACTTCTTCATTCAATACATATACACCACCAGCAGTTTATTGTTCTGATATAAAATTTCATTTTAATGATATAGAATTCAATAATAACACTATCAATAATCAACATCAACAACAAAGAAAACAATCAGAATATCCTATATATAAATTAATTATGTTAATACCAACTCCATCACCACCAAATTTATCATCCATTATAACAATATCTTCATCTAAAATAAAAAAAGTACCATGGACTTATTTATATGAAGATATTTTTGATAATGAATGGTATAAAAGTAAACTATTGAATAATTTACAATTTTGGGAAGATTCTTTTTTAGATACAGTTGCACAAGAACGAGATATACTTGGTTAGTTCTTGTTTATAAATCTTTAAATATATGTATTTTGTTTTTCTTCATTAATTGGATGTACATCGATGATAGATAGATAGATAGATAGATAGATAGATAGATAGATAGATAGATAGATAGATAGATAGATAGATAGATAGATAGATAGATAGATAGATAGATAGATAGATAGATAGATAGATAGATAGATAGATAGATAGATAGATAGATAGATAGATAGATAGATAGATAGATAGATAGATAGATAGATAGATAGATAGATAGATAGATAGATAGATAGATAGATAGATAGATAGATAGATAGATAGATAGATAGATAGATAGATAGATAGATAGATAGATAGATAGATAGATAGATAGATAGATAGATAGATAGATAGATAGATAGATAGATAGATAGATAGATAGATAGATAGATAGATAGATAGATAGATAGATAGATAGATAGATAGATAGATAGATAGATAGATAGATAGATAGATAGATAGATAGATAGATAGATAGATAGATAGATAGATAGATAGATAGATAGATAGATAGATAGATAGATAGATAGATAGATAGATAGATAGATAGATAGATAGATAGATAGATAGATAGATAGATAGATAGATAGATAGATAGATAGATAGATAGATAGATAGATAGATAGATAGATAGATAGATAGATAGATAGATAGATAGATAGATAGATAGATAGATAGATAGATAGATAGATAGATAGATAGATAGATAGATAGATAGATAGATAGATAGATAGATAGATAGATAGATAGATAGATAGATAGATAGATAGATAGATAGATAGATAGATAGATAGATAGATAGATAGATAGATAGATAGATAGATAGATAGATAGATAGATAGATAGATAGATAGATAGATAGATAGATAGATAGATAGATAGATAGATAGATAGATAGATAGATAGATAGATAGATAGATAGATAGATAGATAGATAGATAGATAGATAGATAGATAGATAGATAGATAGATAGATAGATAGATAGATAGATAGATAGATAGATAGATAGATAGATAGATAGATAGATAGATAGATAGATAGATAGATAGATAGATAGATAGATAGATAGATAGATAGATAGATAGATAGATAGATAGATAGATAGATAGATAGATAGATAGATAGATAGATAGATAGATAGATAGATAGATAGATAGATAGATAGATAGATAGATAGATAGATAGATAGATAGATAGATAGATAGATAGATAGATAGATAGATAGATAGATAGATAGATAGATAGATAGATAGATAGATAGATAGATAGATAGATAGATAGATAGATAGATAGATAGCTTACGAGTTGATTACTGTTTACGAATTGCCACCAATTAAGTTATATTGTAAACTATTTTATTTTACCTATACATAAGTATAAGTACAGGGAAGCACCAAGTACATATGCGCCACACGAATCTCAATTGATTTGTGTGAGGGATGTGATACTACCCGAGTGCCCAAATCGAAGCAGATGGTTTTCTTAGGGGGCCACACCCCGAGCCTTCGACCTGAACGTCTGACCCACAAGGCAGTGGAGCATCGTGAGGAGATGCAGTCCCATGGTAGCCGGTGACCAACGATTGGTTCATACGCCATTTGTTCCCGCAGGATACTGGAGCCCATGTGCACCATTGGTTTGGGGTCCGGTTAAAGCGCCGGACATTCGCTTTTCGTCCTCTCATTTTTGTAAACAGCACCTGTGGCACGAGAAGGCAGTGAGTAGGACTTCTGTGGCAGAGGCTATATACGTATGGCCATGTGAGAGCATTTCGAGAGGAAGAGCGGACTCTCCCCACTCTCGGTCGTACCAGGGCATTTGGGGGCAGAAGTAGCCTAATAAGAGGTCTAATCGATGACAACCAGAAGTGACCTGAAGATCAAGTAAATTTCATTGGCTAAGGAATCGATTAATTTTCTTAAGGTGTAGTGTTATATATATATATATATATATATATATATATATATATATATATATATATATATATATATAAATGAGGACTTGTGCATTTTATTCAGTAGCCCAATATACTTTCTACTTCAAGCAGTCAATTGTGTGGTTAGCACCTAGCATATCGTGTATCTGTATCAGTTTTCGGACACCGTTCGTCATAACACTGAGCATAAATTTACAATGATAAAACAACTAAATGATTCATAATAATCATTTTTTATAAATAGAATGTTTAAGCTTTCTACTTCATGTCATTGTGCCTGGTTCTACGTTGCAGCTGACTGACTGACTGACGACTTCATGTCATACCGGAACATTGTTCAAATAGAATTTACCAGTCACTTGTTAAATAAGTAATTTACTCATAGATGTTGGAATGATCCAGAAAAATCCTCGCAAAAAACACGCAAGGATCAGGAAACCTTAAGAAGCATTTCATCCAATCAGCGTTCATTTGGAGTTTAGCCAGAAAACGTCAAGGGTGAGAAATGTCACATGTAGAGAATCTGATTAACCGCTACTATCTTTAGTAGCATTCCAGAATCCTCGAGCAACCCAAGAACATTTAGAATATTATAAAAACCCTCTGTTTTCTGCATTAAAATGAACCTTTGAGTAAAGTACTTCTCGCATACTTTGCGACATTGGGAACTACAAAATGTTTTGACATGGATTTTTTAATCATCACTTGACTTTAGTTATGCAGGTAGTTGATATAAAATTAGTCAACACTGGACGGCTTAATTAATTCTAGTATAACAATATTCGTCAGTGAGTAATGCCAACCATGCTAGTTGTAATCAAATCCTAGAGTATCATTCACCTACATGCAGCCCTCAAACGCCCTAGTATGGTCGAGGGTGGGGAGAGTCCACTCTCCCTCTCAAAGTGATCTCATCACATGACCATGCCTATACCACCACCGATAGGGAAGTCCTACTCATTGCATTCTCGTGATGGGGATGTTGTTTACAAAATCGAGAGGATGCAAACCGAATGTCCGGAGCTTAAATCGTTTTAGTTAATATAGAGGATCCACCTAGGGGAGTTGGAAAATCCTGATTCCAAACCATTGTTACACATGGACTCTAGGATCTTGAAGGAAACACATGGCATATGAACGTATTGTTGGTTACTGGCTACCATGGGATTGCATCTTGTGACGTTACTCCATTACCCTGTGGATTAGACCCTTAGATCCAAAGGCTCAAAGTGTGGTCCCCTAATAAAAGCGCCTGCTTCTGTTTGAGCATCCGGTAGTATCACAGCCTTCACACAAATCAATGAGAACTAATTTTGGCCTCATTGTTATTGTCTAGTGCCTATGTATTCAGTGCCCACTTATACCAATATTTATGAGTTTGAATAAATAAATAAACCGTACATGCAATCAACATATCATCTATAGATCATCATTAAGTCAGAAAATATATTCAGTATCCACACAACATTCATCATAGTCAGTAACAACGTGGAACTTCGTACGTACGTACATCAGTTCGAGTTGCCACACCACATTAGCACAGACATACAATTTTCGATTCGAATCCCGTAGTAGTAGAGGTAGTGTATGTATAAGTAGTGATAGGGAACATTAGGGTTTGATGATGTTATTTAAGGAGTATAATCCAGTGAAATAAATTTGGAAAGAAAATAAAGAACATGAAGAATTCAGAAGATTAGAATTTGAGAGAACACAAAGAGTGGATGCACCTGCACCATTGCAAACGATTTTGAACCATGTTATTCAAAATCTCTAACCATTGGTTGCTATCATCTCGTGGACCCCAACCAGGTAGTTTACACCTACCAACATGACTCAGTCCACTTGTCAATGACTTCATTGATTTATGCCATGTTTTTCTCCGACCGCCCCTATCTTTCTTTCAACCTACTCCTACACTATAAAACATCACACATCGATATTCATCATAATTTTCTTACTTATAATATTATAAACTTACACTACACTTCATCATTAATAATAATGATACCTTTCATTTTTTTTTAATTTATAATTCAGGTATGGATTTTCGACCTAAAGAACTTTTATTAAAATATCAAAATGCTTCATTATTAAAACGTAAACAAATGGAATTAGAAGAAGATTATTTATTAGTTAATATCATGCATAATATGATTGCATTTATGTTAATGGCTAATGTAGATCGTTTATCTATACGTAAAAAATTACAACGTTTATTAGCTAAAAGTCATACAGGTTTACATTATTCAAGAAAAATTAATGATTTATTAAATTCATTAAATTATTTAGTAAGTTTACTTTTTATTCTTTTTACTAAATTATCTCATATATCTTGTTTTGACGTATTCTATACCAAGTCAGTCAATTGTTAAAGGTATGAGGGCAGTTATCACTTCTTGGTTGTCTACACTGTGGATGGGTTCTTTTGAAAGTACCTAAAAAGGAAATTTGATTAGAGGTGGTCATTGTGACCTGAGAGTCAGACCGCAGTACTCAAGAGACAGCTGCTTGAAGTCGGTCACATATGACCTTTTTATGAGTAGTTTTTGTGTTAGCTCTGTACTTGTTGAGATTTTACCGTCGGAGACGGATATCCGTGGGATAAGGTGAGGTGTGCATTTTTACGGCCGAGCTTTTCTAACCTCATCTCCCTTTGTGGCAAGGCAGCATCGCTGTTATGCTGGTTGTCTGAAGGAAACACCTTACTGCTGTCACACCTCTGTACAGTCAGCAGTACGACTTCGCCTTCAGACCTATACCAAGTACTTTCGTTCAGTGTGTATTGTTCAATGAATTAATTATGAAGTCATCATTATCACTTTGGATCTAGTCGTCAGCAGTTATGAAATATTGAAGTAAACCGTTTAATTATTCTGTAAACACTAGATCAGTCTGTTGTGATATCATTTTGTTTTGATTTGTGAATGGGTTGTCTTCAATGATAAAGTCAACTTCATTTGTCTTTGTGTTTTTGTTCGGTAGACCTCTAATCACAATGGTTTAACCTTTTTCTACATCGATTCATACATGGTCATCGATTAGAGATTGATTTGATATCCACTAGATGTTATCAATCGAGAACAGGATGGCAAAATGATTGTGCTAGTTTTTCAGTGACACCAAGTATTTCTGTCCAATAACTGTGCTTGCCGGTCTGTTTTTGTAAACATATGAGAAAATCTATCAGGATATTCACGAGGGCCGTTTATGGAGATATCACACTGAAGAAACCATCTTTCTGTAAAGGTTGATCATACGTTTAAATAAGGGTTGCAGGTGAGACTATAATTTATGGATGACTTTTGAGCGACACTGGAATGACCTTGAGAGTGTCTACCTACTTACTACGGCTAAATGAGGGTTATAAAGACAATGATTTGCAGTTGATAATAATAGTTAGGATTTAGATTTATGGTTTTCATCACGAACTGATATCAGCTATGTTGCCAACACTCTATTTGGACGAATGGTTGAGTGAATTTCGTGCCAAAATTCAAGATCCGTTAACCTAAATTCTATTCGCTCGTCTATAAATTATAGTCTCGCCCTATCTCTTTTGATTCCTGACCACTAATTCACTGTCTAGCTAATTGTTGATGAGTTGAATCGCCTGATCACCCGTTTCTAAAGAAAGAATGAAACATTGAGGTTGTTCAAGCGTTTAACTCCTAAAGAATTCTACAAATGTTTTGAAAATTAGAAGCATAGATATAATATGTGTGTTATTACAAACAAGGGGGAAATGTAGCACTTTGAAGACAACAGAACTGACCTAAATAGAATTATTTTTTAAAGATTAATTTGCACAATTTGTTAGACTAAACAAATCAATTGAAGTATCACTAATGACTACTCACTCTATTGTTGTTTAACTTTATCGTTGATGTGCTTCTAGAGATAACACTTTCCTTATCTAAATTTCTAGCGGTTGAACTTTCACCGAGAGATTCATGAGAGTAAATAAATAGATGAAAAATGAATGTTCACACGTAGCCAAATATAAAGTATAACTTGTTAAGTAAGTGTATGTAGTTCAAATAGGTTAATAAGATAAATGGTTAAACTGATACTTACACAAGTGCACATATATTAAAGTACATATGTAAAAATGGATAATTAACAATGGTATGTTTACCATTTAAATAAAAGGTAAGTCTCGAATAAATTTAAACATGCGTCAGGATAAGATTCTTGTAAATACCACCGAGTTATCTGAAATGAAAGAGAATGAGTTAGTTATGAACCATTTACTTAGTAACTACAAGTTGTTCACCTTAACCAGTGGACTACCGTACCAAACGTTTTTACACTAAGCAACAATGATCTGTTATAGTCTATCATTTATTGCAATCATGAATCGATTTGAGCTAAGAAATCATTATAAACATCAAAGCATTAGACGTTTGTTTCGTCCCACTAACCCGCCAGCAGGAATCGTATTCAGGACCTTCGATCTCGCGCGCGAACACTTAGCCTCTAGACCGCCAAACTCGGATCTAATGGTGTACGGGTGTAACTGCAATTAATCCACAATATTGCGCTACCATCTTGCATTGTTGACTGTATTATAAAGGCCTCGATATCGGGAAAGGTGAGCATGTAATACAATGGATAGCTTGCATGCAAATAAACGATTTAAATTTCGTAGATGTGTTGGCTCTTCTATCCAATACACACGAACAAATGCAGGTCAAGACAACTAGTGTAGCAGAAGCCTCCACATCAATAGGTCTCAAGATACACAAGGGAAAAAGACACATCTTGAAGTACAACACAGAGAACATCAATCCAATCATACTTATTGGAGAAACTCTGAAAGTTGTGCAATCTTTCATGTACCTGGGAAGCATCATTGATTAATGTGGAGGATGCGATGCAGACGTAAAGACGGGAATTAACAAAGCAAGGACCACATTCCTACAGTTCAAGAATATTTGGGACGCAAAACAACTTTCAACCAATATCAAAGTAAGAATCTTCAAAACGAACTTCAGGACAGTTCCACAGTACGGAGATGAACATTTGAAAACTACCACAACCATCATCAAAATAGTACAAGTATTTATAAATAGTTTTCTACGCAAGATATTGAATGTCCGCTGGAGGGGTACCATCAGCAAGAGAGTTCTATGGGAGAGAACAAACCAGCTGAAGAGGAAATTAGGAAAAGACGTTGGAAATGGATAGGACATACATTACGGAAATCACCACACTGTATCACAAGGTAAGCGCTAACTTGGAATCCTGAAGGGAAGCGGAAAAGCAGAATGCCGAAGAACACACTACATCGGGAAATAGAAGTAGATATGAAAAGGATAAATAACAACTAGAAAGAGTCGGAAAGGAGGATTGCTTAGTACAGGGTTGAATCAAAATTGCTGGTGGGTCGCTTATACTCTTCCACGAGGCTCAAACAGGCATATGTAAGTAATCTTGCATTGTCTTCGCTAGGTACCTTCTTCACACCGTCTAGCTCCATTGGTCAAAGCTTCTGACTAAAACTCCAGAAATTTCTGCCTGAAGTTAGTCACTATTAATTACATGATACTTGTTAGTGTTACGTTGTGGAGTTTATTAAATTTCATTAAAATAATGAAACAATCTCCACAACCCCAATACTGAAACGATCTAAGTTAAACAATCATTAGGTTAACATAATGCATGAAACTAGTTGTGCGATTCAACATAAATTACTAATTCACTGTGAAATAAGAGATCTTTACACATGTTTATTAAATCCAGATATAAAAACCCTACACATCTATTGTGGTATGTGCTACTTATGTAGACATATGTAGTATATGATGTTAATCGTGAACAGAATGTCTGACAGCAGAGAGACAACAGGATCGAACAGTAAAGAATGAAAACAGAATGCAATTTGTATGATAATGCAAGAACAAAGGAAGTCTCAGTCATTTTGAGACAATTGATGGATATTTTGCAAATTGAGCATTTACTATATGATTGTTAGATTTTACTAACTAGTTGTGTAACTTGTTGTCAAATACATTCGATTGTTCCCAACCCGTGTTTCTGTTCACTACACTATCAATTACTAAATCTTCGTTTAAAACTCTATACAACATACTTTGACAATCCATAGTAATGCTAGTAGCTTATCACTATGATAGAATTTTACAAATGTATTAATTATTGAGTTCATTTATGTATCCTTATATGACAAAAATTAATGTCGTCTAATTGATATTTATTAATGAGTTCATTACCCCATCAAAAGTTATAGTTTTCATGGGGATAAGCTAACTAACTATCTATCTATCTGTCTATCCTATTATTTACCCTCTATGTGTTTATCTCTCTTTGTGTACTATTCAGAATTTGACCTTGACCATGATTTTTTCTTTCCTACTACATAGTGAGTATATCTACATAAATATTTACTCATGTGTTGATGAATAGTATTACTTGTCTTTCAATTACATCTAGAGTTTCTTTTTTAGAAGATAGTAGTAGTAGTGAAGCTAAATATTCTGTGTGAATAACTGTTCTAAGATAAATAATAATACAAAACCTTGCTTTTAGGATCTTATCTAGTTTATTATAGTTAATATAAACTACTATCACATTTAGGAAAATATTTACTTCTAGTTCCTTCATATTTGATTATGTGATGACAGTGTAGTGAACAAGAATACGGATAGAGATTAAACGAATGTATTTGATAACAAATTACAGAACTAATTAGTAAAATTTAACAATCATATAGTAAATAGTTAATTTGCAAACTGGACTATTCCTGTTGTAAACATCAATCGATTGTCTGACATTTCATTGTTCATGCGTTTTCATACAAATTCCATTATGTTCCCGCTTTTCTTTTCTTGATCTTTCCCTATTTTCTACTGCCAGACATTACGTTTTTTAACTCGCGTCATATACTACTTATTATATCAATATAAGTAGTGCGCACCACAAAGTAGTACTTATTCTAAGAAAAACTGCTATATTATAAGCAACAGCTTTATTCTCTTCTAGCCTTAACTATTACAAAAGACAAATCTTCCTAAAAAGTCTCATTGGAAGCAACCAAAAATGATTTAATATTTATTGGATTTAATTCAATGATATGTTAATTAGTTAATCAGTGCTTGAAACCACTAACTTCTGGTCTGAGCCATGTTGGTAGATGCAGACTATTTGGTTCGGGTCCGTGTGACTATTGTAACCAATCGTTGGAAAATCTGGGTAACTTGGCTAATAATCGATCACGATGGCGCGGGGTATACACTCCCTGTGTTCCCTTAATCTATGAGATTATAATCGCTGCATACCTTTCTCTCAACCAACTATATCCCTACATAAAATCTTTCTTTCATATATTACACCATCGAGTTAACTGTTTATATGAATCCTGTGTTCGTCTTACTGTGCTAATGATGTATGGCAACTTGGACCGATGCATATATGTGCCTGGTCCTACATTGTAGCTGACTGACTGACTTCAGTGATTATCAACTAGAAAATGATAATGAAGCACTGAACGGCCGTTTCGTCCTATTGTGGCACTCCTCAACTAATTAATTCAATGAGGTGTTTTGAAATTCAATAAATGATTTCATATGAATAGAATTAATACAATTGAAAATATACTAAGAGTCAATGAACACAGTATTCAGATTGAGTTAGCATATGAATTATTATTATCATAACCAACACATAAACAAAACATCTATAAAAGATAATATAATTAATTGAATTCATCAGAGAATTGAAGCTAGATCACCATGGAAAACTTAAAAGCACTGGATGGTTGTTTCATCCTAGTATGAGACTCCTTAACAGTGCATATCTAAGTTCCCACCTCGCAAGATTCGAACCCAGGACCTATCCGTTCAGATTTTCTCATAATGGTCTAGCTTCAATTGACTCATGAATTCAACTATTAAATTACTATAATATCTATAAAAAATCTTTCTTTGATTATAATATAATTACTACATACATTATTACGCAATAGGAACAAGCCAACTAGATTTCAGTAATAAAAAAAAGATGGCTTCAAACATTTTTTTTTTAGTTGATAACATTAGAAAATCAATAACTTGTATGATAAACTGTACTTTAGAAAGGAATCAATTAGAGAATCAAGTATGTAACATTTAGGTTGTTTTGTTTTGTTTTGTTTTGTTGCTGCTTAAAATGTAAATATCATATTTATGACAAGCAATAAAAAAAATTACCTTTGTCATATATTGATCAAAGAGTTAAAAATTGAAGCCGAAATGTAATTATTACTATCATTAAGTATAAATATCAATGTTAAATATATATGATATTCATTCATTTTGTCTCATTTGGTTGTTTGTCTGAATCTTCCTATTGATATTTATGACGGTAATTGTGATCAATCTCTTAGTGATATAAGTACATCCTGTGCGGATCGCCTCAATATAGCCTTATGTCACAAGTTTTTTTTTAAGGAAAGATGAATAATGTCTAACAGTGAAATCCAGGACATGTGTCTCATCAGTTGCATGTACCCTAAATGTACAGAGTTGATTTCCACCCTGGAACTCAAATCCAGTATTGTTCACCTCAAACACCAATACGTTATTCACTTAGTTATTAAATCCGGATAGCCGCCCTACTTATGCAATGAAGTGAAGTTTTAATTCACTTGAATCTTCCCATTAATGTTTATGACTGCAATTGTGATCAATCTCTTATTGACATCCTGTGAGGATTGTCTCGATATAGCTTTAAGTCACAAGGTTTTTAAACAAAGATGGATAGTGGTTAGCAGTGAAATCTAGTTTGAAACGTGTTTCGTCCTATTTTGGACTTGTATCTCAGAGTTGATATTCACTCTGGGACTCGAATTCAAAACCGTTCACTACAAACTTCATTATGTTATCTAACTAGCTACTTGTTTCATTCATTAATTATATAATATCATCTTTTTTATAGAACGATTCATTTACAATAACTGTTATCTGATTAGCTAACAATATGTTTAGATTTCTCATTATCGTTTCGAGTTTAACTATTTATTTTACTTTAACTGAATTTATGTGATAGATACTTGTAGTTATATTGAATCTTATATGGTATGAATGTAATTTTTAAAACTTTTATACTGAAGTGTAAATGTAATATTTCATATATTATTCTTCTCACAGAATGGGAACGATATTGATTTAAATGTGGCTCAAAGTCGTTTTATTGTACAACGTTCACATGAAGCCTATCGTGGTTCAGATGACAGTGGTGAACTAATATTTCTTGAAGTAATATTTATTTATTTTTTTATGTTCCATTATATATTTTTAGCGTATTCCTTATATTTAGGATAGTGGCTAATAGTAAGTAACGTAAAGTATGGCACTAGGCTGGAGGAAATATATATATATATATATATATATATATATATATGTCTGGTCTTTACGTGTTATGTTAATACCGTGCTTTCGATGCACTGAAACTCTTCACTCCGCCTGAAAATTCCTGGACCTTCGACACCACATTTCGCTACACACTACTTACAAACAATCTTCTGAGTAGCGTCCACTATGTTAATATAGGGATCTAGATAGGGCATTCGTATCTATGTAGATGTTGATTAAATATATACCCTCTGAGTAAAACTATCATTTGTGTACCAAAAGAAAAACAGTTTACATTTACCTAATATAAACCTATACCATTTACGAAATTATCGGTTGACGTATTTTCATAAAGTATTCAATCATTTTAGTTTATATTTGTTTCATTATCTTTTCCTCTTAATTTTAATAATCCTTGTTGATTTTGTAAAGTATGTTGTAACCTGGATATATTTATTGTCAATTGTATATTGCAGGTTGTGCAAAATAATTTTGAGTTGTTATGTTTGTCATCTAACCAATAATGATTAATTAGAAATACCACAAATGACGTAATTTATAATAGATGATCATCATCAGAAGAGGTTTTGTGAATACTATGGTAATTTTAACAGCTGGAATCATGAGTCAATTGAAGTTAAATCACCATGAAAAACCTGGAAGCACTGGACGGTCATTTCGTCTTAGTGTGAGACTCGAACCCAGGACCCATTAGTCTTGCACGTGAGCGCTTTAACCATTAGACCACTGAACCGGCACCCAACAGTGTTAATGTCTAACTTCAACTAATCCACGAAATTTAACAACACATTCACCATTGTCATCAGTGAGTTACTATCTCACAACAGGTCACTGCTTCTCACTAGATAATCATCAAATGAAAATTCTTTTATGTAGCAAATCATCTGAAGATCGAAATGACAGACTTTAGAATTATTATTGATTAAATCCTATGAAAATGTATTTATACACATTAGATACCCTGATCATTTTATCTTTAAACTTTCCTTAAACCTCGTATACTCAAATTATTAAAACAAATGTCCCATAACTAATCTAAAACAGTTATTCAACCATATATATATATATATATATATATATATATATATATATATATATATATATATATATCGTTTAGCTGATGTATTAGTAACTTATGAGTATGTTAAAACATGTGACCTGTGTGCCCTGTTATTGGATAAGCAATGACACCTCCAATTAGGGAACAGTGACTTATCGATCGAACCAATGACGCGTAAAACATGCGCGAGAAGTCTAGAGTCCTGATTGGTCCTGCTTTCCGCCTAGCCCAGAACACCAATCTCAGCTTCTGCGATTTGAACCATGTATTTCAAACATACTCGGTTTATATACCAACCAGACAGACCACATCGTTATTTATTTATTTATTTTAACACATAGGTATTGGTACAAGGAGGCACCAAGTACATATGCGCCACACGAATCTCAATTGATTTGTGTGAGGGCTGTGATACTGCCCGGGTGCCCAAACCGAATCAGGAAAAAGCTAATTAAACATTAATACGTAAAAAAAAGAAAACGCAAGTGGGGGGACGTAAAAACACCGTCTAAACATTGAAAACAACAATAAGAATTTAGTGGATACATGAACAAACCACATCGTACCATAATGTAGCGAACAAGATTTGGCTAAATGTGGCTGTGACCGTGGGAGGCAATAACTAATAGACAGGGTATAATTCAAGAATGGTAAAACGTATAATAATAGTTCATAGGTCAAAATAAAGCTTATAATAAGAGGAATATGAATATGAATAGTTTAGTTACATAACAATTGTACAATAAGAATATACGTTTAGTATTGGTCCATAAATGAATCCCAAAAGTTACCATTCATTATGCATATCGGGACTTAATAGAGTAATACTACTTAGTTTGAATACTTTCATTCTACTATTATAATTTCATAATAAAATACATTTAGAAGTGTACAAAGAGGTACTTCTTAAACGATGATCTTAAATTTTGGTGTATAATTATTATTAGGTTTGTTCTGATTATCTATTAATTCGTAATTTATCTGGACGTATATTAGAACGTTTATGGTATGATCAAGTGATCAATTTAACGTATAGATCACATTCACATATATTATGTATTACAAGACAAATATTGGATCATTCACAAATGGATTTATTTTATACTCGTAAAGTAAGTATACTGATTTGGAGTGACTTGAATATGATGTTGATATTGTGTATGATGCGATCTCATAGTTTAAGGAAAGACAAAGAGTGTATGCACCAACCCCATTGTGATCGTTTGTGAGCCATGTCAGCAAGAGTCTCCAATCATTGGTTATGATGTGATGTGGGTTACTTATATCCACACAAGTAGTGTACAAAGATGGTCAGGCATAGAATGTATTTCAGTAGAAGGTCGATAAGAAAAGAATGGAAATGGAATGCAATTGGTATGAATACGCAAGAACAATGAAATCTGAAACAATAGATTGATGTTTGCTACTGGAACGGTCAAGTTTGATATGTGATGGATTGATATTTTGCAAATTAACCATTTACTGTATGGTTCTCAGATTTTATTGAGGTGATCTGTACTTTTGCTCCCAAATACGTTCAATTGTCCCCATTGGTGTTCTGTTCACTACATTGATAGTCACACGGACCTCAACCAAGTTGTCTGCATCTACCAACATGGCTCAGACTAGAAGTTAGTGACTTCAAGCACTGATGCCACGTTTTGGTTTGGCCGCCCCTAACTTTATTCCAACTATCCCCAACACTAGTCAGCATTGTGTGTCGTGGTAATCGGTGTTCAGGCATACGTAACACGTGGACCAACCATCTCAGTCGATGAAGATTCGTAACCTCATCAACTGATTTATCATCATTCTCTAATACCCTGTGTCTAACCTCACTATTACTTACCCGGTGATCCCATCAGATGTGAGCAATATTTCTTAGACAGCAGTGGTCAAATACTAGTAGCTGACGAGTATCTTCTACCCTTCCTTAATGACCACGTTTCGCAGCCGTAAACTAGAACAGAACAAACTGCCGTGCAGTATACTCGTCCTTTAATTGATAGACGGATATCTCGCCTTCGCTATAGGTGACGTTAGTTGGCAAAAGCCAAACGAGGTCTCTGAATCCGTGCAGAGATTTCGTCAGACACCAACCCATTAGGGCTGATCAAACTTCCAAGATAAGTGAATTTGTTAACGAGTTTGACTACTTCACTCCCTTACCTTAGTTCAGGTGTTGACGCAGGCCAGTCCTGAAGCAACAACTTGCATTTAGAGGGAGAGAAGCGCATCCCAAACATTCTGGCATTTTTGCTCAGTGCTACCAAAAGACTTGGCATTTTATCAACGTCTTCACGAAACAGGACAATATTATCTATGTATTCTAAGTCGATAAATGGACCTCCTGGAAGAAGATTAATACCCGAAAATTCAGTCGACCAGATTCATTATTGATTCCCGTAGTTGTTATATGACATATAGTTTAACTTGTTTAGGAATGCATAACTAATATTTTGTTAGATTTATATACAATTTGTATCTTCCAAGTAAACTTCAAGGAAGTATATGCAAAATTGTAGATAGATTATGAATAAATGAGAAATTTACTTTTTCTACTATCTATTCATACTACTCATTATTTCATGTAAATGATTATAATATTATGACAAATAAATTTTGATATAGACAAGTTTGTTTCACTTACTTCAGCATTATATTTTTACTTTGATTAGAATTTATTCATGACATGAACATGACTACTCCTACTAACCAATGTACTTAAATGTACTTGGATACTTATTATTTATCTTAGAATTAGCTTGTTTGTTTTTTTCATTATGTTGAGATTTGGTTTTGATAGGTAGTATGTCTCCAAAAACGAGACCATATTGAAGTGAAACTTCAATTTGAAGTAATATTGTATATGAAACTATTGTGAATCGACAATGTTTTCTGATGTTCACACGACTATCATCAATTTGACCTATTATTCCATATTTATTGATGTGTTTTGATTTAGGCGTTGAAATTCTCTTTATTTGTTTATTGAAACATAAACATTAATACAATGAGACACCAAATAGATATGCGCCACATAGATCATTCGATTTGTGTTAGGGTTAGGATATTGTTTGAGTGTTCGAACCGAAGCAGATGGTTCTCTCGTGTGGCCAACACCCGGAGCCTTTAACCTAAAGGTTTAATCCATAAGGCGGTGGAGCAACGTTAAGAGATGCAGTCCCATGGTAGCCAGTGACCAACAACAAGTTCATACGCCATTTGTTTCCTTCAGGATATTGGAGCCCATGTACACTGTTGAATCAGTGTTTCTCACCCCCCCCTTTATGGATCCTCCATATCTATCAAACTGGTTAGAGCTCCGGACATTCGGTTTGCATCCTCTCGATTTTGTAAACAACATCCCCACCACGAGAAGTCAGTGAGTAGGACTTCCCTATCGGTGTTTGTCTAGGCATGGTCGTGTGAGATCACTTTGAGAGGGAGAGCGGACTCTGCCCATCCTCGACCATACTACGGCATTTGAGGGCTTCATGTAGTTGAATGATACTCTAGGATTTGATTACAACTAGCACGATTGGCATTACTCACTGATGAATATTGTTATGCTGGAATGAATTAAACCACCCATGGACCATTAGGCTACCGAGTCCCATTCTGAGATAACATTGGAAGTCTTCAAGTACATTAGATAGTTTATTTGGCCCATTTTCACCATTTCTTAAATAAGTTTTCATGTACGCGTTTACAAAGATACACACTATTGTATAATAGATTTTAAGCCGTTGTTGCAACTTTACGTACATACTCATATTTGTTACATTCGTTTTTTTTTTCTTACCAGTCTCGTTTAGTATATCAACAGATCAAAGAATCAATGAAAAATATCTCTGTAGAATCTTCACATGGAATACTAAGTTAGTTATATTGTTTATGTTTTGACTAAAAGTATTATATATGTTATGAATAACTTAAATATAATCTATTATTATCGTTTACACAACATCGAATCAACCAGAAATCTAGTATACGTCCACTGTGTAAGGGGAAAAGCTTGATACGGGATTACTTTGACCATTCTAGTACGAAAATACTCTTCAGCATCATCCACTTGACTTCGTGTAAAGTTCTAGGCTGGAACTGTTTTTAACTCGCAAACTAGATTTTCCATCGTTTTCAAATGTTTTCAATTTGACAACTGTTCGTACACCTACGGACTTTCCTTTTACCGCATATTTGTTTATTATTTCTGTGTTGTTGAAATCAGATATAAGTAGTCAAAGAAATAATAGCAAATATTTCATTCAATACATGTATATATCCAATTTCTTTAAATTATATAATGCAGTTTTACATTCTTTATATGTTTGTTTCTTCTCCTATCTTGTCAACTTAATCGACTGGAACGTTTGAAGTATTATGGTCAATGTTTTCGACCGATTAATTTGACTAAATGTTGTTGACTTTTTGCTTATTTTGAATGATTTTAAATTATTAAGCCGTAGACGAGTAATTACTCTGTTTAAAACATATTGGCTTCTTAACTTCAGTTGTTGTGAAACTTTCTCCGAGATGCAAAAAATATATTCTTACTTTCTTTGCTTTCAATGTAATTTCTTTAGCATGTACATGTAAACTAGTAAATACAATTGTAAATGGGTGTATGAACTAAAGCAGATAGTATTGTTATCTGACCACTTCTTGCGCGTTTGGCCTGGTAGTCTATGCCACAAGGCAATAGCTCCACGTTAGGAAATGCGGTCCTATGGAGTCTGGTGATGATTAAGATTAAGTTCATACTACGGCTATTCCTTCAGCATCCTGGAACTAGTTTGCACTATTTGTTTTCCAACTCCCCTAGATGGATCCTCCATACACACTAATCCATTTAAACAGCCGGAAATCGGCTTTTCATCCTCTTAATTTCATAAACAACACCTCCAGCGCAAAATGACAGTGAATTAGACTTCCTTAGCAGTAACCATATATGCCTAGCCATATGAGTTTACTTAGAGTAGTAGTGCGGACTCTCCTCACTCTCGGATATATCATGTTGTTTAGAAGCGTTGTAATTGTTAGTAAGATTTGTGCACCACTTTTTTATAATTTTGTAAAATTTCTTTCTAATCTCATCTAGATGGTGATTTGAACGGTGAGATTAATGCAACTAATTTGGACAACAATCAACCTGGTACTATTAGCATCTTACCAGATGGATTCGTTATCAAATTTGGTGATGAGCAGGTTAGATTGTATTATCCTAAAGACGATTACACTCGTGTGTGTATGTCCGGACGTGCATATATATATATATATGCACAATGTGAGGGTTATTTAATGTCTTTTTTGTGGCCTTTTGCCGGTTGTATTGTATACATTCATGTTGTTGTTTTAGTTATCGTACAGTGAACAGTCCTGGAGTTATGTCACATCTCTAAACGGCATCAGCATCTGTTTAAAAAATCCAATGTCGATGAAACCTTTTTAGTGTCTAACAGTCATTCTTCGAAAAAAGCATCCTACTTATGCTGAAATTTTGTCGTTTTATTTGATTCTACTTAAATCCAATTTGAATATTACTATTTTAGTGACCCTATATGTGGAAAACGTAGGACAAATTAACATTAAAGTGAAAAGCAAACAACTAGGTGGACAACAGAGATCATTGCTCGAAATATAGGTTTTGGACTAATGATGATTTTGTTGCATTTCTGATTAAGAACTAAAATTCCAAATCATGAAATCACAAGGATTTGGCATACGATGTTCTTCATTTGTTAATGACTTCATCTTCTTGTTACTTTTAACTAGACCTCTGATGTATTTATCATATTATTATTATTATTTGAACACATAGATATTGTTATAAGGAAGCAATAAATACATATGCGCCACACAAATCTCGTTTGATTTGTGTGAAGGCTGTGATACTGTACAAGTGCCCAAACCGAAGCATGTGGTTTTCTTAGAGAGCCACACCCGGATCCTTCGACCTAATTGTCTGATCCACAAGGCAGTGCAGCATCGTAAGGAGATGCATTCCAGTCCCATGTTAGCCGATGACCAACAATTGGTTCATACGCCATTTGTTCCCTCAGGATACTGGCGCCCATGTGCACTATTGGTTTGGAATGAGGGTTTTCCAACTCCCCTAGGTGGATTCTCCGTGTACACCAACCCGGTTAAAGCGCCGGACATTCTCTTTTCGTCCTCTCAATTTCGTAAACAACACCCGTGACATGAGAAGGCAGTGATTAGGACTTCTCGGTAGAGGCTATATATGTGTGGTCATGTGAGAGCATTTCGAGAGAGTGAGCAGACTCCCCGTTCTTGGCCTTACCAGGGCATTTTTCATCTAATGTAATTATTATCTTCATCACTCTCTTTCTATTTCAGAAATTTATCAAATTGCATAATATTAAACGTTGTTGCACAATAAAATCAGAAATATTTACGATTGATGTCTACGGTAAGTGGTTCATGATATTTTCTTATTTAATAAAATTGAACATACTTGAATCTAATAGTTGAATTCATGAGTCCCACTAGCGGGACCGTAGGTCCTGGGTCCGAATCCCGCTCTCCACAAAACACCTTTTCTGATAATATTTGAATCTTTTTTAATCTGACTAAATGACATTTTCTGTCCTGTCATTCTACACTATTATGATACTCCTCAGCAGTTCGCATCTACGGTCGCGCCTTGCGGGATTCGAACCCAGGACCTGTCAGTCTAATTTATTTGAAAGTCATTTCCACTTGAATGGCGATGATCCAGTAACCTGGTTCATACGAAACACCAAATAAACTAGCTTTTCACACACACACACACACTACTGATCCGTAAGTCTCGATACTCATATTAGCGTAATATGAAAAATAAGCATATATTTCATTCCACTCTGGTTTCATCAGTAGTATGATTTGTGTCATTGATAATTTGGGTCTTTATACAAATAAATATAGAACAGCTGGTTCTGTAAACGTTTCTTATTTCATCCCAATTTTTATCATTTTCATTTCCCATTTCAAATAAATATCAGATCAAGAGAAGAAAGCAATGATCACTTATCGATTTCAGACGGATATGGTATGTTTATATTTGATATAATTAAATATTCTCACTGTATCTTCCATTGTATTCACTTGATTTCTATTATCAAACATGAACTTATGCAGTAGATTTCCTATAAGATGGAGAATGCTGGCGAGAAGCCTATGCTCCTTCACGAGGAGTAACAGGCGTAAGTAAGTTCTATAGGATGAATCACATATGAAAAAATGTAATTATACTTAGCACTCACCTTTTGTTACACAACACTACATTACATCCTATGCAAACCAACTGCGAAGAATTTTACTTCGGACAAAGCGGACATCCTCTTCATATTTGCCTGTATGAACATCAATTATCAGTCAAACGCTATGACATGTCCTCATTGATATCAATGCACGTGGACAACTGCAGACACACATTCGACTGGAAAAACGTGGAAATTTTGAATAGTGGCAATTTCAAAAACACCAGTGAATTTTTAGAAACTTGGCAGTAAAGTCCATCAGCAATCATCAGTTACAATGAAATCGATCCAATTTATCAACCAATCAGGAAGATTATGCACAAATATAGGAACGAAATTCAAACTCATGGGAGATACAACCAAAACAAGTAAACAATGACAGGTTTAATGTCAACTAGAACCAATCAACATGGAGGTCTACAAGACAAGCTGTAAACCACATGTACAGAAGTTCGAACACTTCACTTTTACCTGAAGTTGGTGTTGATGATATCGTTCAGAAGAAGAACAATGAAAGCTCTATGATTAAACCATTCAGTTCAAAAAACAAAACTCCATCAAAAAAAACAACTACATTATCATCGTTGTTATTGGTTAGTTGAAATCATTCAAATGAACTTGGAATTGATGTATAGTAGTTTAGAGCTTTGAAATGTTTAAAAATTCGTATAGAACTTTGTATAGAACTTTTCCATCAGAATATCATTATGTCAATCGGTCAGCTACAATGTAGGACTTTGTACAGATATATGCATCGGTCGAAGTTGTCATACTTTATTATCAATATATCAGATAAGGGTTTTAAACTACTCTTTATTCTTTACGTAAGCGATATATGATCACAAAGCCATGCAATTCATAAATCTCAATAGGTACATATTTGAGATATTTTCGAAACAAGGTTGCTAAAGAGCGAGAGAGAAGAGAGGGGAAATATTTACACTTGTAGGATGGGTTAACTTGTAAGTTATGAATATTAAAAGATATAACACCGCTTACTTTAGTTTTTATTCTATTTAACGTATCTAGACGGTCTATTCACATTATGTTTAGCGAATGTTTATTCCTCAACAATGTTCTAATCGACATCACTGAGTTTGAATAATCCAGAAGGTTACTAAACTTCTTATGGAAGTGTGTGTTTGTGTGGATAATTTTTCTATTTTTCTAACATCCTTGTAATATTCTATTGTTATCCATTGAAATCTATAGGCTTTAATAATTTTAAGCTTATGGAAAAGTATCATTGAATCGGCTCTACGACCTAAATTGAAGAATATGACAAAGTGATAATGATGATGATTGGTCAGTTTACATTTGGACCAATATTGTTGTCTATTGATCTGTTTGTTTGTTGTTGTTGTTGTTGTTGTTGTCACCGTCGTCGTCGTCGTCTTCGCCATTGTCATTGACATTTTTATATTGAATTGCACTATATTGTCTCCGTTTTCTTTGTGTTACTTTTTGAGTTGAATTTTATTTGTATATGAATACGTTTTATGATATACAATCGCATACTTACTTACTCCAATAGTTTACTCAAGTTTTTAAAGCCTAATCTTTCATATATATTATAGAGTAATTGAACTATTATATACTCTTTGTGTATATTTTCTGAGTTGAATGCCTCCATAGGAAGCTATATAGATCTAGGTTGTTAACTAGTTTAATAGATGGAAAATGATGATTGAGAGTATATTAGCTTCACTCAATAAATTGTTGTTCATAGCCTTATTAACTAAGTTTACAATCCTCATCAAGCACCCTTTCTACTACCTTCATTTGATTAAAAGATATACCGGATCAAATACTAACAATGTGATTTTAGCATTCAATAGACATGTTTTACAAACATATTACACAAGTGACATGGACCTTCTGGGTTCCATGAATGATCCTGAAGTATCGAATGTACAATGTTTGTTTCATTTGTTTATCTATAATTCTCCTTCTTATTCTTACGCCTGTCACTACTAATGGAACATAGGTCGCCGATCAGCATTCTTCAATCCACTCTATCCTGGGCCTTCTTTTCTAGTTCCATCCGATTCTTGTTCATTTTTCCCATATCTATCTCCATTTCCCGGAGTAATATGTTCTTTGTTCTTCCTCTTTTCCTCCTTTGGCCTTAAGGATTTCATGTGAGGACTTGTCTTCTGACACAGTTGGGTACTTTCACCAATGTGTGTCTCGTCCAGTCGGCTATGAAAGCTAAGTTATCTATAATTATTAATACTTTAATAATTGTTAAAACTTTATCCCATTGCACAAGTAAGTAACTATCAGGACTCAATAGCTAAGGGAATAGTGTGATGGCGATTGAATTAAACGGAACTGAATTCGAGTCCCACAGTGACCACCAACTATATAGATTCAGGTTACATTCAACTGATGAGTCCTAAGTAGGACGAAATGCATATCAAACTAGATTCCACTATTAGTATATACTAATACATATGTTTACTTTTATTTTTGTTTATTCTTATTTTAGACAACTCATTTATTTCAAAATTTTGTATCACTTTTCTCAATGTCATCATCATCATCATGATTTAAGTCATTCAATTTGCTCTCTGGGATAATCTAAAAAGTAAACAAAACAAATCAATTATATCATATCAACTAATCATTATAAGAATACATTGGGATAACAGTTTTGTTGTTGTTACTGTTCGTTGTTGCTTCTTGTTGTTGTTGTTGCTGTTCCCAAATCAATACTGTCTGTACATGTGAATGTATTTTGTGTTTGTAATTGATTGATTCTTTTTTGTTTGTTTGTTTGTTTGTTTGTTTTTGATATTCTTTTCTTGTATTTTATTCTTGTTCAACAGTTCATTGTCTTCCTTATAATATACATATATACATTTCAATATTCTATCATTCTTTATAAATGTTGTCATTATGATCATGTTTACATAACTCACTTTAGATTGAAAAGAACAATGTTGTATACATTTTGTTTTTTATGGTTTACCTTATGTTTCACAGTTGAAAGTGATCAAATTTCCTCTATTGTGTGTGTGTGTGTTTATTGTTTTCAGTGCCTGTTGTCATTATTCGATTATCATTAATTACTTACTTACTTACTTACCTATGGATGTGACTCCTTGTGAAGGAGCATAGATCACCTTCCCAACACTCTTCATCTAATCTTGTCCTAGACAATTCTTTCCAGTTCTTTCTAGTTGTGATTTATTGTTTGTTTTTTTTTTCAATATCTGCTTTCATTTCTTAACGTTCATTATCATTAATACAATCATGATTATCATTCATGTGATCTGTTTCAAAAGATACAGTGATAACTCATCTATTCTTTATTCTTTTCTTCATTTTCATTATGTGTATGGCATTTCAAATATGTTTCCTCTTGGATTCATTTACTTTATATTCGATATGATCATTTATTTCCTATTGATTATCAATAATCTATAACACTATGTTGTATGTTTCTAATTTTATTATTACTGTGATATTTATATTCTATTAATTAGTCTTTCTTTATCATTTTCATTATTAACAATGATACAGATAAAAAAATTTTTTTGTTATTGTGATGACCGATTTCCTTCTTTCGTGCCCCCCTCACCACCACCACCACTACTACTACTACCACCACCAGCATCACTACCATGTGAGACTCATTATTATCTTTATAACTGAAGATGTAATCTTGAAATAACTTTTTCGATTGTTATTGGTTATTCATATTCTGATCTGTTACTTTTGTTACTTGATTTACATTCCTTCATAATATATATGGTGATGGATAAGATTTGTGTAATTGTATTTTGCAAAATCTACACTCTATTATTCACATTACTTTGTATCTAATGTGTTAATGTGATATAGCAACTTGAACTGATGTATGTATGTATGTATGTATGTACGCAGTTCTATGTTGTTGCTGACTAACTGATTGATTGATCAACATCATCTTCACATACACATTCCTCGTTGTATATGTCAATTTGTTTGAGAAATAACATTTCATCGGTATTATTATTATTATTATTATTATTATTATTATTATTATTATTACTCGTAATATGCTTATTGGTTGTAATTTTCCTAATGTAAACATTTCAATCATTTGTTATAATACAATTTGATTGAACCTAGTAATTCTCTTACTAAAAAAAAAATAATAAGAGGAGACAATAAATTGGATTAGGTTAAAAGGATTAATTATAGTGGTTGAATTCATGTGTCAATTGAAGCTAAATCATCATGAAAAAGGCCCCCAAATGCCCTGGTACGGCCGAGAGTGGGGAGAGTCCGCTCTCCCTCTCGAAATGCTCTCACATGGCCATGCGTATATAGCCTCTGCCAGGGAAGTCCTACTCACTGCCTTCTCGTGCCACAGGTGTTGTCTACAAAAATGAAAGGACGAAAAGCGAATGTCTGGCGCTTTAACCGGACCCCAAACCAATGGTGCACATGGGCTCCAGTGTCCTGCGGGAACAAATGGCGTATGAACCAATCGTTGGTCACCGGCTACCATGGAACTGAACTGGATCTCCTTACGATGCTCCACTGCCTTGTGGGTCAGACGTTCAGGTCAAAGGCTCGGGGTGTGGCCCCCTAAGAAAACCACCTGCTTCGGTTTGGGCACCTGGGCAGTATCACAGCCCTCACACAAATCAATTGAGATTTGTGTGGCGCATATGTATTTGGTGCCTCCCTGTACCTATACTTATGTGTTAAAATAAATAAATAATAATCATGAAAAAGAAGGATGGATTGTAGGACCGTTTCATCTTTGCATTGGACTTCTCAATAGTCCGTATCCTTGATCCTGTCTCGCGAGATTCGAACCTAGGACCTATCAATCTCACGCGCAAGCGCTTAATCACTAGAACACTAAGTCGTCCGGTGTCAAATGGTGTTAATGTCTAACTTTAACGAATTCACGAAATTGAACAATACATCTACCATTGTTTTTATTGAGTTACTATCTCACAATAGACTTGGTCAAACTCCACTAATTACTGCTGCTTATTAGAACTCCAAGAAATGCCTCTTAAAACTAGTCACGAGTGAGCATATGTTGATTCATATTAGAAGGGTATTTTTGGATATTATAGTAAGTTCAATAGTTGAGATCATGAGCCAATTCGAAAGGATGTGCAGTTTCCGATTTTGTTATAACATCGCGTTTAACAGGAGTGATATAAAATGTTCCAAGTAATTCGATCTCAGAAAATATCATTCATTCCACCATGTGTTTGCGAATACGTGTGGTTAAGTGTACCTAACCCTACTTTGTACACTGTAATTGCCTCATACACTTATTTCATGTAACATTATTTCGAACTACATGTAATAGTGATAACCACTAAGTTTCGAAGGGGTGTATGTCTTCAAACTGCAATACTTCACTGAATTACTCTTTGATCAAATGTTATCGTGTTAGATCTCGTTTTTGTGAGTCAATTCACAAAAACCGCTTCAAATGTTTAGCATACACTTGGTGTGAAGAAATCCTACTTTGGACTCATAGGTTGGAGGAAGGAAATATCCATTGATACCTCATTTTGTCGTGGAAAATTAACGCCCGCTTTATACTAACCATTACGTTCCAAGTGTCCATCTTTCTTCGTTATCGAGTTTTGTACACTTTGAGGTATTTCTGGTGCATACACGACACTAAATAACATTACTTATTGTGAGATTGTGTGTTTGCTTTGGTACGATTTTAAGTATGTTACTTATGAGTAACTAGATTTTTAATAATAAATATATATCACTCGAGAAGGTTGATAATTAAATACATGGTGTGGAAGGCGAAATACAAACGGTGAATGCGAAATCCCTGTTCATACGCCCACAATTCACAGGGGATGTGGCTAGCGAAACATTACCTCAGAGATTAAGGGGGTCAATGCAAAAATCTTTATCAATTTAGGTGTTGTGGAGATTGTCAAGTTTTTAAGATCATGAACCGACTGATGTTAGACCACCATTGAAAACCTGGAAGCACTGGACGGCCGTTTCGTCCTATTGTGGGACTCCTCAGCAGTGCGCATCCACGATCTCACTCACGGGATTCTAACCCAGGGCCTTCAGTCTCGCCCGCGAACGCTTAACCTACTCCACCACTGAGCCGGCATCCAACGGTGTTAATGTCTATCTTCAACCTATCCAACGCCGGAGAATTATGATTAGTGTTTTTACGCGCCCAATGATAATACCGAGGTTAAAAGATGAATAAACACGAATGACTACCTCGTTTTACATTTATCAGTTCGACTGCTCCTGTGAAGCAAGTTATATTGGTCGGAATTCTAGGAGTTCGCATTTTCGTGCTCTCAAAAACCCCTCAGCGTGACTAAGCAAAGTTCTGATGAGGAAAATGAACAGTTTAATATTGACCAATTCAGTGCAAACTGGTCATTAGTGACCGTATAAACCAATCCTTTTCAATTATATGTCGATCCAGTAATGTTTTCCTGAACCAAATCAGACTAAAAGTCCTTCAAACGGCTGAAGCAGTAGTCATCTGGATGAAGAAACCAGAGTCATGCGTACAGAAGAAAGATATTTTTCGTTATATTTCAATGTGTTGAAAACTTAGATTTTTGACGTTTTGTGACAGAATGCAAGCAACCTCTTCAAAAGAAATAATTAACTGAAATTAAGTTAACACAAGTTTACTATGGTTTACTTTATAACTTTGATGTAACACCACATCACGCTTCTATGCTCTGCCGAAAATTCACAAGCCTGACATTCCTTTAACACTTATATTGAACTTCACAAATACTCCCACATATGTTCTATCTAAATATCCATGCAACACACTGAAACCACTTCAACACAATCTGGTCAATGTTGTGAACGATTCATATGAATTCAAATCAATGGTCTAGTAGTTATTCATCAGTAAGTATGAGACAATTATCAGCGTTGATGTTGCGTCTCTATACACTAAAACTTTCAAACGGACTTTATATAAACATATGAATGGTTTGCACATGTGATCTACAGTATCTTCAATTATTGCAAAGTTATCTATGTATTTCACAATGAGTCGCCTATTTTTGCCAGCACCATCAGACCGAGTATCTGGCTCAGATATTCAGATGACACATTTGTCATCATTAGAAAGACTCTTCTTCAAAATCTATCCAAACACATGAATGCACTCTCAGAACACATCAAATTCACTTTCAAAAAGGAAGATGAACATCATGAACTAATAATCTTAGACTGTTTAATTGAAGGGTATTCTAATGATAGTCTATATCTAGTCATATATCGAATGCCATCAAAATGCTATGAATTAGTAATTTCCCTGAAATTATTCAAGTAAAACTGTCCTTCTGTAAACAACAGCTCTAATGAAAGATGTTGGATTGATACTCAGGTTTTACTTTACCGTCAAGGGAAGCCAAAGAAAACATTACATCGGGAAATAAAAGCGGATATGAAAAGGATGAATAACAACTGGAAAGAGCTGGAAAGGATTTCGCAAGACAGGGTTGGATGGAGAATGATGGTGAGCAGCCTATATTCCTTCGTGAGAAGTAACAGGCGTTAGTAAGTAGGTAAGCGAGGGTTAACAGAAGAACCAAAACAGATATTAAAAACGCACAACATTAAAACTGTCTATAAGACAACTAACACTCTAAGAAACGCTTTAGTTAAAATTAGAGATATAATTCTATTCACTTTTATTCAAAATTGTGTCTACAGATTAGGCTATTTCGATTGTGATGCGCTATTGTATATGAGAGAGTCTTCCAGTGTGGTCTCGTCTCTTGACAAGCAACATTTAAGTTACACAAAAACACCTCATGATAATCCTATAGAATTAAAACATTAACAGGTTGAATCATCAATAGCAGTACATGCTACATTCAATCATCACCAAATCGATATTGAAGATGTCAAATGAATTCGGAAAGGTTTTTCCAACTGTCAAGAGAGGCGAGTAGTCGAAGCGTTTCACATTTTTTAAAATCCCTCTAACTTCAATAGGAAAGAATTTCTGAATATTCATTGAATCTGGACTGTATCTCCAAATAACCACATTTGATCTTATTATTGTGTTACACATAATCTGTACACAGAAAGAGAAAGAGACGTACAATCTAAACCCATTGCTTCACATTACAAATGTGTACATTTTTTATACCCATAATCTGACACACAAAAATAATACCGTGATTGACTATACAAATTCACCATGATCAAAAATTACTTGACATCGATATACTCAGATCTATTATGATTTTCATTATTTACTCTGAAGAAGTGACTTACATTAGGTGACGAAACTTTAGAAATACAATTTTTCTACACATTAGAATTTATTTGAAAATTCAAAAATTGAGATCATGAGTTAATTGAAACTAGACCACCAAGGAAAACGTAGAAGGTTCCGGGATTCGAAACTCGCAATAAGTGATCGTAGATATGCACTGCTGAGGAGCCCCATACTAGGACGAAACGACCGCTCAGTGCTTCCATGTTTCCAAAAGTGATCTAACATCAGTAGATTCATGATCTCAATCAAAATTTTCAAAGATCGTTTAACGGTTTTTCATCTGACTTGTATGCAAACAAGCCACTTGTTTTCAACTTGAATCTCTAATCACTGTTACGATTTACAAATTCATGTTTATTGTCTAATCTTCTTTACTAATCTCCATTATTAGTTCTTGAGTTTTTGAGGAAAGATTTTGCTATGTGGTTAATCTGTTGTAAGCAGGTGGTATAATATATATATATGAAAACTTTCAGTCCCATTATGAATATGGGAATGGATAGATGTAGTAGTAGTAGTCGTACTAGTAGTAGTATTAGTAGTATTAGTAGTAATAGTGTTGGTAGTAGTAGTAGTAGTAGTAATAGTGTTGGTAGTAGTAGTAGTAGTAGTAATAGTGTTGGTAGTAGTAGTAGTAGTAGTAATAGTGTTGGTAGTAGTAGTAGTAGTAGTAATAGTGTTGGTAGTAGTAGTAGTAGTAGTAGTAGTAGTAGTAGTAGTAGTAGTAATAGTAGTAGTAGTAGTAGTAGTAGTAGTATTTCACTGAATCTATGAAATGATTACAAAAGTTGAGAATAACCTCAAATTTGTTTACTTTAGTAAATATTTAAAATGTATCAAATCATTTAAACTTAGTCCAAATCAACGATACAAATCAACTCATGCACATTCAATGCTCACATAATATGTATAGTCTTGTGTTAAGCAATGATGACTGACACTGATAGAAAGCGATTTTCATGATAACCTCTATGTGTGTATCCAAGTCAAATCAAACTTCAACAAATACTCACCATCACACACACACATACACATACACATACACATTAGTTCACAAAGCCGTATGTTATCATCATAAGTCGGAAGTGACACCAAAATTATCTGATAAATGACAAGCACCATTATTATTTATTGTACTAAATAGTTTAAGTCATCCGTTATTTATGATCTAGTGCGATCAGCAAACATCTCAGATAAAGAGAATATTAGATAGTTATGAAAGGAATGTAAGTAGATTGACGTGAATGTCAAGATTTGAAAAGAACAAAATAACCAACTTTTGTTTATTTATTTAAGGTAAACAAAGGTGAATGACTTTGTAATTCATGCCAAAATATTCACTGGTGTACCATTTCAATAACTTTGTATAATTTAATGATTGAATTCATGAGTCTATTGAAGTTAGACCACCATGAAAACACCTGAAAGCACCGGATGACTGTTTCATGTTATTGTGGGACTCCTCAGTAGTGTTCATCCACAATCCCACCCCCGCAAAATTTGAACCTATGACTCTCGGTCTCGTGTGTGAACAACCAACCTCAAGAACACTGAGCAGGCGTCCAACGATGTTAATTTCTTACTTCAACCAATCGACGAAATTACGCCACCGTGCTTCTAGGTTTTCCATGGTAGTCTAGCTTCAATTGAGTCATAAATTCAATTATTAAATGACTAAAATCTCCTCATAACCATTCTCTGATTGAATGATTATTCATTGTAATCATCTGATTTGTAGGTCTAATAAATTCATGATCTCAAACACCGGTTTATCAAATTTACATCCTACATGCATTCTAAACTCAATTATTCACAGATGGGTGATAGATGTGCTGCAATTTACTCAGATTCCCCAGTTATACACATAGTATTCTCTTATATCTAGATATGAAGCATTGGAGTTTTGTTGTGCTAGTGTCATCAATGTTACTGTGCAATATTTTCTCGAAGAATGAGCTTCAGAAGAATATATTTGGATGTGATAGTTTGTGAAGAATTTGATAATGAATGACTTGAATCGGAGTCAAATGAGTGTGTCGAACTGCAAATAGAAACTGTGAACTAGGGTACAAATACTTGTTTTGATACACTTACCCAACACTTCATAAATAACGTCAACAAGCCCGTTGTTTGTGTTTAGTCGATCAACAATGTCAGTTGTCAACGGTACCGGGATAACTCATCTCCGACTGATAGCTCAAATGTTTCAGATCACATATCTTCATATCCAATCACGAACATACAAACAAATATGTTTAGTCTATACTTAGTATGTCATATCTCAACTAATCACATTCCAATGTCTTCTCATTTCAACTCAGGCAAACTCATAACATTGTCTAATGTCAATAAGTGGTAATATTTTCAGTTTTCAACGGCTTTGTTGGTAGTACGAGTGTCGGTAATAAGGAATGGACTTGAGAACTCAAATATGATTGTCTTACAATTAGCTGTTCAAAAGGTGATATTATTGTACACGATAGCAATACGAGATACAATTTCGAAGCAATCTGTTGACAAACTTCCTACTTTCTACAGTTGTAATTTTAGTCATCCTCTTTGTTATCAGTACCATCGTCGTAATTTACCCTGAATATCTGAATATTCTCCGTCCCTATGTGTTGTAGTTTAGACTGTAGTAAATTCAAATAGAAATCTGCATATTTATCTGACATTTCTGAAAATATAAACAAAAGTCTGATGAAGAAACATGATTTTCAGAGGTAGTGTATGGTTAAATGTGTAAGCATTATGCTTACTGTCGAAAAGTTTGTTAAACATACTGGAAAGTGGGACACTTGATTAGGATACCAAAGAAATATGATCTTAGAAAGTGTGAGAACTACAGAGGTATGATTCTTCTCTCGACAGGATGTTGTTAAACAGAATGAAGTACTGCGTAGACGCCCAACTTCGAGACCAACAGGTTTGATTCCGTAAGGATCGATCGTATAAAGACCAAATGGAAACAATTGAATGGAATTCAACTTGATTGACTACGAGAAAGGCTTCTTCGACACATACACATACACAAAGGTAAAAGCAAGATTCTGCTATATAACAACATAAACCAATCGAATAACACTTGACGGAGAAGGTTTGGAAAATGTAAAAACCTTTACATATCTGAGCAGCGTCAGTGATGAGCATGGTGGATCTGATGCAGATGCGAAGGTGAGGATCGGCAAAGCAAGAGCAGCATATCTACAACTGAAGAACATCTGCAACTCAAAACAACTTCCAATCAACACCAAATTCAGAATTTTCAATACAAATGTCAAGACAGTTCTACTGTGTGGGACGGAAACCTGGAGCACTACAAAAGCTATCATCCAGAACATACAAGCGTTTATTAGCAGCGATCTACGCAAAATACTTACGATCGGTTGGCCAGACACTATCAGCACAAACCTACTGTGAGAAAGATTAAAAGAGATTCCAGTGGCGGAAGAAATCAGGAAGAAGAGCTGAAAGTAGATAAAACACACATTGAGGAAAGCACACAACCGCGTTACAAGGCAAGCCCTCACATGGAATCGTCAAGGCAAAACGCGAAAAGGTAGACCAAAGAACACATTACGCTGAGAAATGGAGACAAATATGTGAAGAATGAACAACAGTTGGATAGAACTAGAAATGAAGGCTCAGAACAGAGTGTGTTGGAGAATGTTGGTAGGCGCCCTATTCTCCATTGGCAGTAACGTGCTTAAGTAAGTAAGTATGTAAGCTGTTGTAGAACGTGAGCAATCGTTGTCATCGAAAAAGAACACTTTACTCGCCGATCAATCCTAATTCTCGTTCAATGACACCGTGGATTACTTTCGTTAATTATTAATTTTCTGTATGGGGTTGTAAAAACTGTCGAATTTAGATTGATATATCATGAATGAGACAAGGTCAGATCATCAATGAAAACCTTGAAGCACTGGACGGCTGTTTCGTTCTAATACGGGACTCCTCAGTGATGTTTGTGTTTTCAGTGTACCTTTGCTTATATAGTTTACTAATATATTTACTACATAGAACTGAAGTCACCTTAATAAACCAATTCTTCTTATTCACAAGTCATTTACTGACTCAACTCAATAAAGTACTTTTAAATAAGTTTGTGTAGGGCTGTCATCATCATCATTTTTAAAACTGCGTTTCTCTGTTAGATACACATACACACAGAAAGAGAGAGAGAGAGAGAAAGTCAAACTCAACTTCACATTCACAATTCAACTATCCAATGATTATGAAAAAAGAGATTGAGTTTGATACTATATCATTTCTGTGTGTTCAAGCACAGCATTTATTTGGCTAGAGAAATAGTATATAAACAACAACACATAAATGGTGAAAGATTGAAGCGACTATCTTTTAATTCAACTTGACTACTTTCATTACAGTTCACTAGACAACAACGAGGTATTCGAACAAAGTCATGGAAATCAACGATGGTCTACTATTTATGAAAAATTCTAAAACTTCAAAACAGATAACTGAAATCAAGAAGGTTGATGTGGAGAATGGCAAGCATAACTATTCGACGAACCTCCACAAAACGTTGAGAGAAGAAGAAGATCCAGTGAATTGTTCATCAAAGTCACTTGGGCATCAATCTCAACTAGAGAGTCGTCTACTCACTCGTGAAGATCTCATTAATTTAGACAAAATTGAACCACGTTGGAGATATATTCGAATAGGATTAATAATTGGATTTGGGATTATATTTTTTGGTCTTTTAGCAGCATGTATCCTTTACATAATTTTTGGACAAATATGTCCATCTGTGCCTAAATTACCATTTTGGAAATCAACAGTTGGTTACTGGTTAGATGTGTTTGCATTTAAAGACTCTTCTGGTGATTTAGTCGGAGATTTAAATGGTAATGAGTAGTAGTGTAAAACCCCTATCACTCACATGATTTTATCGTTATAGGTCTCACATCTGAAGTAGATTACATCAAAACTGTCGTGGGTGCAGGATATGTGATATTAGGTCCCATTACTAAAGGATTTTACACCAATTCACACAATATGCTAGGATTAGTGGAAGATTACAAGCAGTTAGATGAAGCAGTTGGCACAATGGATGATTTTCGTGGTCTTTTAAAACACTTTCATAAAAACGGTATAAAGGTCATCCTGACTTTCAATTTCAATGCCATATCCATCAATCATAAATGGATTACAGAGAACAAAGTCAAACTGACATCGTTTGAAAAGTCTCGTAATAATAAAGTAAATGTTATTTTTGTTCTTCCATTATTTCCTCATAATTTATTTTACTTAAAGTTATCCCGATATGGAAAACCGATCGATGTAGATATCGGTGGTCAGAAATTTTATTCAGTATTCGGATCACCGAATGTAGATCTAGATTTAACTTCGGCTAAAACTCAGAAAGCAATATTTGTATGTTTCAATGAATAAATTTGTTAAACTGTATTACCGATAGGATGTGATCCACTTTTGGATGAAAGAAGGAATAGACGGTATTCTCTTGGATAATGCTGCATTCTTTGTTGAAGAAAATGAAGGAACACAAAGCAACGTAAGTCGATGGAACTTCAATGACTATTCTTTTGTCTTTTTATAAACTATTCTCTTACCTTTTACTCTACCTGTATATTTAGGTTGGTTCAAAATGGTTAGAAAACTGTCCAGATTCTCAATTATATAGAAATGGAAGTGTGAAATTTGTTGAAGGTGTAAGACGAGAAATAAATAAGTGGATTAAGAAAAGTGGAAAAGAAAAGTAAGTTCTTTAATGATTATTAATGTGGTTAGATTTTGCCAACTAAAACTCATTATTGATTGGTTGGAGAGTCTGGGTGACATGGCTCACAATCGATCACAGTGGTGTCGGTGTATATACTCTCTGTCTTTCCTTAAACTATGATGTATGATGTCCTTATATTCAATCTTTCTTTTATATATTACCAACATTGAATTAACTACTGTGAATTTGGTGTTCATTTTGTTGTGATAATGAGGTATGGCGACTTGGATCGATGTATATATGTGCCTAGTTCTTCTTTGCAGCTGACTGACTGAACGGTTGGTTGAACATCTGAGATATTCGTATAAATACAAACCAATGATAGTTCCGACCATACACTATACTATGTTATTACCGTAAATTTAAGGAGTTAAATGAATAAGGCAAAACTATCCAAGAATAAACAGGTAAGTAAACAAAGAGTCTTTGTTTATGTGTTTGTTATATATATATAAAGGTTACACACTGAGCGAGACTCTAATAGTAAAGTTATGCAGAGCAATTCAATGAACTTTCAATGTAAGGAGAATACAGTTATTGTTTTTTGTGCATCTCGAGATTGAAAGATAAATTACATAGACCATTTATCTAACTGCTAGTGTAGAGCAATTCAGATGTCCGAGGAATTTTCATTTTCATGGTTACAGACACTTGTATCATATTAAAGTAAATGTATAGTTTAAAGATGTCAATAGGTCTAGTCTACTCAATTTGATACGAATGAATTATACATCTAACATGAATCAATCATCTATAACAACAAACCATATCAATAGTCATCTACCTTAATCTGTCAGATAGAGAATTGTTCAAATGGTAGAAACATTAATTGTTCAGAATAAAAAACTGAATCACAACTGATTGATCACTGGGTGGCGACCAATGTCATACGTGTCTAGTCCTTATTATTAGTGCAGATCGAATGCTATCGACCATGTTGCAATGTGGCCACCAATCTAGGTGACTCGACACTGCGGGCATTTTTGTGAGATTAGATGGCGGCCCGGATAGCTCAGTGATAACGTCTCTGACTGTGAAGCTGGGTGACACGGGATCGAATCTGCCAGGGAGCACAAGTTCCCTCAAAGATTACAGGTACACCTTGCTCACGAGTGCCAAATAACACGAAACCCGGGTCCAGGGTTTCCTGTCGACTACCTCCAACCACCATCTAAAAAACTGGATCTTTATATTGAAAAGAAATATGTCGAAAATCTTTTTGTATCTTGATTAACTTCAGGTTCTACAGGTCACTTGTCACTCTGATGATACCATTCGACTAGCATACAAACAGTCATCTTCTTTATGTTTATGAATTTCACTGTCTTCTAATTCATACCATTCTATGCATTACTCGATCTTCAACCAAATCAATGTTCTACTTTGTAATTACTTCATTACTTCTATCATTCTATGTTATCTATACTTATTATGATTAGTAAGCTCACAATTTTAAATGATCCATAAGAAAATTCATGTGAACATCGCATACTAGAATGCGTGATAGAATGGCCAGATCATCTAAGAAGTTTGGGTCGTTTAGTTTTATGCAAGCTGTCTATTGTATTTCGTGATTCCCCTCTGATGTTCAAGTCTTTATAATTCGTTGAACCATCAGAACTATCAGAGACTCGCTCAGAGTAAGAAGCATTGTATGACTTCGATCTTCACTTGAAATAATTCTATCATTTGTCTTCTATGCACGACTTTGGACTATAGTCGATTGTGTGAGTTCCGTATGATATTGACGTTCTTCTCAGATGCAACTATTTACCGTAAACGAATCTATTGAAAGGTATATTCTTCATTCATATTTCTAGAAGTTGTTTAAACCATTAGTGACTAACTGGTATTCATATTGAACAATTAATTATTTAACTATTGATTATCATATTTGTTACAAAGATGATTGTGACTACAGTTTATCTATATAATCTCAGATACATATGTTTTGTATAATAAAATATCTTCTATAGATTATTGGCTGTCAATTCAGGTGATACAGGTTGTGGTGTAGGAGATAATCCAGATCCAATGTTAATGTTCAAAGATGTGGCTGATATAATAATCAGTCGTGAATTCGTTTTCAATAGGGGTAGATTTGAAACCCTAGTATCATTTGACAAAACAGCTATACAGAAATATTCTACATATTCAGACTCGGATAAAGAGAAATTAGGATTGACAACAAGTACTTCAAATAATCCAACAGATTCAGATATGATTCAACTTGCATTAACATTATTATTACCAGGTATGTAAACATGATTATGACATCTCTTTCTACTCATTCAAACTGTTCTTCCATTTTGTAATTCTAGTCTTCTAATGCAAGCTAATCAATCATTAAGTGACAAATTCACAAATTGTGGGACACTTATGGTAACAGTATTGAATGATAACGATTGTTCGAATTGATACACATTACAAGACGTCATGATGAATGTTTATGAAAACACATTTTCTAACTGCCTACAAATTCTAAGTACCAGGACATTAGTTCGACAATCACTGATGACGTTGTCAGGTAGACATGATTGACGATTTTCGTACATTCTAATAGTATTTTGTGTTGTGAACACAACATTTACATTGTGAATTCCATTATGAAACTAAGCAAAAAGTGTTTAATCTGCAATCACTCACAAATCATTGAATCGATTCCGTAGTGCAATGTGTTTGGTTCACTCAATTATCATACAATCTATACATTACATTTATAGGACAACCAATAATTTATTATGGAACTGAGATGGGTATCAATAGTCTGGAATTATCTCGTATTCCAAAAGAGTTATATCCAAAAGGGAAAATTTATAATAATGAAGAAGGATTTTGGTCTACACGATCTCATTTACCAATGCCATGGGATTTCAATGGAAGAAGATTTTCAGCAACAATAAATGATTCTACTTTTAGTGACTATTTGAATGGATATTTGCATAAGCAATCCGTTGAAGTAAGTTATATGAGTGACTTTCACACATTAAAACTTTTCAATATCTGTAAGGTACTAACCTAGGAGAGAGTAGGTTGGAGAATGCTAGTCGGTGGTCTATACTCCATTCGGAGTAACAGGTGTATGTAAGTAGGTAAGTAAGTATACTGAAGCATAGAAAATAGTAATTCAAATGATGTGTCCACTTCTGCAAACATTCTGTATTTCCAATCTGATGGCTAATGTTTACCGTAAACAGAATGGAATAAGTTGGTCAGCTGATTACTACTAATGATCAAGTATAGTAGTATTGAGCTAAACTATTCATCATTCATAATGAAATTATAAAGAGTGTTTATAGTATTCAAGATTCATTCACTCAATATTCGTTAGGATGACAATGTGAAATGAGGAAACGTTTTGTGAATTATGAATTGAAAAGTTCAATGGTGTTTAATTGATATAATGCCCGTAATATGAGCATGAAAGGACATTGATAGATTCCAGGAAAGGTCACTTCATACCATGTTACAAATTGAAAGGATTGGTGAAATAGTGCGGACAGTCATCAAATCAATGAAATGTGACAAACCAAATGAAACTCTAGTTTCCGAGTGAAGTCATGAATGAACTCACTTGATAACCGGCTTAATCTTCAGTTAATTTAAGCTACTGTTTCAGTGGGTGTAGTTTGCATTTTTATTGATATATATGTCTTGTTTGGTACTGCACAATTTGTGATAATTTGAAGGATTCTCCATTTGAAGTGAATACTGCGGGCGGGATCGTGGATGTGCACTGCTGAGGAGTCCCACTATAGGACGAAACGGCCGTCCAGTGCTTTCAGGTTTTCAATGGTGGTTTAAAATCAATCGGTTCATGATTTCAATCAATAACTTAACAATCTCCACAACCCCCAAACTGATAATACCATATGTGACAGCATTTATTTTGGTTGATAGAAACAGTCAAGTCATCTAGTACTGTTGTAATGCAATCAATTGTACGAACCATTCTGAATGTGACAATCGTTTTGTCTTTTAAAGATTCAGCTTGCTGAGGGAAATGATCGATCAAAACTTCAACTCGTTAAGAAATTGGTGACTTTACGTCAGAATGATAGTTTGAAATGGGGAACAATGGAGCAGATAAGTTTTGGTGAAGTAAGTGATTTCAAAGTTTACTTTTTCTTAGGTAGATTTTGCACGCAATCACTGTGAATTAATGTTTATAAGGAATATTCAAAGTCGAAAAGCGTATTATACATCAATAATCACCATAACTTTTTCGGCATGCGATTCTCTCCCACGAAATGCAAAATGTTGCTTCAGGATTGGGTTGCATCGACACCCGAACTGGTGATAGGCAGTAAACTAGTTGAGCGTGTCGACCGCTTCACTAATCTTCGAAGTCTCATCAGCCCTTGTGGTCTGGTGTGTGACGAAATCTCAGCACGGATACAGAAGGCTCGACTAGCTTTTGCTAACTTGCGTCACTTATGGAGTAGGTGAGATATCCGTCTATCAACCAAAGGATGTGTTTACTGCGCATCAGTTCGTCCCGTCCTACTTTATGGCAGTGAAACATGGCCAGTAAGAGTAGAGGATATTCGTAGGCTACCTTTATTCGATCATAGGTTTCTTCGAATCATTGTTCGTATATCCTGGAACCATCGAGTAACTAATGTAATTGTTAGTAAACGGGTACTAGGTAAGGATGGCAAATCAATTGATGAAGTAGTAAAACTTCATCAGTTGCGATGGCTTGGACATTTGTTACGTATGCCCAACCACCGAATGCCGACATGCGGTGTTTTATGGTGTAGAAGTAGGTTGGAAGAAAGGTAGGGGTGGGCAGACCAAAACATGGCACAAATCCATGAAGTGACAGACAAGTGGACTGAACCATGTTGGTAGGTGTAGACTATGTGGTTGGGGTCCGCGAGATGATAGCAACCGATGGTTAGAGACCTTGAGTGACATGGCTCAAAATCGTTTGCAATGGTGCAGGTGCATCCACTCTTTGTGTTCTCCCAAATCCTAATTTTCTGAATTCTTCGTGTCCCTTTTTTTCTTTCCAAATTTATTTCACCAGATTATACTCCTTGAACAACATCTTCAAACCCTAATCCTTTCAATTACTGCTTATGCTTTCACTACCTGTACCACTACGGGATTTGAATCGAAAATTGTATGTCCGTGCTAATGTGGTATGGCAACTCGAACTGATGTACGTACGTACGAAGTTTTAGGTTGTTACTGGCTGACTGACTGACTGACTGACTGAAATACCATGACAAATTTCATGAGAGATAAGTGATTCTTCAACTCTGTTGCTTCATTTCCTTAGGTCAAACTCACTTATCATCTATTCGTTACATAACGATATTGGTAAAATGCATCCCTACGATATTTCACAATGTTAATTAAGAAAACTATGCCAGTGAACAACTTGTTTAGAGTTGTTTAGCTAAAGCTTCATTAATCACTATGTTGAAACATTTGTTTCAATATGTTTACTTATTCTAGATGGTTATTTCATGAACAAATTAAGGAAAGTGGTGTTCACTCATTCATTCCTTATCACCATTTAACAAGAAGATTTGAAGCATTAAGTTCATAACTTTTGAAGGAACTCGGCTTTCACCATGAGGCGTCATAACATTTCTAAATGAAGACCTTCTAACTCTCAAGACAGAATTTCAATGATTTGAATTATTTTTTCTGATTAGAATTGTTTAATAAGTTATTCTTCCACGAGATAAGGTCTCTAACCTCATACCCAACCGTCCTCCTTTATCCTAGCTCGGATCCGGCAGTAATCCTAGAAGGGCTCCAGACGGAGTTAAAACTATTCAGTATCTAAGCTTATATACTGTTTAAATAATTTAATTTCAGGAATCATCAAATCATATAGAAGCATTTGTACGAAAGGCAAAAGGATTTCCATCATTCATTGTAGTAATACTAAAGGATTTAATGGAGGATTATCTTTTGGATCTTACTCCTGTTTGTTCATCAGTTACACCGAAAATAATTTATCCTTCACATTTACATTTACAAGTTGACATTCCATTATCAACTTCAAAAATATACATTCCGAAAATGGACAATGTAAACTATATCTTAGTATTTCATTGTAATTGATTAAATCTTCATCGTATTCCACTTCGTCTACTTCATATATCAGATTGGTTGGAATCTGATGTGGAATAATCCATTGTACTCTTATTCAACACTTTTGTTTTGTGTGTAACTTTTTATATCCACTTTGTTAGTGTATTGAATCTATGGTGTGTAACTGTTTTCATTTTACCGTAAATCTCTGATCTTCTTGGAGATTGTATTTATTTATTTATTTTAACACATAGATATTGTTCCAGGGAGGCACCAAATAAATATGCACTACATAGACCTCATTTGATATGTGTGAGGGATGTGATACTGCCCGCGTGCTCGAAACGAAGTAGATGGTTGTCTTAGGGATCCACACCCCGAGCCTTTGACCTAAAGGTCTGACCCATAAGGCAGTGGAGTATCGTGAGGAGATGCAGTTCAGTCGCATGATAGTCGGTGACCAACAATTGGTTCATACGCCATTTTTTCCTTCAGGATACTGGAGCCCATGTACACCATCGGTTTGTAATCAGGGTTTTCCAACTCCCCTAGGTGAACTCACCGTGTACACTGACCTGGTTAAAGTGTCGGACCTTCGCTTTTTGTCCTCGCAGTTTCGTAAACAACACCTGTGGTGCGAGAAGGCAATGAGTATGACTTCCCTGGCAGAGGCTGTATACGCGTTGCCATATGAGAGTATTTCGAGATGGTGAGCGGAATCTTCCCACTCTCGATTATCAGGGTATTTGGGGGCCTTGGAGATTGTGAATTTGTCTGTCCACATACTTTGTATCAGAGAGGAAGTGACTACTCTGTGGAGATCCTATGTGACATTCAATGAAGAAAGACTGTTAGTTAGATGTTGTATTGTGTTAGATCCACGTATTTGTATGCTGATCAATATGATTAGTGAAATATACACCATTTTGTATGTTCTTAATATCTGTTGTAGTTCTTCTGTTTTACCTTGGGGGTAAAGTAAAACTAAGGTATCAATCCAAGGAATTTCATTAGGATTGTTATTTATGGAAATACAGTTTCTTCTGAGGTAGTCATCTTGATAGCTCTTGTGAAAAGATTTACTGCTAGGGTCATTTTTGTACTGAATGGGTATGCAGAATTAAAATCAACATACCGATTTGAATGTGTCGGTTTTCGATCTATGACTAGATTTATACTACTACAGGATTTCGTTAGACTAAGTGTATGCTAAACATCTGAGTGGTTTCCTGGGTTGACTCATCCACTATGTGCAGACATCGTTTAAAAAATAAGTTAATCTTCATTCAAATAGCTGTTAGGGATCCGACACATCCAATTCATTCACAAAAACCAGATCCAACACGATTACAGTCGGTCAAAGAGTAATTCTGTAAAAGATTACAGTTTGAAGAAATACACCCATTCGAAACCTAATGGTTATCACTTTTACATGTTAATGTGCTTACATGTCTTGTTGTCTAACTAGTCCATGGTTTGGCTTTGAATGGCGCACATTTTGTTGGCTTGTCCAATGAGCAGTACAACAAATGATGAGCACCATAAAAACGTCAGCCAGAATTCTGTTTCACTTGTGAAGTAAGAATAGAATCAACATCAATCCTTTCAATTCCTTATTTTAAGTTGTTTCGGATAGTTGGTAGGCATACTGGTTATCACTGTCGTTTAGAACATCACTTAGGTTATGACTGCTCATCGCCAAATCCATATAGGATGTTAGTTTCAGAAGGCTAAGAAGATAGAATTGAAGTAAACAGAAATGGAAATAGAATGGAATTGTGAATTGGAAGAATATGAAAGACAGTTCATGGAAGATTTGCAAATGAAGTATTCAATGTATGGTTCTTGTATTTTTTGAAGATATTCTGTAATTTTGTACGTAATAATAAATTGGTTGTCTCCTCCAGAGTTCTCAACCATTAAAATAGAACTAATAATGAATGAATGGAAACTAATAGTAAATAAGAATGAAAAGAAGAATGTAGTTCAGACAAGTGATTCATTAACTTTTCAATGATATCTTTCTCATAACAGTACAATCAGATATACATGTAAAATAAGATTAAGTAAGGTGATCAGAAGAGTTTTGAAAATGAACTGTATTGAGGAAAAGCATAGGAACAAGTGTAAATACGTTCATAGTAACTAAAGTAATAACTTTTTCACTTTAGTTACAATATCTTACTGAAACATGTTAAAGAGAAATTGAACAGTCACGATTTAGCTGCAATGCCCTACTTCATATTGTTTTCTTTGTGAGGTTATACTCTTTTTCCCTGATAAGTCTTGCAATTTTGAACGTTATACTCGGTTGCTAAGCTATTCTTGAAACCCCTAAGCTAGAACTAAACAGCAACCTGAACACTGGAGAGAAGGTGCAAAGTATGCGAAAAGTACTTTACTCCAAGGTTCATTCCAATACAGAAAACATAGGGTTTTTATAATATTTTAAATGTCCTTAGGTTGCTCGAAGATTTTGGAATGCTACTAAACATAGTAGCACTATAAGTAATCAGCCAATCAGAACCTCTACATGTGACGTTTTTACTTCCTTGATGTTTCTGGCTAAAACTTCAAGTGAACGCTGATTGAATGAAATGCTTCTTAGTGTTTCCTGATCCTTGCTTGTCATTTGCGAGAAATTTTCTGGATCACCTCAACACTCCTGAATTTCAGAAATACTTGATACAATGATCGTAAGGTTTGACGAATAACGTACAAACTAATCCTGTTGATGAATGTAATGTCATAATTAACTTTAAGAAGGTAAATATTCTGGCTAAAATTCACATGGTATTCTCTTCATAGATTCATTGAGAATAGGATACAATCAAGAAAGTACACAGTTCACATCAGATGAGATTACTTCATTACTTCTTATGAGGTGAAATTAGTGTTTTCAGATCATTGGCCTCTATATTCCAATGGTTTGATTTATTTCAACAATCAGCTGATTGGTATTCATAAACAGTAGTCAGTTTGAAGTTGATTACATTAAAGCAATGTAGATTATTTATTGATGGACTATTTGTACGAAACTACTTAAACAGATTTCCATTCAATACTATCTTTATAGTATTACTTACTTGATGTATATATGTTAAGTATGTTACATAACATGTACTTCATAGGTAATCAGTATCCTAGGCAACACTCAACTTCTGTGAAAATTTTAAGTTACGTAGTAATCAAAGGAAGATAAGCATGAAGCAACATATAGAAAAGAGATGTCACTTAAGGATGATAAGAAAGGTAAACATCACAACGAACATTTATCAAAATCATTTAAAAATGAGATATAGAACAGAAATATAAGGGATAATGGTCCGCTTGATGAATATTGAGAGATAAAGAAGAGAAAAAGAACAGATACCAAGAAACAAATAAGGAAATAAGAAGGGATTAGATATACCGCGTAGAAAAACAAAAGTTGGGCTTCGGTTGATAAATTACCTAGACCTTCTCTCTTCTTAAGTTTCTTATCCAGCTTATCTTTGAAACGGCTCGTCTTAATATGTGAATACTTTCGAGTAAAGATTTTGATAAAGAGAGGTATTCAACAATCAGTCTATAGACTTTATATGCATTCTTCTTTTGATAACCATGGTGGATAGAGGCCGTATGTGTGGCTATGAAGAGGTTAGGGGTGGCCAAACCAAAACGAGGCATCAAAGCTTAAAGTCACTTACTTCTAGTCTGAGCCATGTTGGTAAGTGCAGACTACTTGGTTGAGGTCCGCGTGACAATCATCACCAATGGTTAGAGACTCTTGCTGACATGGCTCAGAATCTATCACAATCGATTATATGTATACACTCTCTATCTTCTCTTAAACTATGATACTAAAATCGCTTCATATCTTTCTTTCTACGAACTAATTCTTTCTTCCTGTACTATCTCCTTATAGGCAGTCTATCTTTTATATATTACCACCATTGAATTAACTACTTCAAAAATCAGGTGTTCATCTTGTTATGCTCATGAGGTATGGCAACTTTGACCGATGTATCTATGTGCCTGGTCCTACATTGTAGCTGACTGATTGACCGACTGACAGATTATTCAAAAACATTTTAAACAGCATCTAGGGATTCTATGAATATTTCATAAAATTAATTAATTCTAGATTTTATCTAGTGTGGGATGATTGCTACTTACTGTTATAAAAGTATCAATCACGGTTACAAACAGCTGACTAATGTCCTCTAGTTTATCATTGTGTAATTGACCTCAGAATGTGTTGAAAACTATTCTCAAACTGTAAACAATTTCAAACAGACTTGATTGGATGGTTTGTTTCCAACTTCAGTTTAGAAATTACTACTTACTTCATGAATAATTTTTTCTGGTTATTGTCTTTTATAGAGAGTTAGTTTTCTACGGGATGGGGTCGCTAACCCCATTTCCAACCTTCTTGCTTTATCCGGGCTTAGGAACGGCAGTAGTTCCCGGAAGGACTCTAAGTGGAGGCGGCAGTAGGTCTCAATATACACAAAGGGAAAAGCAAGATTCTCCGATTCAACACAACATGCACGAATCCAATAACAATTAACGGGGAAGATTTGGAAGATGTAAAAACCTTTACATATCTGGACGGCATCATTGATGAACACAGTCATCGCCGATGTGCCACCTGGCGTCCCTCTTCTGCATCTCAAGCCTGGACTCAGATTGATCACATCGCCATCAGCTACCGCTGGCTAGGTTGTGTACAAGACTGCCGCTCCTTTTGGAGTACCTATCTGGAATCTGATCATGCTCTGGTCTGCGCCAATCTTACCTTACTTTTGAGTGGACAACGAAGTGACCGCCACCAAAGGATTGATGTTAGCAAGCTGGCTGCAACTTCTGTTGCTAGTAAGTACCGAACCGAGCTAGCTTCTAGGCTAGCTAGCATTCCACCGAAAAGTATAGATGAGCATTAGTTGCAATTGCATGACGCCATGAAAATGGCGGGTCAAGTCTGTCGTGGGTTCGCGAAACGTCCCGCTTACAAGCACTGGGTTTCTTCTGGTTCCTTACAACTCATTGAAGCCCGTCGGTCTACTCCGGGTGACCGTGAGTTTGACCACAGACGAAGGATGTTACGTAATGAAATCGGGCAAAGCTTGCGTAAGGACCGTGAAGCCTGGTGGTCGGAGCGTGCTAATGAGCTGGAAGCAGCAGCTGCACCTGGTAATTACCGGAAGCTCTTCTAACTCATCGGAGTCATTAGAAGCAAGAAGTCTGGTGTGAGCGAAGCAATTTGCGAGGATGACGGAACGCCAACCACTAACATCCATCGACGTCTTGGACGATGAGTAGAATTTTTTGAAGGGCAGTTCAACTGGCCTGCTGCTCCGGCAACATCGGTCAGACTGTCCTGCCCTCCATGGCCGGTGACGACTGATCCATCAAATGAGGCGGAAGTCCGCAAGGAACTCCAACTCTTGAAACGTTACAAATCACCGGGCCCAGACGACTTACCTCCGGCTCTTTTTAAAGATGGTGGTGACTTTCTGACTAAGGGACTGACGACGTTGTTTACAAAGATCTGGAAACTAGAGAGTGTACCAACGTCATGGAATGAGTCGATAGTTGTCCCTATCTTTAAAAATGGTTCACGTTGTTCCTGTAACAACTATCGGGGGATAAGTCTACTTCCGATTGCGTCCAAGCTATTGGCTTCCGTTATACTTCGTAGGTTGTTCGAAACCCGAGAAGGATTGACTCGCGAGGAGCAGGCTGGGTTTTGTTCTGGTCGAGGATGTATTGATCATATCTTCACCCTCCGCCAAGTGTTAGAACACCGCCATACTTATCAAAGGCCAACAATCGTAGTGTTTCTTGACATCAGTGCTGCCTTCGATTCGTTAGATAGGTCTGTTCTCTGGGAGTGTCTATTGAAGGGTGTGCCTGAGAAGTTTATTAACATCCTAAAAGCCCTATACACAAACACCTCAGGCAGAGTGAGGGCATACAACCACCTTTCTCCATTATTCCATTCAAGCAGTGAGGTGAGACAAAGTTGCCCAATCTCACCATTCCTCTTCAACTTTGCCATCGATGACATTCTGGAAACAGCTCTGACGGATGTAAGTAATGGTGGTGTGGATCTGTTGCCTGGAGAAAGACTTCTCGACCGTGAGTATGCGGATGATATTGTCTTACTGTGCGAGAATGTTCAAGCCATGCACTCCGCACTTAATCAGTTGGCAATCAGTGTCCGTAGGTATGGTATGTGCTTTGCACCTTCGAAGTGCAAAGTACTTCTACAAGACTGGCAGGATTCTAATCCTGTACTCACTCTGGATGGTGAGCAGATAGAAGTAGTCGAGAAGTTCGTGTATCTAGGTAGCTGCATAAGTGCTGAAGGTGGCGTGAGTGTTGAGATCAATGAACGTATAGTGAAAGCCAGAGCGGCTTATGCCAATCTGGGCCATCTTTGGCGCCTTCGTGATGTTAGTCTGGCTGTTAAAGGTCGGATCTACAACGCCACGGTGAGAGCAGTTTTGCTCTATGCTTGTGAAACCTGGCCTCTCCGAGTTGAGGATGTTAGACGACTCTCTGTGTTCGATCATCGCTGTTTCCGAAGGATTGCTGACATCCAGTGGCAACACCATGTTAGTAATGCAGAGGTTCGGCACCGTGTGTTCGGGCACAGAGACGATAATGCAATTGGTGTCACCATCTTGAAACACCGACTTCGGTGGCTTGGACATGTTTTACGAATGTAGTCCCAGAGAATTCTTCGTCGTGCACTATTTGCCGACTCTGGGACTGGTTGGAAAAAGCGGAGAGGTGGTCAGTATATGACGTGGTGTCGTGGTATGAAAAAAAGCTGCAAAGGGCCAGCTTCTGTTGATCCTTCACGACTCCCTGGCAGGGCCCGAGAGACGGTGTAACGCAGTGGCTAGAGACGTTATCAGATATGGCTCAGTATAGAAGTCAGTGGTGATCCTGCTGTAACCTTCTTTTACATTCTTCATAAAAAGTGGTTGTATCTTCCTTAACTGAAAGATTTCTTCTCATTGTACCTCTCCGTTTCCCCCATTATTGTTCTCTCTCTCTCTCTTTTTAATCTATAATTCTTCACGTTCATTACTTTTTTTTTCTTTTTTCTCCTTCTCTTCAAATTCTCATTGTTTTGTGTGGTGCATATATATTTGGTGCCCCCTTCTGTACCAATATTTATGTGTTTAAATAAATACTAATAACTTTTCAAATTTTCCATAATGGTCTAACTTTAATTGATTCATAAATTCATTTATTAAATGATTACAATCTCCACAAAAAACCCCTCTCTGATTATAATAATAATAATAATAATAATAATAATAATAATAATAAATTTTGCTTATTATTTAATTTTCCCACTTCAATCTTTTTGGATAATATAAACCAATGAGAATGAAGTATAATCATTGTCCCTGTAATGTTATTATTTCATAAATGTTACACACCCACAAACACACCCACACACATACGCACATGCACATGCACATGTACACGCATACACACACACACACACAAGATAATCAACAACAACAACAACAACAAGAGCAACAACAACAAAAAGAACACAATTTAATATTCTATTTATGATTATAAAAGATCCCTTTTTACTATTTATTCATTTATGTAATACATAGTAACATAGTTATTTATTATTTCATTACGTAATCATCAATTACATAAGTAAATATTCTTATACAATAGAACATACAATTACATAAAAAGTAAGTGAAATGTTTCATGTTAAATAAAACGGGGGGGGTATTCTTTAGAGATTGTAGTGATTTTTTTTAAAAAAAAATAGTTGAATTCATGAATCGATTAAAGCTTGATCACCATAAACAGTTTGAAGATCCTGGGTTCGAATCCTATGAGGGTAAGATTGTGAATGAGCATTGCTGAAGAATGGATATTTAGTACATTCATGAATTCAACTATTCAATTTCTTTGATTTATTATTGATATTTTGAATGGAGTTTTATTTACTGAATTGGATGGTTTGGTAGATATAAATGTTCTATCTGAAGTTTATACTGTAGATGATATTGTTCAGATGAAGAACAATGAAAGTTCCACGACCAAACAACCATCTAGCTTAGAGAATAAAATTTCAATAAAATCATCCACCTAAGCTGTAAATCTTTTCTACCATTTTTGATATTATTTTGTGGTGTTCGGTGTTCGATATATTCCTTAAACTCCGTATACAGTTCGTCTCAGTAACCGTCACCAAATAATGCTCCAACGGTATGTTAATCAGAAGGCGAATACGAAGCGTTAATTACGTTTATTAAGGGACCACACACAGATATCCAATATTACAGATGCGTTAAGCAAGCATGAAATAGTTATGCCGAAAGGCAAACAGGCAAGCGAGCGAGCGAGCGAGAGAGAGCAAGGGCAAGAGCGAGCGATCGAGAGAGTGAATGAACGAGCGAGCGAGTCATGAATATGAATAACATGGACATATATATACATAGTGAAATGAATGAATCATCGAGTCAATTAAGCGGTTAATAGTAAAGCTAGTAGCGTGAATAAATGCGTAGACAGTAAGGCTTGCCGAGCATACATATTCATACAAGGATAACAATAATAAAGGTACATACATTCGCAACAATTTAAATAATGATACTTAGTCATAGTTAACTATTTTTAACTGAAAAATCATATTAATAGAAGGCATTTGATGCTAATTCGAGGAAAGAAATTAAACCGTCATACGACTGTTTATGAATACTAAACTAGGCAGAAACACTTATTAATATTACTGGTTAACCCCCATTTGTCTTAAGTGAGTATTATTTATTTATTTATTTATTTTAAACATATATATATTGGTACAAACAGGCACCAAATAGATATGCACCACATAAGTCACTTGATTTGTGTGTGGGCTATTATACTGCCGAAACCGAAGTAGGTGATTTTATTAGGGGGGGGGGCACATCCGGAGCCTTCTGCCTATAGGTCTGATTCACAAGACAGTGAAGCAACGTCAGAAGATTCAATCCCTTGGTAGCCGGTGACCAACGATAGATTCATACATCATTTGTTTCGTCAGAATACTGGGTGGATCCACTAATCCGGATAAAGCGTAGGACATTCGCTTTCCGTCCTCTCGATTTCGTAAACAACACGCTCGATGCAAGAAGGCATTGAGTAGGACTACCCTAGTAGTGGCTGTATACGCGTGATTATGTGAGGGTATTTCTTGAGGAAGAGCTGAGTCTCCCCACCCTCAGCCGTACCAGAGCATTTGGGAATTTTTGCTGATCATGAAATAATAACTGAACACATAGGCCAAAACCTGTCTAGGATCATGAAAATATCATATTATTCACTTGTTGTCTAAACATTGCAGTGTAACAGGATGTCAGTAACTACAGAATGTCTTATTGGTCACAGCTGTGATTTCGTCTCTGCATGAATAATATTTATACCACACAGAGATGATTACCTGCATTAAGATTGCGTATATGATCCACTAATAAATGCTAAATATGAAGTAACCTATATTGAGGAATTTTCATCAGTCTGTCCTACCATTAAAGTAGGTATATTGTAACATGCATACAAATTCCTGATTACTTATTTACTTAGTTAACACACTTACTCCTATTACTCCCAATGGAGCATAGACCGCCGATCTGTATTCCTCAAACCATTCTCTCTTCGGTCTTCTTTTCTAGTTCTATCCAATTGTCGTCCAATCTTTACATACCTGTCCCCATTTCTCTGCGAAATGTGTTCTTTAGTCTTCCACTCTTTCTTTGGCCTTGAGGATTCCAAATGCGTGCTTGCCTTGTGACGCAACTGAATGTTTTCTTCAATGTGAGTGCTATCCACTTCCAGCGCTTCTTCCCGATTTATTTCTCTGTTTGAATCTAATTTGTTCTCTCCTACAATAGGTTGTTACTGATTTTATAATTACATGTAATTTAATTCAGTTATAAACATGATAACATACCTCTTTGTCGTCAAGAGAAAGTCTATAGATAAATTAGTAGTCGTCAAAGTTTCTGTAACAAGTTTGTTTATATGACACTCATTAGAACTTGTTAAGTTTATTGTGTTGCTAGGTCATATTTAATCAGTTTCTGATACTAACTGTTAATATACGGATATGATAGATAAATATAATTATGGTGTGAGCTACTTATATCGACATAAGTAGTATATAACGCTATCAGGAATATAGATGTCTGACAGCAAAATATCATAATGATCGAGAAGGAAACAACGAGAACAGTAAGCAATTGGTATGAAAATACAGGAACAATGAAGTCTAAGATGATTGACTGATATTTACCAAAGGAATAATTAAGTTTGAGACAATTGATTGACATTTTGAAAATGAAGTATTTACTGTATAGTTCTCTGATTTTACTAAGATGTTCTGTAATGGGTTGAAATATATTTGATTGTCCCCACTTATTTTCTTGTTTACCACAATAGGACATTGGTTGCTACTAAATGGATTTGATAATATTATTACTCACTTACTTATGCCTGTTACTCTCAACGGAGCATAAGTCGCCGACCAGCATTCTCCGACCCATTCTGTCCTGGACTTTGCTTTCTTGTTCATTTTTCTCATGTCTATCTCTATTTCCCGAGGTAATGTGTTCTTTGGTTTTCCTCTTCGTGTTTGGTCTTGAAGATTCCATGTGAGGGCTTGTCTTGTGACACAGTTCGGTGCTTTCCTCAATATATATCTTATCCACTTCCAACACTTCTTCCTGATTTCTTTCTCCGCTACAAGATAATATTATTACACTTTTGAAATAATTGAGGCCTATTGCATAATAAGGGAAAGTGTAATATCTATATCAATATCTATCAATTCAGTGGTATTTTATCTTCATATCAACTATTATTAAAGATATTTATTTCATCCCATTGAACACAATAATACTAATAATTTTTTCTGGTTAGCGTATTTTTAGTGAGTTAGTTTTCTACGGGATGGGGTCGCTAACCCCATGCCCAACCCTCCTCCTTTATCCGGGCTTGGGACCGGCAGTAGCCCCCGGAAAGGTGCTCCAGGCGGAGTTAATACTAATAATACATCATACTTTTCTATGAAACTCCTAAGATGATATTAACTATAGCAAAACTATTTCTAGCATACAGATTATACATCTAAAAAAAAATACATGTATAATATACATAAATAAGATAACATTATCTACTGTATTCTTGAAGTTCCAAATGTGAAGACAATTATTGATTTTTTTTTTGATTATTGTGGAATTGTCTTACTGATGACAATCTTGTTTTATTATTGAACTTGAAATTTATTCATATTTCTTTGACCGTTCATATCTTACTTAATAGACAATATAAACTGACTAGATCTTTCATGATATCATCAATTATTAAGAAGAAACTGTTATGATTTTGATGTTCGGCTTACGATCATGTGACTTATATACCAATCAGAATACGGCTTATACGAATATTCGCACTATGACAAGACCAATGATGTTCAACCGGTCTGAGCAGTTTAGCGTCATTATTGGGTCCTATGTTCTTCTAACCCGTCCTCTTGAGTCCAGAACACAATACCAGCTTCTGAATCAACCAAAATCGAACCAAATCATTTATTTCAGACATACTCGGTTTATATATCAATCAGGCAGACCACAACGTATCATAAAATAGACAAATAACATATGTACACAAATAAGCCAAAAAGTAGCTGTGAATGTGGGAGATAGTGATTAATAAACTGAGTATAATTTAGGGATAGTAAATCGTACAATGATAAATTATAGGTCAAAGTGAAGCTTATAATAAGGGGAATATAAATATACATAATCTAACTAATGAATAGTTATACCGTAAGAATATATATAGATAATATTAGTCAATTAATGTCTCAGAAATTACTCGTGATTTAATCTTCACTCGGATATAACAGAAACATTTCATTACACTTAGTATAATCAATCATTTCTACTTTATATTCAAATTTTATTAGGATTAAACCATTGTAATTCATTCACGTTTCATTGTGTAATATTCATGTTTAACCGAACAATGTATAATGTCAATTTATTTAATGTTGATTTACATGAAACAAACGGTAATAGGTTTGGGTCATAGAGTGAACATCAACTCTGAGGATATAGGTACATTCAACTGATGAGTCACAAATAGGACGAAATGCGTGTACACGATTCCATTGCTAGCCAATATTTATCTTTATTTAAAAAGTATATTTCTAGTATAAATTAATATTTAATGATTTCAATGAAAATTTTCAAGTAAACTAAGCTAATCTATTTATAAATTCACTTGATATTGTTGTTTACTTGTATCTTTCCATTAATGTTTAGAATTGTAATTAATCAGTATCTTATTGGCATACGTGCATACTGTGTGTATTGCCTCAATATTGACTTAAGTCATAAGCATTCTAAAAGAAGATAGATAGTGACTAGCAGTGGAATCCAGTTTAATGCGCGTTTCGTTCTATTTGAGACTCGTCAGCTGGATGTACCTGTATCTCAGAGTCTTGGATTCCACTGCTAGCCATTATCCATCTTTGCTTATCCATTAATTGTGTTAAACTTGATTGTTTCTTTCAAAAATATCAATCCATCGTCTCAGATTTCATTGTTATTACATATTCATATCAACTGCTTTCTATTCCAGTTCTTTTCTCATCGATCTTCTTGAGCATCTACTGCCAGACATTCTAATCCTGACTAACATT